GGCAGATTCCGTTCTCGAGACCTGGCCTTTCCGCCATGGTGCGAATCCGGCCAACTGTGCCGAGAAAACCCGTCTGGTTCTAGGATCATGGCTCCCCAATCCGTGACTCCTGCATCTTCAATCTCGCCCTGACGCTGTGTTTTGCAACGGGCTCGACCTGGAGCAAGGTTAGCATTCGTAGGCGCTGCTTTACCATTACTCAATAAAGGTATCATGATACATGTTAGCGATGCAGTGCGACTTTAGCAAAGGATGCATTTGCCCTGCCGGATGGGGACTCTTCCTGCAGTGTAGGCCAATCTACTCCCGTGATTTGTCGCCTATGACATCTCTGTCCGCAACAGAGCTCACGAAGATATCATTGCACCTTAAGTTTAACACCTGGTCTTCGGCTACCTCTTCCGCCACGCAGCTATTGACCTGGGTGCCGTCGAGGTCATACGTTTCACTTCGTATTTTGGCGAAGAAATTAAAAAGGGATATTTGACTGCGATCCTTCTATTTCTTCTTCCAATCACCAAACGTCAAACAGAGTGCCGAGAATTTGTGCCGCCAAATCCGTCGAGATGACCGCATAAAACCTGCTCGAGAACCACTCGGTCCCCGCCGCCTCCGGACATTTGCTGACCCGAATAATGAATCCCCAGATTTCATTTATCCCCCCTCCCCCGCAATCCGTTCTGCATTGGCACTATAGCCTATCCTGTTTCCAATAATAGCACAGCTCTTCAATTAGACAATAAACAACGAAGTGTGTAGATGCTTGGTATTAGCCGGACATATAGGATGTACCACTGAACGAAAGTTATAAACCATTGTCGACGCTCGTACCTCTGTTTCTCAAGAATAGTCGCTCATCTCCCAGCAGCTCTAAGCCAACGTCCAAGTGCACCCTAGTTCACCTAATCAAACAACTACCAGTATGAAGACTCTTTGGTTTGCCATTCTTGTCTGGGCCGTGGCACCCATTACATCTTCAGATACCCCACCCGCCGACGGTCTTCTCTCCATCGTTTCCTTCAGCTCACAGGAGGATTGCTCCGGTGGCATTGCCATTTCCACCGGAACATGGAGCGAAACTGATAACCACTGCTCGCCTATCTCGGATCAGAGGATACTGAGTGCCAAGGTTGTCTTTCTCGACAAGGACTGCCAAGGTAAGCGTTGACTCTTTGGTCGTTACGCGTTACGCCCCTGATCAGCAAGCCGTCATGCTCGATTCTCTATCGAATAGCATTTAGACTTACACTTGAAATTTCAGTTTCATTATACGGAGGGGAACAATGTACGGGAGTTAAAGTTACAGCACAATTGGACATATGTAACAGCCACAGCCCCGGAGAGTGGAAGAGCTTTTCCATTGATGGATGTGCTGCTCTCTCGGGATGATTTCTAAAGCGGACATTCAATACTGCATCGTGTTGCACCAACCCTCGACGCGCCACATAATGATGACTCTTTCTCTTAGACAGGATCGCCAATTGTGTCGTGTGACTTGTGAACCGAACCAGACCAGACTACACCCAAGCGCTTGGCATTGCGCCCCGTATTGTCTTCAATAGATGTGTATTTTTAAGACGAAGTTACAGGGTTTCTTCTTTCACGAGGGCTTATCCCAAATTTGTTGTTGACTCGAAATGATTGCTCCAGCCACAACGGATACAGTCACGGGAAGACTGTCCCTCCTCTCAGCCCAGGAACTGCCCTTCGCTTTGGAGAGTACCGGAAACAGGAGACAAAAAATTTGAGATACAAAAAGAAAACATACAACACCAGGGATTCGCTGGTCGTCACCGACCCAACTACTAGTCTGGCGCTTCGCAGCTTGTGTACAGGGGAGCGGACGGGACCCTCAATTCTCTGCGAGCTATGGTCGTTTGTGCTGGTTTGTTTTGCTATGCTTATTTATAAAGGGAAGGGAAATGTAGTCGAGGATGAGTTGGCCGAGGCAAGGCTTGAACCTCTCCCAATCTTACCCATGGCTGACAGTGTGCCGTGTAACCGTGTCCCCTTCTAATGATAAATTGAGGAGACGGCTTGTTCATTGGGCTTTTCGAAAGTAGAAATCTATATACTATCAATAGCGAGGCTCTCCTGCAATACCGCTTTATCCCCCACTCGTGACTTGTCAATCTTGACCCCCTTGCCTCTTCGCTTCGTATGATATTTCCCCGCCGAGGCCACCTTGGATGCATAATTGAAGTAGAAAAGACAAATTCTACTTCGTGGGACGAATCTCCTGCCTTCCGCATCTCACCTGCCGGCCATCTCTGCTTGTTATCTTGCACATCTATCTGAGAACATCGAAGCCCTCGCAATTTGAGATTATTTACTTCTTATTCATACACCAGTGCCCTTTTCTTTTTTGAACACGTCGGTCTTCTTTGCTTCTTTAAGTTCTTTTCGCTTTTGTAAACAGCCTCGTGCTATGACAAAATCTAGAGATAGCCCTGGCGCTCCGAGGCAGGGGTGATATCTACTAGATCCAGTCTCCTTTCCTCTCCCCCACTGATCAGTACAACGAGATGTGTGGGATGCTAGTACTTGGCGTGCTCCTTCCCTCGGTTCTCATGCCTTAGCAGCATGTCCCAGTAGAGGAGGGCAGTCGCGACCCTTCCCCTTCCGCCAGCTCAAGGGTGGTGCCTTCCAGAGGCAAGTTTCTCGAATTCCACCAGCATAAAAGGCCGGTTTCCTTCCACCACCCTTTTTCTTCCCTTTTTTTCTCTCCTCAACAACGCCACCGCTAGCGAGTCGAAAGTGGCCACTCGTGTGCTTGATCCATTTGTGCACTAAATGCCGACTTGCATCCTGAATATTTGCCAGCCTCTAGAATCTACTTGTCTTGTTAAACCGAGACCTTCTTCACATCCTCGAAGTATCTCCGTCCGACCACTCGAGAAGAGTATCGGCATTGCAAAGACAGCTGGCGGATGAGGACAACTGTTGCCTAGCTACCATCCCGCTGTTGTCTTGAGTAAAGGTGCAGACGACCAAGAGTTTGTCCCCAACCCCTTGGCTTCTCCCCGTAATTCTGGTTCGTACTCATAATTGTGGTTTTACAGCTCAGATATGGATACGTCCTCCCCCATTCTAGGACCACAGTCGCTTGACTCTCCTCGGCGACAAGACTTGTCGAAGATTACGCGAGCTTTGCATGGGAAGGAGTAACTCTCTACAGGTCACGCCTTCCGATGAAGTTGAGGCTGACCCGTTCTGGGCTTCATTTCTGACCTTAAGTACCAATATGATTTCCTCAATTGATGCGTTAAAGACCCATCTAGAATGGATCAGAGGAGAAGACCAAAGTCTTGGACCTCGCGGCCAGGTAACTCCTGCTTCATTTAACGCCGAACGAGCAAATTCAATATCCTCAACTCGAACGCGACCGGATCGTACAAACGACCTGCGTGAGTCGATTACGCAAGTACGGCACCGGATGTCGGACGAGCAACTCTACCGATGCCGATGTTGTCCGCGCCTCCGCATTGTACTTTCTATACCCGGTGAACATGGCCCTAACCACGCGCTACCCGGATGTTACTATCCACCATCTTACGGCACCTTCCTCTACCGATGGCCGAACAGACTTTTCTTTTGAGAAGGACGGCCGCTCTTTTACAGCTCTTGAGCGGAAGGTACTATCAGCCATAAAGGCAGTTCGCTTCACCGCAGCAAAGGTCGCGCCTTTCTTCTAACCGGAGCGAATGATCGCTGATCGCTGGGAAGAGATCAACTGCGTTGGAGACGGCGTATTTCGAGCCAAACACCCAGCCGATGCTGAAACAGCACAAGGCTCTCACGCCCTCAGACACGTGCCTCCCCAAGTTTGGTTCCATGGAGGACCATTGGGGTCTGGTCGTGTGCCACTCGAGACTTAATATGATGAAGACAAAGTCTACAACCTACGGAACCCCGTCGGCGAGACCGCGTAGCGGCGTTGATAGACGCGTTGGCCGAGGATGATGCCAGGATCTTGAGTTACTTCGCACTATTCCACTGGAACCACCTCTTCTTATCAATTTTCTCTAAGTCTCCAGAAACGTCATCCATGGCACGCTTGTTGCCAGGAAACATTCCGAGGGGAGATCGATGAGGATGTGAAGCCGTTCTTCGCGTGGCTTCTGGGGGCGTATGAGAATAATGAGCAGGCAAAGCCTGAAGGGCCCCGAGGCGAAGAGGCACATTCGGGTCTATAATCCAAGGAAACGGAACTGAGCCCTAATGCGCGCGAAGAAGAAGGGGCAGCGACGAAATGGGGAAGGAAGGTATAACCTCCGGAAGAGTGCCTAGGAGAAGGACTGGAATTGTATGGCAAATGCCGATACGCCCATGGTTGTTGATGTCTGTGAGGCAGCGTGTGGTGCCAGCGCATGAGATTCTAGCTCTTTTCTTTTGGCGTCCTCACAATTCGTTCCCGCACCTCCGTCCAGGACCGAGAGAGGGTCATCAGTGACTTCAATAGCCTTTTTCACTGCCTGGGATACAGGGATCTTCGAAGTATTCTTGACTGGGGATTTGCATTTGGAGGGTGTAGTATGTTGTGGATGGAAGTTTATAGAACCCTGCTTCAATAATTTACTCTGGACAATAGTTGAAACGTTATACCCAAAATCCCCGATGACGCTGTCAAGGCCGTGTTGAGTTGGATCAGTCCCATTCTTTATTATCGGAACATTGCTGGCGTAACTAGATGAATAAAGGTACTTTATCCTCGTCACGCCTCTCTTTTGTATCAATCTTTTGTTCGTCATTGTGCTTCGTAGGAACCCTGATGTCCCGGCGAAGAGCCTCTTCGGCCAATGTGCCGCTTAGCCCGGCCATCAAGGTTGTCCGATATCGACGACACAGCTACAATTCCCGGCATATAAAAGACGGGAACCAGGTTTCTTAATCGAAGTGCTCTGAGCTGATACAATCCCTGACGTGATTGGACACATCATTCATACCCTCCCCCAGACATCGTGTGCTCAGGTTCGATTCCCCCCTGCAAGTTCACCAAAATGGCCCAAGGAAGCACCCCCAATGATGCCCACGACCAACCCCCCCAACCAAACACCGAAGAAGTCCTCGACGTCGTCATCATCGGCGCAGGGCCATGCGGCCTCGCCGTAGCCGCCCGCCTCCGCGAAGACACCCCCGCCGCCCTCTTCACCGACGAAGAGCACCGCCGCTTCCTCTGGTTACGCCGCCACGGCAACAAAGTGACGCTCAAAAATGTCAAGACGGGCAAAGTATCCCGCGGGGCGGCCCATCGCCCGGAGTACAGGATGGTCGTGCTCGACGCCGAGGGCGACAAGTGGATGGCGAGGTGGAACAAGCTGTTCGATACGTATGGGATTACGCATTTGAGGAGTCCGATGCAGTGGCATGTTGACCCGGCGGATCGGGATTCGCTTTTGGCGTTTGCGCATGGGGAGAGGAGACAGGATGAGTTGGTGGAGATTAGGGGTTGTGTTGGGAAGGAGATCAGCAAGCATAAGAAGAAGGCGAGGATGGGTGTGCGGCCGAGCTTGTAAGTTATCGTCCTGTGAGTCGTGCGCACGCACACACAACGCCGAATCAGACTGCTAATCCTTGGGGCTCCAACAGTCAGGACCATCAACCAAACAGAGACATCAATGAGCGAGATCGAGACGACTACTTCACCCCTTCCCGAGAGCTCTTCCGAGAACATTGCGAAATCGTCCGAAACAAATACCTCCTTGACGAAGGCCTGCTCCACCAAGAAACAGTCCTCGACATCACATACGGTGTCATTCGCGGCATCTCCATCGACGACGAGAACCTCTTCACCATCAAAACAAACAAATCAGTCTGGTACACCCGCTCCGCCGTGCTAGCCGTCGGCCCGGCCAACGGTCCCTCAATCCCTCGCATCCCGGGTATGCCGGAAGAAGCCATGCATCCGACGCCAGGCGGCCAATGTCAGTGTTGCCACACCGCCCTGATCAAGAGGGTCCCGGATGATTTCGTGCAAGCCCGGATCAATGCCAACAGGAAGACCAACGTCCTCGTGATAGGCGGCGGGCTCACTTCGGCGCAGATCTCCGACCTCGCGATCCGCAGGGGCGTGACCAAAGTCTGGCACTTGATGCGTGGACCATGCAAGATCAAGGCTTTTGACGTGGACCTCTCGTGGATGGGCAAGTACAAGAATTCCAAACAAGCCGAGTTCTGGACGGCGGATTCGGACGCGGAGCGGTACCAGATGCTGATGGACGCCAGGGGAGGCGGGAGCATTACGGCCCGGTACCACGGGAAACTCAAGCGCCACGTCGCCTCGGGCCGTCTCGACCTGCGGACCTACACGCAAGTCGTCGAGGCGAACTTCATAGAGGGGGCTGTGCCAGGTTTCGGTGGCGGCGCGTGGGAGGTAAAGACGGAGCCGGCCATCGCGGACCTGCCTTTGATGGATTACATTTACTTCGCTACGGGTATCCAGTCCAACTTTGAGACGTTGCCGTACCTGCAGTCGATGCTTAAGTCGTATCCGATCCATGGGCATGGAGGGTTTCCCTGCGTAAATGATAGGCTCATGTGGAAGGACGGGGTTCCGCTGTATCTCGCCGGTCGCCTTTCGGGCTTGCAGATCGGTCCGGCGGCGCCGAATATCGGGGGTGCTAAGCTTTCGGCTGAGCGGATTGCGTTGGCGATGGATGAGTTTATCGCTGAGGAGAAGGGAGTCGACGGAACTAACGGCGTTGGGGGAACGTACGATACCCCTTTGATTCGGTATGCCTCTGGGTTTGGAAGCAAGTACAGCTGTCTCGAGGAGCGGTAGACTGCCCCTGCATGTAGATGATAGAAAATTGACTCCGAGGTTAAACTTACGTCACACAAAATGCAATTCCCGTATTGGTAAACCCGCCTTGCTATGCCTCAGTACATTTGTTTGAAAGTGCTAAAGTTTGAAAACCGTGATCATTTTTTAAGAACATGCATGGTATAATGATAACATAAGCTGCGTGAACTAACCAGGTTGGCCTCCATTAAATGAGATTCTGTTCCAAAATCGAGGGCCAGCCTCCTCAAGCAGCCTGCGGCGCAGCAGCCGAATCGGCCGCCTCCTCCGGCTTCTGCCCATAAACCACGATACTAGAGCAACATCGTCAGTAGCAAGTCCACACAATGATGGTGAAGGCTGTGGAGACGTACATGGTGTAGTAGGTGTGCATCCGCACATTCCTCATGTCTTTCCTCACACCGCTAAGGAACACCTCGACTTCCTCGGCCGACCAACCCAGGCCTCTTGTGAAAAGAGCCAAACTTAGACCGGAAGCGCCATTCGCGATGTTCTCGCAAGCCCATGTCCCTAGCTCCTTGTACTTCTTATTCTTGGGCCAGTGGTTATGCGGCCACTTAAACCTCCTCTCAACAACATTCACGAACCCCGCTTCCTCAAGCTGCTTCTTATACGAATATGCGCTATCGAGCGGACGTTTTAGGTTCCTCGAGGCTTCCATCATGAGGTCGGACCACTTGCTGAGTTCACACGTCTCGGGGAAGGAGGTGTCGTCGCACTGGAGGGGGAAGGTGATGTCGGAGACTTCGAACCAGCCGCCGGGTTCGAGGTTGTCGAAGCTTTGCTTGAAGAGTTTGGGCCAGTCGGCGATGGAGCCTGTGAGCATGCGGGCGTGGATGAAGTCGAATTTGGACGAGTAGACCCATTCTTCTTCAAGGTCGTCGACGTAAAAGTTTACATTTGGAGGAACACTGATCAACTCACCATCGTCAGTTCCATTTGGGGGGTTTAAATGTGCTAGGACAAGGGCAAGAGAAGGGAGAGGTTCATTTCGTACAAGGCAGGTTGTGTGGGGCTCAGGTCGACTCCGATTATCTAGCGAAACGGGGCTGTCAATCTTGATGCCTCACTTCACTCGTGGTCCTGGAGATCTCTTACTGCTGCATCGGGATGCTCATCGGCTGGTGGGGAACAAGTTAACATGCCATCCCTGTCAAGGTGGCTGACCTCGGTCCACTCCAACGCCGAAGGAGCAACATGGGATGTTAATAGTGTACATACCAAAGTCGATTGCCCATATGCCCGTTCCCGTTCCACAATCGAGCACACGGCTCACGGGCTTATCCTTGGCAGCTGGAGAGACGTACAGTTGGCCATCGTATGTCAGGGTGAACATATGATGCTGGAGTTCTGTTCGTAGTTAGCCATGGGCGGTATTGAAGACTAAGGTCAGAGGAGAGAAGGGACGGGCGAGCATACCAAGCCTCAAGCTCTCGTCCTGGATTAGGTGGATGCAACTGTCAGCAAGTCGCGAGTTTTCGAGGGCTGTGGAGGTGCTCAGGGCATCTCGTATGCGACACTGAGCTCCTCGTAGCTTACCTCATCGTTTGGTAGGACGTAGGCTGGAGGACGATGGCGATGAATTAGCGCTCGGAACTTCACGGAAATGTCACGGTGACGGGGAACGAACTCACTCCCTTCTTTGTACGCGTGATACCTCCGACCGTTTTCCATCCGGTGTTTTAATATACTGGAGGAGAGTGATGTCGAAGAACTAGCGACGCTGGCCTATACAATGAATCCCCCGATCGGCGCATAAGCATTCGAAGTTGAGCCATTAATCGACACATAAGATGCAGACACGACCCCGTCGAGATGTGTCTTTAAGTCGTGGTGACTTACCGCGCCGTAGGTAGAATCCGCATCATCATTATCGACTGCCTCGTCCTGGAGATGATGGATCAGCACTGCTGAAGGGTTAAATGATAGGTCGACTCTACGTCGTCCATGTCGATGGGGCGTGGGAAGACGGATGGAGGACGTTGATGGAAACGTACTGGGTGAATTAGAGTTGGATCGTCTCCTGGGGGACCAGTCATTTTGGTAGAGTTTCTTTCTTGAGTCTTAGGCGGAGCGCAGTCGTGTCGTTCGGATCGGTTGACGTGTTCAATCCGAGGGTCGGAGGGCCGTTCCTAATTTCCCTCGAATCTATTTTCCTCCTTGCGTTCTTCTCGGCGTTATGCAAAGCGCGGGCTTTGGAAGGGAAGAAAATGTAAAAAAAAGTAGGAGTGAGCAGTAGGAAGTATTTCGAGACGGGTTCAAGAGGGTTTAACTGTCTGCAACCGGATTGGTACTTCGTAGTAGGGCCAGCCAAGCTTGGAGCTCAGACAGCCTGTGCTTCCAGATCTGTGCGGGTCAAGCAAAAGCCTCAGTCCAACACAGGCAGGGCGGGGAGAAACAATCGAAGGGAAGGAATCAAATCAGGCGTCCTGCAGCGCAGTGTACCTTTTTCGTACGATACGAGGCGCAAGTCTGATGATGGGGGCCGCGGAAGCCCATTTACGAAGGAGGTGGCAACCACTTCAACATGAGAAAAACTCATTCTCAAGTGTTCTAACGTTTCCCATTGATGCAGGTGGTTCCTGTACACTAGTATATGGCAGGTCAGTTTCGGGGAACCATTGTTCGTTTCTATGTGCTGTTTCGGCGATAGAATCCAGACAGAACTCGGAATGGTCGACGATCACTGCAGATACTGGATGCTTCGTAGCGGATACAATTTGCAGGGGCAGGGGTTGGGGACGGCGCGAGTCACTCTCGTGATATGGAGGGCTGGTTGCCCTATTAGCTCACAAAAGTTGTTGATTTGAACTTTACCGGCTCCAGCAGGCCCGTGCCGAGGACCAGTGACGGACACGCACAGGAGGTGGTTGATGCAAGGAATCGATCATCAATGCTCTCATTTGAGGAAGTGAGATGCTACCTCAGGGAAAACTGGTTTTTGAGGGGCCTGCCGGCGCTAACTTCCTTTCTCTTAGGAGAAGGGTAAGACCACACGGACTAGGCATGGTACGAAGTACGGGGCACTGGATTAGAGGTTGGCGGGAACCGGCACGATTCCGCGGTCCCCGCCATTGGTCGCTGGTCCCATGGAAGAAGGGCGAGACTTGGTCTCAGGAGACATTAGGGTACCAACACCAAGGGTCTGGCACTAATGTTGTAGTATGCTGTACATGAGCTCCAGTGGAAGACTAGCGGACTGGATGTGTAGCAGTATGATTTGTCGTTGACTTGCAGAGCGTCTACAGTGTAGTTTCAGGTCACTAGTTTAAAAGGAAGTACACACAAGAGTTGCTCGAAGTATTTCACTCTAATAATGGACAACTTGTTCTCTCCACTTTCGCTGCTGCTTTGCCATGAGAAGCGTTCTTCCACTCTTCCAGAGTGTGAGCAGCGAGCAGACTGGGGCTACTAGATCAGATGTTGGTTCTCCTCATGTCAACACACGATCCCTCGGTATTCGTGCACCGCCTTTGGAGAGGGCCAGGCTTGGATATTTTTATGCAGACGTCGATCTATTACGAGTGTACATTACTTCGGATACAACAGACTTACTTCATCGGCCACAGGTACTTATGCTTCCTTGTCAATTTCAGCACAGTGTATTCCCAATCATTTGTGTGAAGTGTGGTCGTAACAGGACCGGGATACACTTGGACTTTTTTGGACAAGTGCTTCGGGAGGAAGCTCGAGATCTACCAGGGTTTGAACCAAGATCCTGATTCATCAGTTGTGCGTCATTCCTATTCGTACTCGACGCACCGTCAAAACGGTGGAGCGGCGTCGATGTGGGAAAGCATCCAGCCAGGTCTAACCAAGCAAGACTGTTGACGACCCGGACCTGGTCCAAGACCGCCACCGCCAAACCATCCCCAGAAACCCGGAGATTCTTCTTCCCCCGATTCACTTCTTGTCCACCCAGTCAGATTACGTCAGTGACAGGGCTATAATTAGAGACAAAGTCCCATGAAGAATGTGTCAATCAGATCTTGGAACGAGGCGCACCAGATGGACAGCCCAATCTCGTTTCGGTGTCTTCCTGCCCAGTTCAGGAAACCGCATGTCTGCGCACGACTCGCCCTCCCCTAAGCGATATGGCCGTGGCTGCTAGACAGGCAGATCGTTGCAAATCGAGACGCACACGCTTCCGGAGACGGTTATCCGAGGGTACTTTTGAGAAATAGGGTAGAGGCTTAACCAACGTCCCGGCCCGGCGCGGCAACTCGGACCTAGGATAGTGAAGTTAGTGTTGTATTTAGCGCGTTGTCCATCATCCTCAGACCCTGCCGAGTCTTGATGGCCTGACAGCGCCAAGTACGACGTCCCCACCAGAGTACACTTGGCATTAGTCTCACTTCGACCAGTGGTGGTTCACCCAATTCCCCATTCCCAATGCAGCGTAGACCCGAAATTGGCCAATATGGCGTACTTCGTGCAGAATAAAATGAAAAACACCCCCCACTCGCGAGCACCCTGGTTGAACGGCGGTTGGTAATGTGCCACTTTGGAGAGGACGGAGAACAGAATGGACAAGGACAGAAAAATTGAAGAACCGGAATGGATCGAGGAAAAGAGAGTTGCAGAGCTCTTCCCCGACACCCATCTCCTCCACCTTGCCACCTATCAGCCCCGCTTCCGTTTCCTCTTCCCCCGTTTTTCTCCACGAGCCACATTAGTCTCACCTTAACAGGGAAGCTCAAGAGAAAAAAGCAATACTGAACTCCTAAGAAGCTCACCCCATCTTCCCTCTCTCCCCTCTCATTGCCTCGTCGTCTCCTCTCCAAAACAAAGGCCAAGACTAGACCGGATCGCTTGCCCAACCAGCCAGTTGGGCCATTGGATCATGGCCGTCGTCTCCCTCGCGAATTGGCGTGCCGTCCTAGGCCTCTTGGTCGTGGGCTCCGTCACCTCCTCCGTAGCCCGTCGGATCTACGCCTGGTATCGCCTCCGCCATATCAAGGGACCTTTCTGGGCGTCCTTCTCCCGCTGGTGGCTGGTTCAACATGTTTCGGGCGGCACGATGCACACGGACCTACTCGAGGTCAACGAGAAATATGGTGAGTCTTTGGTTTTACATCCGCCAGTCTAGTCCGTCAGTGAAACGCTTGGCTGACGAGAGGGCGTTTTACTCGCCCTTCTCCATCTCCAGGCCCGCTTGCCCGCATCGGCCCAGACACACTCGTGACATGCGATCCCGATCTTCTTCGCCGCATGCTCGGCGTGCGAACGAACTACCGCCGATCCGACTGGTATATCGCCATGCGCCTCGATCCGTCGCGGGACAATGTCCTGTCTATGAGGGACGACACGAGGCACAATGAGCTCCGTGCCAAAATGGCTGCAGGTGTAAGTTTCCGATCTTCCGCTCCCGCATTTTATTCCTTTATCCTTTCACAATCCAAACCCTGGTTTTCTTTCATCCCTTGCATCCCATACGACCCCCATCATCCCTTTTTTTTTTTTTTTCCCCCCCCTTCAAGCTGACCCGACGGACCAATCGCTTTTTGCGCCCCCACGAATAATAGTATTCTGGAAAAGACATAGAAAATCTCGAGAAGCGAATCGATCGTGTTGTGCAAGAACTCGTTGACCTCATCGAGCGAAAATACCTCTCCACCGACACCGACTACCGTCCTCTCGACTTTGGTCGCAAGGCTCAGTACTTTACCCTCGATGTCATCTCCAACGTTGCCTTTGGCGAGCCTTTCGGCTTCTTGGCCACCGATTCCGATGTTCATAGGTACATTCAAACGACGGAGGAGAACTTGCCCGCTATTATTCTTGTCACCATCCTCCCGTGGATCAATTGGGCGCTCCGGTTGCCGATCGTGAAGAGTGTGCTTCCGTCGGATAAGGATACGATTGGTCTTGGAAAGATTATCGGGTGTGTTTTAATTTCTGGCTTCCCCAATGTCGTCAAAATAGGGTTCCCAAATCGCTAACCATTTTCGCACAATGTAGAATTGCGAAGCAGGTTGTGGGCGAGCGATTCGGTCCGGATAAGAAAGTCCAGAAAGACATGCTTGGTTCATTCATTGCTCACGGTCTCACCCAGACAGAGGCCGAGTCTGAAACATTGGTCCAAATGTACGTGTAAAGCTAAACCTGCCTCCCAAGGAGGAACTCCTTTGAACTAACAGGTACTCTCCCACCCAGCCTCGCCGGATCCGACACGACCGCGACAGCCCTCCGCGGCACCCTCCTCCACATCCTCACCAACCCCCGCGTCCACGCCCGCCTCCTCGCCGAAATCAAAACCTTCGCCCCTTCCACCCCCATCCAAGACACCGAAGCCCGCCAAATGCCCTACCTGCAAGCCGTCATCAAAGAAGGCCTCCGCATCTTCCCTCCCGTGACGGGGCTCATGTCCAAGGACGTCCCCGAGGGCGGCGACACCTTCAACGGCTTGTACATTCCCGACGGCACCAAGATCGGCTACTGCGCTTGGGGTCTCTTCCGGAACAAGGACATTTGGGGCGAGGACGCGGCTGTTTTCCGGCCCGAGAGATGGATTGAGGGCGCGCCGGAGAAGATTAGGGAGAGGGAGGCTACGCTGGAGCTTATTTTTAGTTATGGAAGGTGGCAGTGTTTGGGGAAGAATATTGCTTTGATTGAGCTGAACAAGGTCTATGTTGAGGTGAGTTTTGCTGTCTTCTCCGTGGCCAATTAGAAGTGTTCTTCATCTGGGGTAAGGCTAACCCATTCTCTAGCTTTTGAGGAGATTCGACCTTTGCATCGTCGACCCCACGAATCCGTGGAAATCGGTCAACCATGGAATCTTCACACAGTCGGAGATGTGGATAGTGGCGAACAAGAAGACGGAGGCTTAAAGATGAGATGTAACGAAATGTGACACGATTCAGCCCAATAATTTTTTCTTCTTTATTTTTCACGCATGTCGGTTCGATTCAGTTCAGCTTCATACCAGCCTCATACCCCCTTGTTTCTTGAGCATGGGACAGATTGGAATCTTGTTTAGCCCTCACATATACCGAATGATAGCAATGTCAAAATGATAATCTTTGAAAGATGATTCTGTCCCTATTTCGCGGTGCAATGCAGGTTTGTGGGGTTCGCCCGCCGGTTCCCTCGTGAATCAGGAGTAGAGCTACCTCCCCACCGAGTGCATGACCGTACAGATGTATCGAGGTCTTAAATCGGTAGGCAGTCGGCAACTTCTAAACGAACGAGCATAGGTTGCCAGGACCAAGGGCGAGGTAAACAGTCCGCGGCCGGCATATAGACCGTCATCGGGCAAGGGCGGATGAGGATATCAGACGTCTTAACAACATGAGCCTTTCATCTACATTCGAATATTTGAGTGCGTGTCTACATCAAGTTCGGAAGGGAGTGTGCAGAGTGGTGTTATGAATGGGCCATACGTGTTCCAACTATCAACGACAAGAATTGCGGCTGGTCAATCTCTCCACCATCTTCATCCGCGCTTTTCCAACTCGTGCCAGACAGCAGGGAATCTCAAGCTGTTTCGAAAGAAAAACGAATTCACACTTCGCGTCCTCGGGAGCCGATAATTTAACAAGAAAACTGCTTAACGGTCAGCGTTCATCGTTTCAAAAGGTTTATGGAGCACACTCGACGAACCACTGCTGGACCAGGGACGACGTAGTTGTTCGCGCCACCATTATATATCTACACCACATATGTCAGCCCACTTCCCTGTCAAAATTAACTATCCGAGTCACTCACGTTCGCCGTGTACCCGGGATCGGTTGCCTTGAATGCGCCCGGAATCAATGCCGTCGGGGATGGCTCCTTAGTACCGCCGTCTACCACGTTGACCTGCGCACAGCTAACGTAGAACTATGATCCTTGTTAGATTCACGGTTTGATAACGAGTGAAAGAGATTTCAACTACGCACCTGCGGCGGGGAGCCGGGGTTATGGATGCCGAGGGACTGGATTCGAAGAAGGTACTCGCCGTTTGGAATGCACTTGGGGATGTTGCTAGTATACGAGACTGTTGGCAGGACAGTTAGATATCCAAAACGGTAATTGAAAAGCTGAGAAGATGCGGTGGTCTTTGTATTACTTACTCCTCATCGGCCAGTTACCGCCAGACGGACCTAGGAATAGTTAGAGCCAAACAATTTGGCGGTTTAAAGCTCCTCGTAATATTATCATGCACTCACCCCAGTCGAAGATCTTGAACCATGGGCCGCTACCGTCGTACTCTGCCACGGCTCCAGGCGCTTTTGACATGTACCTGACAGCAACATAAAGTCAGCCCCAAGAGCATTTACTTCGACGCGTCCTCCGAGGTATGTATGGTGCCCTTACAGAGAGATGGGTCCCTGATGATAAACCGCCGTATCAAGAGTAAACGTAAACTCATCCCCGGCCTTCATCGTAACTGTCTCCGTCCCATTGCTAACCTCGCCGCCAACATTGCACCGCAGATCCAGAGAGGCAAGATCCGTCACCGGTGCGTTCTGGAGCCAGTCCGGGTTAGAATTCCGTCGAATGCACTCCCACGCCGGGTATTTGGTCCCGCCCGAGGAGAACTGCTGGAAGATGTAGTGCGCAGCGACGTTGTTTACCACGAGAGCGGAAACAGCAAGAAGGCACGCCAAGGACTTCATAGCTTAGCGTTGAATGGGACGATATCGCGACGGGTATCAGAAGAGGCTGCTGCTCGTTTAGAGAAAAACCGGGTTCGGCAGGAAGGTGGACGCGGGTCTCGGCAACAGATCTGGGGAAGGGGATGAGTTGGGGGTTAAATGCATTCCCGCATCACAAGCACGCACAGCAGGCACATTCCTTTCATTTCCATCCGTATTTGGATACGGGCCATCAACCCGGATGCTATCATCCGGTGTGTGTCCGTGTGGGGTTGATATATTAAATTGGAATTGATCCGTGATCAAGTTGGCTGGGTTAATATTGGCGGAGGCCTACGCTGGGTTGCAATGCAATAATATATATTTCCTTCGCTCTGGGTCGGTTCACTTTTAATCACTTCTTTCCATTTGCAATTCAAGGCTTCTAGTATCACAATGCAGAAGCTTCGGGGAAACATATCTTCAATCTCATATTTTTATTGCATTCTCATGAACTTCTATTGATATGACAGGCTTGTTGAAAGCCTTAAACCAAATGACAGCGCCTAAAGGAGTGTATCGTGGGCTAACCCCCCCAATCGCCGAAATGTGATACAGAGCGGGTTATGACCTGCTTCAAGTGCAATTTTCGAATTGGTCCTTGCAAAACTCCTCAGAGGAGGAGCTGCCGATACCGCCGGTGAAACACATGTTAGCCGCGTCGGCACAGCAAATCCTGCATTGGCGCTTGGCATTCCCCTTTCCCGGAAGGGAGTCGCAATGCTGGCTGCATGCAGTTTGGGCATTAGAGACAGCGGTGTTTTCGCCGGCTAGAAAACCGCAAGTTTTTTTCGGAGGGCACTCGGGTTGTACGGCTGCTGCATACGATGCCGACAGCAGCGCTGCAACGGATATTAATATCGTCTTGTATACGCGGGGAGACTTAATACTTACCAATAAGGCTGGCAATCTTCATAGTGTTCAACTGGTCTTGGGGGCTGGGACTAAAGTCAGGAGTGTGAGGGTAGGAAGGTCTTCTTTACAGAACTGGCAGGGTTTGCAGTTCAATGATGGAAGAGGGGACGAATTACCAGGTTTTTATACCCAGATTCCGCCCTAGAGCCTTCCAATTTTCACATGTTAAGCGGCTTCAAGAACATATCGGCAGAGCAATGTTATGCACGGGAGGTCGCAATGAGTTTCGCTGTAAGTTTGAACTGCTTACAGGCAGGGGAGAGACAGTTTCTAAGCTGGAGCATGGTCACGCTCCCTAACAAACGTCCATCATTGCCCGTGCATGTAACTGGGCCACGTACTCAACATGTCAGAGGCTTGCCATCTATAGAGGTTTCATGCCTTTTACCTCAGTTGATATGATAGCTTCAAATTGTCATGACAGAATCTCCAGGTCATTCTCGACCAAAGCTAGGCTAATTCAATATCGGTGCGTCACGCATCATTTTTTTTTTTTTTTTTAAAAAAAAAAAAAAAAAAAAAAAAAAAAAAGGTGTATACACGCGACTTTAGTCATCATTGCGAAAGGGGCGGTTTATTATTGCAGAGGGTTGGTTCCCTCGATATGCGAAGGCAAATAATAAAGATTCGGAATGTCACTCGTATTGGCTTGGCCTTGTACAAACTTAGACTTTGGAATATAAACACACTCATTTCCAATCAGCTAATTTACCAACCATCATTATTTTTTCAGGGTTTAACTAGCCTCCCAGAGTGCATAATGCGGCTCACTTTCTGGTGAGTGCTAAATTAACTCTGGTTGTATCGGCAGATCCAATCAGAACCAGACAGTGCTGCTCGAGACAACGTGGCGGCCAGCTGTGGGGAGCCATAAGTTTCCACGTCGGTCTTAAGTTCCGTTTTGAACACAGTCATTATACGTATTCATAACGAAAGTATAGTCATGTAGGGATACGGGCTCCATAGTGTTTATCATCAGGGCTACAAACATTGCAGATATTGTCCTGTTTCTATCCTGGAAATCATCAGTGAAGTGTATGAGACTTCCTTCACGGTTTAGAGAGGGTGAGGGTTTTGGGGGCTGGGAATGATTGGGGTTGAGTATCTATTTCAAATTCGCTTGCAAACGACGATTTGATGGTATCGAGCCTGCACCTAGTCCTTTGATCAAGGATTGGCCTGTTTCCGATGGCAGTGCTTGGGCAGAGCCTGGCCACACAAATGTGTGGTGAACTGGTTGTTGAAGGAGACTGTGGGAGAGAAGGCCCCCATTTAGCTACGAGAATATCATTTGAAGTCAATGATACCCACGGCATCTCTTCCCGCAGAATATTACACTGTTCTATCTAATAGATACTTGATTCAGAAACGTCTGTCCTCTGTCCTGTTCTGCTGTTCATTCCCAAGAAGCAGTACTTCGTCCCGGTGGCGGTGGCGGTGCACAGCATTGCATATTGGGAAATCTCCTTCAACATGGCTGTTCTTTATGCACCTCGACTTATCTTGGCCTGGGCGGTTCCAGTGTCAGAAGTACGAGAGGAACATCGCGTTTCGCCTCGCATCCTCCTCCCCTCCATTGTCAGTTGCTGACGCGCCCAGGTCAAGTTTGTTAACCTGGGATTAGTAAACATTCTTAATAACTGTAAAACGCTGCCTAATCAGGAAGCGTTCAATTGTTGGGAAAAGAGGGGGTTGAAAACTTCGATTCTCCATCACGATTCACCACCACCAAGACTGATTTCCAACAGGACTAACTGCTTGGATCCATTGGAAAATCAATAAAACCAATGTGATCCCATCATTCCTCTATTTTCACCAGATTTAGCGTATTTGATTCCCTTTCTTTCTTAACTCTTTCGACCCCTGTTCAATCTAGGCGGCTTCGAAGAGCCGTTTCGAGCTGGCGAGTCTCAGTCGAAGACGCTATTTGTTTTGGCACCGTCCCTCTCATCTAAGGAAAACCTTTCCTGGAATCCACAACGTTTTGTTTATTCCTTCACGACCTCCTCCTTCACGAGCCAGCGAAACGGATCAATTGGCGACGATGATGTCGCTTCCTTCCCCAACCCTGTCATTCGGCGTCGACTCCTCCTACCTTCTCCGTTGCCGGCCCATCGATTACGATTACCACATTCGGCGAGACCTTCGACCTCAACATCGTTCCTGCCCCCGCTCGAGGATGCGGCTGGTGGAACTCTTGGAGAAGAGGAACAACGATGCCAAGGAAAGCGCCGAAAATATGGCAGTACCTCCAAAAGCAGGTCAAGGTCCTCGAGGAATTGACTAGCAAGCTGAGCGATCGGGCAGCGGAGGACGGGGAGGAGGCCAAGAAGTACAACCTCGTTGCCATGCGGGTCGCGTTTGTGGCCACGGGGCCATGGCGCTCCTCTACGTTGAGCTTGTCTGTTGTTTCGCTGGAAAGGGCCTGATGGCTGCGATGGCTCTCCTAGGCGTTTCTTGCTTCGTTGTGGCTGTTCTGGTTGCACTGGAACAATGGCGGTAAAAAGGATCAAGGAGTGGATCGTATTGAGAGCATTGGAGGCCAACAACCGATCTTTTTTTTTTCTTTTTTTTTTCTTCTTCTTCTTCTTCTTCTTCTTCTTCTTCTTCTTCATCATCATCATCATCATCATCATCTTCATCTTCGCTGGGTCGTTTTCGGTTCTTGCGGGGGGGGGTTGTTTTTCTGGTCTTTTTGTGTCTAGAGGGAATCAAGGGCGGGGGTTTCCCGGGGTGGGCGGTTTCCTTCTCTTTTGTGAGGTTTTTGGTCTATTTTGCTTTCCTTCTTTTTTCCGTCTTCTTTCGTGTGGGTTTTGGTCTTTGAGATGGTAGAAATTGTCCAGGAGTATGGTCGTTCCTTATCAATATGAGGTTGAGTTTGTGGTGTTGTGAGAAATTGGAGGCTGCCTGATGCCCAGTGATATCTGTTGGATTGCTCCGTGTTTTCAGTTCGTCCATCTTACAAACACGTTAATTTTGCTGTCCGAAACCAGTTTTGAAATGGCCACACTTCTTTTGGACAGCGGATAACCTCCGCTCACTTATAGAGACATCTCGTTTTCTCGAGGATATTTCGACTTCCTTCCACTCAGTGCTTGCTTTCGCCATCCTAACTCTTATTTCCGCCCAACAGAAGGTTTTCTACATTTTCCATTGCTCTCCCCGACTCCCCCCTACTCGCGCTTTACATCCTCCTTTGCTATCCTGACCTCTTCCTGAAGTGATTCGATTGCCAAGTTCTCAAACTCTAGCTCTCGGTGCACAAGTTGCATGTCGATATTTTCTTGTTCCAGTGCCCGTATAACCTCTGTCTCTACTTCTTGCCATCTGAGTCTGTCCTCTTCTTTGCTCTTTATCCTGTCTTTATCATCGTCTTTGTGGTCTTGGCTGCGTAGCTAAGCCGCTGAGGGCGGAGTCTTCCTAACCTTGGTTTGCGTTGGAGCGTTTTCCTGGGGTCGACGATCTGCTTCGTGTTTTCCGGTGCCGTTCCGAAGAGGGGGTGAATGCATGATACCCCTCTTCGGCTCTCGAGGTCGCCAGGTATATCGAACGGTTTTTTCTTGTTGTCATTCCACAAGCTACGGCTGCCACATCCTGACTCATGCCAGCTGCTCTACGCACCAACACAGTACTAACATAGGAAATAGTAAGAATGCGAAGCTGAAGAGAAGACGTATAGATTCAAGGATGAATTAACTCTTATGACTAGGGGATGAGTGTCCCCTTGTGAAGAACATCAATGTCCTCTTCATTACCCAGATGTTGGGCAGACAAAACCGGCAACACTATCACTGACTGTAGAGGAAGGCGGGGGTGTAGGGAGTGCTTTTATTGAAGAGATCTAGTTCTAGCTAGTCTGAGGAACGCAACTTCTGTAGGCTTGCGCTGCTCCCTGATATAAGGTGGTGCTACTGTAGGCAGTGTAGGATAACCTCACTGGCCAGGGAACCTGAAGCCAGGGGGAACACAGTAGGGGCTCAAGCTTGGCCGGAAGAACACACACGAAGTGCCGGGAGGGCAAGTACCAGCAACCTAGAAGCATTTCATCAGTATATTTCTTTACGGTGAGACTGTCAAGACATGAAACTACTTACCACGAACTGGCCCGAGACATCGCAGACTTGCCAGCCTCTGGCATCTGCAGTGCAAGCATAAGTGCCAGGCGTGCAGGCCGCCGGAGAGGGCGTCGGAGAGGCCGTCGGAGAGGCCGTCGGAGGCCTGGCGTCGTCGGGAGCGGCGGCAGCGACGGCGGCTAAGGCGATGATGACGGCGGGGATGAACTTCATGATTGCGGTGGCTTTCGAGATGGTAAAAGAGTCGATGTGATTGTCTGGTTGTTGAGAATGTTGTTCTGGTTGCAGGGTTGGGTGAGTGCTGGTGGTAGTGAATAAGAAATTCAATAAATCTTTGAGGATGAATAACGGCATATTTATATCCGAATATAGACTGTAGATTCGCAGTCCATCAGGACTTCCCTAGAGGGTTCCTCGCATGGTTTGTGATGCGGAGGGATCGGCCGGACAGATTGCTGTATTTCGCATCATACGAGAGGATGGCTTTCTTCGGTTGTAAGAGGTATGACTGTCGCTCACGTATGAGATTGCTGGTGCTGTTCCAAATCCTAGTCGCTGAATCTCCATATAATTCTCCATTCCACGTACGTGCCCTCTCGCGTACCTGTGTATGTGCGCCTCTCTCTTAAACGGCCTGCCGGTCTCTCTCAACCGTTGCATGACTCTCGGCAGTCCGTTAATCCGGATACCTGGACTATCATATCACTTCACATATACTGTGGTTAGCCTAGAATAGGTCGGGAGCTATTCTATCTAACATTTGTCATGTCAAAAAAGGACATCCGCAACGCGGGGCGAGGCTTGACTCTTCGGATCTTCACAAAGGTCTAAGGCATCAGCTAAGAAGACGGTCTTCCCCATACTAGTAACCACTCGCATTCCCCAGCCTATACGCTGCGCCTCTATGGACTACCTCTTCTTCGGCGGGGCTCTGATCCCTCCGATTTGCATGTCTCATTAAGCAACCCTCAAAGTGAGGTGCCGCAATCTTTCTTTCCCTATGTGCGTTGCTGGCATTGCAATTGAGTTAGCTGATTTAGCCGGCTGCTTTGACATTACTCTATCACGTCGTCTCAGACTCGTCATTGTGTCGTGATACCAAAGGTTGATCAATGTTCCTGTCCGAGACCTAGAAACCTCCTGGCGGAGCTCTCCAGCAATAAACCAGCATGGCACTGGTAGTGAGACGGTGCCGGAGGTGTGATCGGTTGCAAGGGCACCTTATGGATTTTTCCAAGTCTAGACTCTACAGTAGTGGCACCAGGGCCGGCGTGGGACGGAAAAAGAAATCTTCAGAGCAAGAGGGACGTTGGCGGAAAACGGTGTCTTGGTCTGCTTCCTTTAAGTTGTTCAAGTTCGCAAGCATTAACTTCTATGGAAGTTTCCCGTATTACCCCGCTCAATCAGCTCATTCGGTTCGGTTTCTTTCGAAGATGGTTCAGTTCTGATTCCGGGGAACTTCTATTCCCTCTTTTTGTCTTACAGTATCCTCACCGTCATTCCACCTGACCGTCCCCTTCTGTTGGGTGCGTCCCTGTTTAAATTCTTCGTATTGGACTGAGTTGATGGACAGTTCCGACATCCGCGAGTACTGTCTAAGGGCCCGCATTGGTTTTCTGCGGGTTCTGGCTGCTGGCCATGGGTCATTCATTCTTGTTTCTATTTTTGTTTTTTCCTTAATGATGTCTCAACTAGGCTGCACTAGCCTGTCTCACTTCGATTATATGATCACAGACGATCCGTCTCACTGTGATTAAATGACCACATTAATACGATGTATGAATGGCCGTAACATTGGAGAGGGCGAGAGGCACTCCGTGAGACCTATATCGAGACCTCCGTGGGTGTTACGACATTGAAAGCCAGTAACACATGTCGTGCCTTTTGAATACTATGGATGCAACACTATGCTACTCTCTGGCATCAGGACCCCGCTGATTGAGAGGCAAATCGCCACTCGAGTAGAGCGAAGGAAGAATGGGAAAGGTACCTAATCAAAGAGCGAAGATATCCAGATGCAAGTAAACTAGGATTACGCCGAGTCGGCACGCTCGAATGATATCATAAGAGACGTCGATTTTGAGGCCCTATCTTTAGGTCCACGGTATAGGAGCATCCGCTCGCCAGAGAGCTCTACGCAGATGGAGCCTGACTCATACACTAGGAAAGAAGGAGGAGAGGGTGGGGAGGAAGAAAAGGAAAGGGGGGGAGCGGTTGGGGTCTCTGTTCGTTTCACGAGCGACATTGAAAGCAAGAGGGAAGGACGCGAAGAAGAGGCCCGAGTATCAGACACTGAGGAACCCACTGCCGTCAATCGTAGAAAATCCGCTATTTGCCTAACAGTTCTCGCCATGTCCAGCTTCGTTTCGAACAAAATGAAAGCCGGTGTCATCGAGGGGACGCTGCACACTCGATAGGGATCGCAAATTCTTCGTTCAAGGCCGGGCGCGTAAAAAGTTCAATGCTCTCTCTAGAATATTTTGATCATAACCGAGGCTCCTCAAGCTCTACATGTGGGCTCTCAATGCTATGCGCAATAAAGAAGATACAACTTTATTCAATGGAAATGCTTGTAATTAGTCCATGATCTCGGGTGGACTGGTTGGTAACTGCCCAATTAATTAAGCCCATTTCTCTATAAAGACTCTATCAGCCCTGTCAACCAACCATGCCCTTGGCACTCTCGAGTGCCTACGCGGTAGTTTCATCCGCCTTCTGGGCGTCAATGATGAGCCTATGCGAGTTAGTACTTGTGCGTTTTAAAGAATGTAATCGAGGCCGGCTAATGTACTAGGAGGGCCCTTACATATCTATATAGGAGTGAATGCCATCGTCGGTAACCTCTTTCCGAAGCTCGGCGAGGTACAGCTGGGCCTGTTCATACGACCACTACCCATCAAGAGTTAGTTAATATCCCGCAGTCGTAAAATTCAATGCGAAAATCCCTCTTTCATAGACCTACGCCCAAGGCATCTGTCAAGCCTTTTATGGAAAAGCCCTCGAGCCCTTGAAGCAGGAACAGCCTATTCCAAGCACCCCACTGCTTCAGCTCTTTGTCTTTCGGCCACGTTCCGATGGGTATCTTTAACCTCCATTCATGAACGTTAACAAAGCCTGCTTCTCGGATCAAGTCTCCGGCCGTCTCGGCTATATCGAATGGCCGTCCAATGGCTTCTCCAATTTGTTTGAACACTTGTATCCATCTCCTTTGTGCTGAGCCTGGAGGTAATGTATCGTCGTCGCATTGCGCTACGCCGGAGAGCTCAACATGCTCAATCCACGCTCCAGGTTTAAGATGTCTATAATGATCTTTGGTTAGATGTTGCGTGTTCTAGCCACATCTTCGATACGCCCCGTTTCTTTGGAGCCTCGAGACTCAAGAGGGGCCGGGCATACTTCAGAACCTTCTTATAGAACGCGACCCAATCTGGAACGCAACCACTCATTGACCGAATGTGGACCAAGTCAAAATAGTTCTTAGGGTAGGTCCATCTCTTGTTGATGTCATCAACCTCAAATCTACAGTTGGGTGGTACAAAGGGTGGCTGGATGGGTGAAAGATCAACGCCAATGACCTCGACTTCAGGATGTTCGTCGGCGAACTCGCTACGCACCGCCACTCTGTTAGAGCAATAAAACGGGGGGAAAGCAGAGGAGGGGAAAATAGGAGGAAGAGGAAGCAGGGAAGAACCCTTTTCGGATGGGGCTGTACAGCCACTTACATTGCCCACACTCCTGTTCCGCAACCTACGTCAAGGACGTGCTAGAGCAGATTCATTGGAAGTGTTAGCACCCATGAGAACACTCCACCAAAGTCGGGGTTCTTAAATATCGTACCTGCAGGTTTTCATCTGGGGCCAATGTAAGCCTGCCTTCTAGTACAATGCGATACATCTCGTGACTGTGAGGCGAGTCAGACAAAGACGGATGAAAGAGACCGCTTGTGTGAGGAGAGTTGGCAATAGGACTCACACCATATCTTCCGCCTCTTGTTGTCGTTCGTCATTCGGGGCCCTGCAAGCGATTCTCTGGTCAGGACCGTGCAAATAAAACTAGCCGGATTAATTGTCGCGAAAGTATACCAGTATGTGCCTTCCTCGAAGGCGTGGTACCGTCGGCCATATTCCCATTTGTAATTAAAGATCGAAGACTTGAGCGACAATGTATCGGTCACAGCTCTTGCTCGTTAGGCAGTTAGCAGCCATCAGGAAACACGATACTATCACGAAGTAGTCGGCTGGGGAGGGGGCCCAACCTACAATGAGGGATCTGCAGAGTCTGTGTTCGCCTTGTCCTAAAGGTGACATGCTGGGATGAGAACAGTCCTTTAACGCAGGGTTACACACGAGAGACACAACGTACCACCTCAATTGGTGCCGTCAACCTGTCGAGGTTGTCAAGTTGTCTCCCTGTCGTGGGCGATGACGCCTTTGGGGAGGTGGGGGTCGGGTCAATCTCCATCGATTCCGGAGGCGCCCTGGGGCTGCTCATTTTTTTTTTTGGCGCCGGGGACCCAGGCTCTCTAGGTGCGAGATTGTTACCAGTTTAATACATATATTTAATGGGGTGATCGTCAGCGCGGAGACTCGAGTTGAAGAGGCTCGAGTTCAAGTGCATCCCCAGCATGAAGAATTTCGCGGGAAAGGGAGAAGGCGGGGGACCCGTTCTTCAGGCATGCATCCTATTTCCACCTCAGCACATACGTGGCTGGGCATGATAGGGCTTGATCGATGGCGAAACAGGCGGAGATGTGTGGTGGAGTGGAGCACTGCAGCACTGGAGCCCCATGATGGATCGACAATGACTTCGCATATCTCTTCCCCGCCCGCCGGGACACACATCAATTGATCAACCCCTGCGAGGTGCAGGGGTACCAATGGTATGGTTGCCCCAAACTTTATTATCGTCACCGCTCTTATTGTAGTGACTTTCGTTGCCTTCTTCGCCTAACTCTATTATGAAGACTAGGTTTATATTCTATTGTGGCTAAAGTCTAGTGCTAAACAGTGGCAACTACGGTCTACTCTATCTTCTTAAGCAATTTGCAGCCTATCGATGAGCACAGATCCACTGTCTTCTTTGTTGGTTTTAACCTGTGGCCTTCCTAGGATGCATTTTAAAAGATTATATCTAACGAGATACGTCATCGATGGACTCTCGCCGTAGATGATGTACTTTCTCATTGTCATCGTTGTATTAGACCGTCCCTCCATCGTCTATGGTAAAAGGTAAGATTATCAGGTTGCCATCGGCTGTGTTCCTCATGCCACCCAACCATCGGATCTACCACCACATATAATTGAAAAGCGGGCAGTGGGAGGATCGGCTGCTGAAGAGTCTAGTATAAATTATTGATCGGGGCATATGAGGACTTCGACCTGTGGACGAAGTTGTGGGTTTGTAACAGAAGGCACAAGGGAGATACCCCGGCCCACAGGGACACGAAGGAACCACCCATCACTGCATCCTCGGAGGAATAATGAACTGAGGCCTTATAGCCCTGGATCAAAATCTGGGTCCGTATCGGGTAGCTCCAGGTGATTCACCTCTACGAGCGCTCGTGTCAAGAGTCATACGTTCGAAACCGTGAAATTGTTTGAAAGGAAAAATAGTTTTTTTCTCCCAAACTACAGACTCGAATCTATTTTTCTATCATTTCCTCGATAAATTAGTAAATATACATCCCGCTAACAATTCTATACTCTCGTATCTTCAGTATAACGAACGATAAGCATTACCTCTGAGGCTTTATAGTACCAGCCCGGTACTTTAGGAATCGTAAGGAACGGGGCCACTAGTAAGGACGACGTGATGTTCTACAAATCTGGCTGGTGATTTACAATGGCCGTCTATTCTTTGGTCATGAACCGCTACTATTATATTAGTCTTAGTTATTATTTACCTAACTATATTACGAAGGTTATATTCGACTATAGCTAGAGTCTAGTGTTAAATAGTGGGAGTTATGTTTACTCTTGTCTTCTAGAGCAATTTGCAGCCGTCCGTGAGCACACGGTGATCCCCAGTATTAGATTGTATTCATCGTTGGCTGATCTCCAAGGATATGGCTACCGGGGCCGAACTGCTAGGCAAGCAAAAGGCTCTCGACAGTCGAATGCGGCTGCTGCTTTCGCCGAGTTCTCTTCCACTCTCCAGTATCATCCCAACTCTTGCCTTCAGGTCTCTGGGCGGGTGGGAGCAATTTCCCATCTTGGTTTTCATCGTCGTCACCACCGCGCCGGCGGACATACGCCTGGTCAAAATCAATCTTCATCACCCGCCCTGTCTCCTGGCACCATGTCAAGTTGCCGTTACTCTCTTCATCCCGGTCTTCCAGACCCACCGCCCACAGCTCGTCCAAGGTCCGCGCCGTCTCCCGGTCCAAGTCGATGTCGCGAATTCCCGGAAGCTTGTGCAGCTTCGACGAATAGAGCGGGATACCGGCATATGACATCAGCAGCATATGCGTCACAAGGGTGCAGTTCAGCATGGGGTAAGGTAGAAGCAGCTGAATCAGGCCAAGACAGACAGGGATCAGCAGGCCCTGCTGGCCGGAAAGCCGGTCGTAGACGCCAACTTCGCGGGACAGCCGGTGGCGGTCGAAGGACTGGACCCCTTTCGCAACAAAGGTGTATCCGTACCCTGTCACCGTGATCTTGAAGAGACAGCCAATCGCGCCGGAAAAGCCCTTATCGATAAAACATTCGCAGTCCCGCTCGGCGTTGTCCAGAAGCTGGGTTTGGACGAGTTTGCAAAGCGTGCTCCGCGTGATGGCATGAGTTGTTTGATGCCGGGAATCTGTGTAACGACGAAGCGCTTGCAAGTGCAGTACAACGTTCGGACAGTTGTAATCGACTTCCTCTTCGCGGACGAGACTTCGCAGGCAAGCCTGTGTGCAGTATGGGCGGATTGGTTGAAAGGACGACGGGTCAAACGGACCCGGAAGAGACGGCATGGGAGAGCGTCTGATGGAGTCTTGGTGCAAAGCAACCCGCCGCTGTTTACGATGGGTTTGGTCGCCATCATCTGCCGGATGGTCTGACGCGGATCGTTGCCGCTTTAACGGGGATGGCACCCGTGGTCTGTGCGCCGGAGGGTGAAGACGGCCACGCTCTAAGGTACTGGCGCCAGCGCCTGCATCGCCGTCAGTTCTCCTCTCATCATCTCCGTCATCGTCATCTTCACGGCGCCTGCGCCGTCCCTGGCTGCTATCCCGACTTCGTGGAGTGGCGGAAGAGGACACCACCGACGTCGCGTCATCCGTAAGGGAAGGTGGAAGTTTGGGGAATGGGGCTAGTTGTGATATGTTGATGCTCCTCCGGCGTGCCGGTTCGGATGTAGATTCAAACGCGAGCAGACATAGGCCACACAACTCGGAGATGGCGAGGTGGTCGATGCCGTTGCTCTCAGGGTCGGCAACATCGTTATCGTCCCTTGGCCTCCGCCGGCCAAACTGTGGGAAGAGCGCAGTGTAGTATAGGAGGGTAGTGGGATCATCCCGCGACACCCGCAAAAAGGAAAGTGTCTCCCCCGTCGCCATGTAGCCAAATTCGATCCCGGACGTAATCATGTAGTGGAAGGTCTGCGTCAGCGCGCGGGCAAAAAAAACCTGCCCAGGGGGGCCAACGGAAGAGCGGAACGACGCCGGTTGATTTGCCTCCTGCGTCATGTCTTGCGCAGCAGGGCTGGAGTTAGCATCCTTCGCCAGTTGGACCATAAAGTCTTCAGCCATAGGACCCCGCAGATAGAGAGAAACGGTGCCAGCACGCAGACGATGTGTGGCTTTGTGTTCGCCAAGCGTCACGCGATGTACCGTCCGAATTTCGTTGCCATCCCCGTTATCACCCCTGTCTCCAGTAGCGTCTCCGGCGGTTTCGACTGGCGGGACAGAAACATTCGCGCAAAGCACAAGGCAGTCCGGCTGGGTCTTGCGTGGCAGCTTGGGGGTGGCGTTGTCGTCCCAACTATCGTTATTGCTGTCTGTGTCTGCGTTGGAGAAGCTGCTCGGCCGAGGTTGCCAACCAATCGTGCGGTTGTCAAATAAGAGCTTCTGCGTGTTTCCACTGGCGTTTAGGTAGGCGTTAATAATTCTTTGGGTAGGTTTCTGCAATGTCTCGTGCAGAAAATAAGATGTTTTCATCTCGTTGATGAAGGATTCTGACTGCAGAAACTCGTCCGGAAGCTCCTCGAGCAGACCTCTTTCAGTGAAGTCTACCTCGGCAACAGAGGGGAAGAGTCTTTGGGTGCCGACAGTCGCCTGAATGCGTGCAAAGGCAGCTCCGATGAGATTTGGAAAGTCGCACCAGGCGCGCATTTTCAAGGGATAGTATTTTCCAAAGATGTTTGTCCGACCAGATGTAGTGGACTTCGACTTCTCACCCTCCGAAAGAGTCGGGACGGAATTAGCGGCACGAGGGAGCAAACGACATAAGTGGAAGTTGAGACGGTTTATCTGGACAAGATAATCGTTTAGGCATTGATCTGTCCTGTCCAATCAGCAGGTGGGCGGCGGATAGAAAATTAGGCTAGATTGTGTAGTTATACCAAGTTGGATACGCGCGTGCTCTTCTTTCTCCTGTCGGAGAGCAGCAAGGGCAGCAGCAGTATCTTGCTGGGCTTCAGCAGCGCGGAGTTCGGCCTGTTCTCGTCGGTGCTGTTCCTCTTCGCGACGACGCTGCTCATTCTGCACAAGGGTCTCCGCATCTTCGCGGCGGCGTTGTTCCTCTTCGCGGCGGCGCTGTTCGTTCCATGCACGAGCCTCCGCATCTTCCCTGCGGCGTTTCTCTCTTTCGAGCTCCCGCCTCAGTTGCTCGATCTCATCCATCGTCGCCCGATAAAATGTAAGAGGGCGAGGAGCGATGCTAGCATTGGTGAAACCCCCAAACAGAAAGTGAGGGTCATGCACGTGATGAGAGTCACGTGCACTGCGCCAAGGACCATGGTCAATATCTCGACCCATCATCTCAGTCAAAGACATAAAATCTGTAAATAACGGCAGCAGGTGTGACGAGTCTGGGGAAGAAAAGAAAAGGGAAAAAATAATAGAGAAGGTAAATGCTCTATATACACACGATTCTGTGCAGCCTATGCCAGGCAGCACCGCCCACCAGTTCCTTCTTTTCCGATTATGTTTCTCTCGCCTCTGTTGTGCCTTCCCTCCCATGCAGCCAGTTTTCGTCGGATTCTCGATTGCAGGGCAGGAGCCGCCGAGCCTAGAATCGACAAGGGCGGGCAGATAACCGACAGAGAGCAACTGCCGCTCCAACTTAGCAATCAAACTATCCCAGCTCATCGGGGGTCCAGAGGAACCAGGCTTTTACGTTAAATATATATGAGGCCCTTTTCAGACGGGGCATGTGGGTGGAAGCATGTTGGGGAAGTGACATTCTTGTTGTCACCCATTCCGATAACTCGTATTGAAGTAAATCTAGGTGGAAGGCGTGATGGGACTGCAGAACCTAGTGTAAACTAAGACGAACTAAGACGAACCACAAGTGTGATTCCGGACAGAAGTAGGCAAGCCGAAGCCGAGATAGACCTGATCAAGTGTGGGCAAAAGATGAGGGAGGTTAAGAGAGAAAAAAACAAAAAAGACCCAAAAAAAGAAAGAAGAAAACAAGAAACAAGAAAAAAAAAAAAGAATTTACTATGTACATATATACCTAGAAAGCTAAACGTTCTGCACCTATTCATAAGAGGGTGTGTCTCAGAATTGAGTTAGATGAGAGCCCCGCGGAGTTCCTGAGCAAACTGTTCCGGGTGCAGTGCATAGCCGAGATGGCCACCAGGTAGTTCCAAGATATTTAACCCAAACTCCTTGGCCAGGACGGTATTCGGAAGATAAGGAAAACACTCGCGGGATTCACGACCTCCGGCAAGGATAAGCCGATCAGAAAATGCAGCAAGCGCGGTGACATCAAGGTCAGCAGATGTATACTGTCGCACTTCGTGCTCATACCAGTACTCGAGGTTTTGGAGGTTTCGTTCACTGCCGTTGCTGCTACTTGCGCGTTCCCTCCACTGTCCAGCTTCTTCCCGACTCAGCACCCCGGTAACAAACTTGAACATTCCTGCTTCCAGGCCGTCTTTGCGGTAAGTTTCGTAAACATCGACGAAGAATGCTCGCCATTTTGACGCCTCTGAATCGGGAAGCAGATTCACGGCCGGCGGCTCGTGTGCGATCAAGGTGCGAACTACCGAGGGATGGCGAATCAGAAGCTCGAGTGCGACAACGGCTCCTGAGCTAGTACCGAAGACGATAGCCGGCGAATTTGACAGGTGCTGGATCAAGCGTCGGGCGTCATCGGCGTCGGTCTCGAGCCGGACTTCGTAGTTTTGGAGCCCGAGAAGTTGACTGCGAGAAAATCCACGACGATCGTACACCACAACGGTGAAGCGCTCGGTCAGGGGTTGCAGAATTTGTTCGAAGACTTTCCCGTCCCCGTTCGCTCCGGGAATCAGGAGCAGAAGCGGCCCTTCCCCTCCTACCTCGTAGTATAGGGAAGCGCCAGGGACATCGAGGTGGCCTTTATTCATGCCTGCGGCTTTGGATAGAAATTATATCAACTGGACTGCGGACGAAAAGCGGGTGTTGAAGTCGGCGTTATGCTTCGAGCGGGAGTACAGAGGGTATCAACGCATTTATAATCAGAATCGTCAGATCACCATGCAACACGCCGTAAAGAAAAGGTAGGGTAAGCCGGCGTTCATATTCGACCGAATCGCAGGGGAGGAGTCCCTTTGCAAGACAACTACCAGCATTCCGTCATTTCAGTCTTGTGTTAGGTGATAATCAGAATACACGAACATATAGTCAGGATAAGGAATGAATACCGAGTGATCCGGAGCCGTGGGATGTCGGCCGTGAGGAACTATAGAGAAAAGCGAAGATACCAATCGATCTCAGAGTTCAAGGAGGTTCACAAGGGCAGCCCACACATATAAACGGGAGCGAGCAAGGCGTAGAATCGGTTTAGATAGGCCGCTCGAGAACCAGTAAAGTTTATGATCGCCAACGTCTTCTTTATTCGCTGGCAGAGGGATATTTGGAATATCCGTTACGTCTCCTCCACTTATTACGCCCAATCGACCTTGACATGCTCAAATAATCTCAAGGTCAGAAGAAAATAGCTATAATGGTAAAAGGATTATTGCTTGCCTATTATTTTGCCCCTACTTGTCACCAGGGAGGATTGACCTCCTTATTCCTGACAGAACGACTACATCGACAACACCCCAGGACGCAAAATCGCTGACCATCTCAAGAAGCTCTGATCTTTAGTGTAGCAACAACGCTTCCTGTTCAGGAAGTCGCACATCTCCACGCGGTCAACGCCAACATCTTGGCCCCACTGGCGGCAGTACTGCTCACACTTGGCTGCGCAGAACCAACTGCAGTCGCTGGAGTGGTAGCAAGGGGTGCGAGCCTCGAGCTGGGGAAAGGGTCAAGAGTACTCGGTCGTAGGGTTGTCTAGGACACCAGTGAAGATGGTGGCGATGAATACAAAGGCGGAGGCCCTCATTTCTTTTTTAGTTATGGTGATGTGTTGTAATTAATTGGGCTTATCTGTGGCTTTGGCGTGGTTAGTCACTATACTGTCACTGCACTTTTTGGGCACAACTGACTGGAGAGAAAGCTTGCTGTGAGCTGCATGAGAGAAGCACTGCTTGCTCGTTTGACTCCTAGAATACGAGATGATTGGTGATGCTAGCCACGGTTGTGAACTCTGTTATAGGCAAAGCAAGATCGTCCAATCCATCAAGAACTTTCTCTCTATAGTTATAGTCTATGACACCCCCTAATCACCGTGTTTTAATTGCTTCTTCTGCGCAACCATCTTCCGCCTTCGTTGTGTGCAGAGGCGACCGGTGTGAGGCCTGCTCACTCTCCCAGGTGGCTCGTCAGGCCTCCCAAGGGAGAAGTGGGTGGTGCAAAAGCAGCAGGCTCTCCCTCCTATCTATGTAGCCGCAAAGAAAGATCTAGCCGAGTGATCAGGCCGTGAACCACTCCACGTTCAGTGTCCACTCCGCCGAAAAGCAAATCCCATCAACAACCAGGCGTTAGGGAGATGTCCTCGCGTCCCTTCTTGGGGTTGGTCTTGTACTTGATGTTCCCCATTTCGTAAATGTCTAGGTTTTCAAGCTCAGAGCGCCGTGCGAGGCAGGGTATTAGCGAGTCGGCGAAGCAGCTTCTATGTAAGGCAAGCTTCGCGAGATAGATGAATAGATTAAATACTCACCGCCAGGGCTGCACAGAATCAGTCATCAAGATAAAATCCATCAAGGAATCGGTAGGGAACCCCTCTCGTGATGAAAAGAAGGGCCTGGGGAGATTCTTCAAATGAGGGGATCCTAAAAGCACAGTAAGAGATTACCTCGTAAAACGACCACTCGGTCAATTATCCCAGGCATTTAGAACTCTGGCTCCGAGACGACTGGCAGATCACTAGTTGCACACTGCGTGCACCCAAAGGCCGCTCTGCTCCTCTGCAGGCGAGATGGTGTCGAGAGGTTCCTTCACCCTTTCAGCTTACAGCTTTTAAAGCGAGGCCGCCATGAATGGGTGGGACAAGACGCAGCTGGAAAGTGGATCGGTTCGTAACACCATCGTCGATGAAACCTAAATATATCCAGAGGAGGCGAAGAAGTATCAATGAGGAGAAGGAGTGGACATCCCAGACGATTATAATAGGCCGGGGTTAGTTTCACCGCGGGGGGAAGCTCGAATCGCACTATAGCTTCGTGAATTTTCTCCCCAAAAACAATATAATAACTATACTTCCCACTCGCTTACTGGAAAAATTGAAGACGTTATATCCAGACCTTCCCGAATCTACTCGGGGCGGGGGCTTGATGTCGTCTAGGCTTTGGACCTTGGGTAGACTATGCAGTAAGGATTTAAAGAGATTGACGCCATCACTCGTAGAGGAAGTCTCATACTCTAGGTACTGGGCCCACTTCAAAGGAACCTGATTCGTTCGCGGTACATTAATAGTAAGTCGCACAAAGAAAGAGAAGGCAATAGAAGCGGACAAGAGGGCTGTAGCAGAATGGAGCGAGAGAAGTGGGAAGGAGGAAATGAATGAAGAATAGTGAGGATGGAAGGAAAGAGAGGGTTAGTGCTCATCAACCGAGGCTGGGGGAGGGGTGGGATGGCGGAGTTGGCAGGGTGGGTGGTGCGTGTAAGTCTTGCCAGGTACCACCCACTATTAGAGATTGGAATCAGCCCCTGCTCTAGCTATTTATGCGTTGAAAATTTTACGAACTTTGAAACAACCATGTACGTGCAGTTAGTTAATGATGTTGAACTAACCATACACGAAATGATCCCTGTGATCGAGGACCATATCCTAACCTTTTCCTTGGTGCAGGCCTGGAGGTATGGGGGTTTGCGAGCCTCGATGTCCCTGATGGGGGCTGAGATGGTACCCTCGGCGACATCGGCGTCAATCTCACCCCCAAAGGAGTGGCAGACATTCGCAAGGGTGGCTAGGTTAGGTGTGATTGTTTATATAGCGTTGACATACTACTTTGACATACTACTTGCTACTTCTTAAAGGATATTAAATTCGGGTAGAAAGACGAATAAAATGACGTTTTACAGAGCTAGGTAGTGCAGAGCATATCTATCTGTCAGTAATTATTACTATCGGTCTTCGATTGCTCTCCCTCGGTTTTCTTCATCTTGAGATCGACGCCCTGGAACGCGTGCTTAAGCATCTCGTACCCCGAGCTCTTGACCATAAGCGATCCATTTCCAACCAGTGTGAATCCAGCCCAGAAGTAAGAGTGCTTAAGGTCCATGGCCTTCGCTCCCTCCTCGGTCCTCAGCGACTCAATGGCGATGACTAGCTTCTTCCTCCCGTTCTTCACGAACTGGTTCGGATTTTGGCCCCTTTCTTCCCACTTATCCCACCCCTCAATGAAATTGCTAAGGATTTTGATCGTCTCTTCTGTTGACAGGCCGTACAGAATCTTCGTCGCGTTGTGCCAAGCTTCCGCAAGCGTGGGTGTATCCAGGAGTACGAGAAGGGTCAGGTAGAAGAGGTACATGTGGATCATCGTTGCGACGTCGTTGACTTCCCATAGCGCGCCGATGTAAGCGTTGGCTCCGGCGGCGAGTAGGGCATGCGAAAAGCCCTGGATATCTCCCGAGTCGGAGGTGTGCCCACGACTACTCAGACAGGCACTGAAGACGACGAGAGAGACTTCTGTGCGGACAGCAAGCATGTCGAGAACTCGGAACCGGTCTTTCAGATGAATCACTGAGTTGAAGGCGTAATTTGGATCTGTTTGGCCGTGGGTACAGATGTGGAGGAATTCCGAGTCCCTCAAGAGATCCTGGAACTGCGCTGTATCAACGGTCTTGGCATTGAGTGGTGATGTCCCCATCATATTGGCCAGAAGCATTGCTTCTATCCCCGCCATGGGCAACGGTTTCATACCCGTCTCTATTTGATCGGCCAGACCGCCGGGTCTTGCTATGACCGTATTCTGTAGCTGCCTATGGGAGCTTGACTCGCCTGCCCGCCACCTGCGCAGATGCCGTAAGGCAGTGAGACTAGGGACATGCGTGACTTGTCTCTGCAAGCCGAGATAGTTACCCCGGTACAGAAGAGCTCCGACAGGGATCCGCAAAAGGTCTCCCGAAAGGACGAAACAGACGTGATTTCTCTTGTCAATGCAGACCTCGAAGGGCCTGACTAGGAGGTTACTCAAAGTAGCGCTCGTAGACTCAAGATTTGCTTTCAGTTGTTCACCATCCTTTGCTCCTCTGTCCAAGAGGGCATCGAGATAGGTAAGCACCAAGGTTTTGACGACACTAGGAGTTGCAGTCTCTTTGTAAGACGCGACTATCACCCCGGTGTGGTCAATCGCCATAATTGTCAGGCCCCGTTCGGAAAGTCCAGTGTAAATGACAATGGCGTCTTGGGGAATGGCTCCATATAATTCTCTTTCTGTATGCGGGAAGAACTTCTCTCGAAAATGCACCTTATCGCACGTATTTTTGCCCTGTCCGCCCCATATATGAGAGTTCCAGTCATCTTTCTCCGGCTCTAGAAGCCGCATCTCCATATCTTCTTCCGCCGTGAGGTTCTTTTTAGCCTGAAGCTCGACCCATGCTTGGTATTTATATCGAGATTTGACGGAGCCTGGCTGTGCCTTGTTTTTCCAAATATACTCAACCTTAGAAGATTCTAGGAAAAGCACAGCATCATCAAAGTGATGACGTGGATTAGCTGTGTAATCAACCTCCCAAGCGAACATGCGGAAAATATCAGGATCGAAACGAGGATCGTTTGTCGCCTCTAGCTTTGTTACGGTCGGCTGATCTCGCTGCCACCTGAGGGCACGATGGACCAAACACCCGAAAAGAAGATTCACTTCAGATAGTTCCCACAACTCTCGGCGCGACTCTTGCTCCGGATGTGCATCTCGATAGAATATTACGAACATCCAGCTTTGCAAAAAATACTGCATCGCGAGGTTGTAGGCCTCTTCTTTCTCATGGACCAGACCCGCGAATAAACATCTCTGCCAAGGCCATAGATGAGTGTAAGATCCAACAGATGTGAAGTATCCAGGTGAAGCTTCGTCGAGCAGCCCCATGAGCTGTTTGGCCCTTTTCCACTCGTTTGCCTTGACACAGGCTATGAAGATAAGCTCAAGAGAGTCTAATTTCCGCCTGTCTATGTAGCGTTGGAGTTCCATCATGGGACTGTCTCCGAAGAGAGTATAAAGTTGATCTGTGGTGTCATGATTGTCAATAGTTGAAAGGAGGTCTATTGCGTGACGCTCTTCCCCATACTTGATGGCGATGTCTATCCGGAAACACTTTGCTTCCAGACTCTGTGCCCTAGTGACTTTGGCGTTGAACAGAAACTCTTTCAAGGCAGTATTAGCGCTGAGAAGATTACCCTCGTGAACGTGACGTTTGTGGCGAAGAACGGCCGTTCCCCCAAGTATATATATATCCTGAAGCTCCCTCCACTTCCTCGTTTGTGGATCATCGGAGAGGTTAGATATCAGATCTAGCATCTCCTGGGTCTTCTGGTCCGGAAAGGCCGCTGGGTTACCCACACGAGAATCGATGGCAATGGTAGCGGCGACAGTGGCTTTGAGGAAATGTAGACATATTGTAAATCCCGTTGGGGTGAGGGACGCGGGTGGGTATCGAAGCCTGTCGGTCGACGAAAACACTAGGCACTGAGATGCGAGCTCCATATATCTATCCTTCAAGTGACCCATCCAAATCGAGGCCCCACGGATGAAGCCCGATGAGAGCCACATATCTGCTTGTACAAGCATGATCTCGAACCACAATGTCCGAAAGACGCTCATCGACTTGATAATCTGTCTTGCAACCTCCATGGAGGCATTCGCCCGGACAGCGTCTCCAACGTGATACCGGAAGTAGAGACCTTGTCTCCAGCCCAGGAGGCCGAGACAGAGTCCGAGGACATGATTGCCAGATTTCTCGGTCCATCGGCCTAGTTCCCGAGCGGCGAGTCGAGCCTCTACGGTGACACTCTGAGAAAGAAGTAGATGCCCATGCACAACTTGGACCAATTGTGTGTCCCCAGAGCGATTGGCCTGGGCCAAGGCCGTTTCTAAATGGTTTGCGACATTGGCTTGGTCGTGTTGATAGGACCAGTAGTGTTTGGTGGAAGACCCTTTCATGATGAGACAGCATGCCTGGCGTAATGCAATCGACGCAAGGCCTCGGGCCGATTCTGCCCTGGAAAAAGACTGACTAGCCTTCTCAAAACATATTGCTGCTGCTTCCACGGAGGCCAAAGGCTTTGTATCACCAAAATCAATTATGGCGCGTTGATTGGCGCGTTGGGGCTGTTGGGGAGGTTGAAATTGTGTTGATTTCTCGGGGCTCTGCGGGTGGTGTTGTAAGGTCAAGGGAAAACGGTTTATCGCATTGCGAACCTGGCCCCCGCCCGAGTGGGGCTCTTGATGGGCCATTTCCGCCGGTCTAGGTGAGGTTCTTTGCTCCTCCTGGTCTGGATAGATCTCATCGACGTGGAAAATCCTGCTATCACCCCCGTACCCGTCATGGCCGTCGGAGAGATCAAAGTTCAGGGCAGCGAGAGATGTGAATGCAGGAGAGGCGTTATGGTCACCTCTAATCAACCAATAAAGGCCCTCGCCTGTGTCATCGCCCATGGATGCGTATATCGATCTCATCTTCTCAAGATGAGCATAGCATTCGGGAGATCCCTGGACATGACATATCTCATATAACTGCAAACTTATATAAGCAGCGACCGCGGGCATACCGATCTGGACGGCTAGAGTGCGGAGCCCAACGAGAGATTTCTTCGACATCGCAAGGATTCTGAAATTCTCTTCATACTGGGGCTGGTGCTCTGCAGAGCCTTTCGAATTCAAGTTTACTCGACGAGCTCTCTTCCGGATTAGATGGTCGATGCGACAGAGCTCCTCGATAATTCGAAACTCCGTCATATCCATCAGAGATACACTTTTGCCGGCTCTCTGTTTGCAGAAATCGAGGGCCTTTCTAGAGACATCTACTGAATTCTCGTTGTGCCAAGTTACCATCGTTGGTCCATCGAGGTTGGAAGACCTATATAGCCGTGGATGGTGTCTCCAATTATGGAGAAGGGCGGTATATGCCTGGGCGCGGAAGGCCCATCTCTCTCCGTAGTGCTCATTGTGGGCAAGACAGTCAAGGTGCTTCGCGGCAACATTGATATCTCCGGACAACAGATGCCAAAGAGCCCACGAGAGGATCAACGAAGCAGTATCATCCAAGACGACAAGCGAGACCTGACGCTGGCGTTCCTCAAGTCTGCTTCGGATGGAATGCAGGTCCGCTCGAAGGTCATCGTAGAAAATCGAACCGCCGAACAGATTACACGTCTCCTTGAAGTCCATTGGAATGAATAGTAGATCTATGTAGCGACTGAAAGGTAGCAGTAAGGAGTAAAAGAGGACTTGGTGGAGAGACTCCTTAGGATGGATGCTCGCCGAATTGGCAAGACGTTAAGAAGAAGGTTAAGCTGAGCCCCCCTCTTTAGTTTTCAGCTTTTGCCAAAGAATGTACAGCCCCAATGGCTGGAAGCCACACCACAAGACCAGTAACAGCGAGCAAGAGACAAGGCGTAGATTCTTAGAGGAATCCGGTTGGTTGTAGCTGAGTCGGAAACCAAGCCACCTTGCTAAAAGCGGGGTAGGACACGGAAGAGATTGGGTTTTTGTCTGAAGGCATAAGCACATACGAAGTAGAGCTTCATTCTTTATTAAATGCTCATTCTCTAGTTTGCGTATTTATGGATGAGAAGCGCCTATTTGCGCCGCCCTCAACACCTAGGTCTTGCGAATAATGATTGACCAGATTTGAATCGCTATGGCACCACAGGAGAGCTTCACTTATTTTTGTTACAAGGAAGGATTCGACCCCAACCTTCTTCGTCTTGGGACGCTGGTTTTAGATTACGCCAATCCGCGGACAAAGAAGCCATATGTTCATCGGGAGGTCAAGTAAGCCGCAGTTCGAGTCATGCCTGGAAGAGCAGGGAAGTTAACTGGATGCCACCTGAAGAGAACTGTTTGACCCTCCGCCCCAAGCTACAGCCGACGAGCGGCCAATCTGCTATCTTTCCCATACCAGGGAGAAGAGCTTCGGGATTGGAGTTGGTCTTCAGCCCCTGCTCGAGCTAGAAAACTCGCATCGAGCGGCCGCGACCCATCTGGTGGTTGGAAAGAACGGGTCCAAGGTTGAGCTGATCGAGTAAGTAGATGCGAGACTGGATACTACAGCAAACAGACGACGATTCACAAAAGCGCAATAGTCTCCGATAAACTAACTTCGGACAGCCCTGATGCTTTCTTCGGACAGGTCTTGGCTGAGAACGAGGCCCGCATTTGGCTCCAAACCCGCCTGTCCGTAGCCCACAAGCTCAAGGCCCTGTACAAGAATCTCGTTAGTGCCCCGAAGATCTGGATGCTTACCGGGATCTATTTGATAGAGGACGCGGTAACCTTTTCTGTCACCTCCAAGTCAAGCTCGGGCACCCTAGCCGGATCCGACCCACTCGCCGAGTGCACAGGCATAGCAGCGCTGCTGGGTGTGTCCCGCGGCGCGAAGGTCAGTCTTGGGGAGAAGCTTGAGGCGCTGGCAGGCACGCAGATACTTGGGAAGAGAGTATGGGCTTCGCAGTGGAAGCAGGTCCACGCGAGATACGCTCTGGGTTCGTCATCGTTGCTGGCAGCCACCTACAACTTGCGCCTGTTGGACATTTGGGGTATTGGGACACAAAGAGGCTCGGGAGATGGAGACATTTTTGCGCAAGTCAGCATGTGTGACGGCCAGGATCCAGAAAGCTGGGCCGCTGAGGAGGGTAAGGTGGAGTACAGCGAAGACGTGTGGAAGGTGTTCATGGCGGAGGTGGATGGGCTGTTAGATGATTTAGAGGAGTAAGCAGCAGCATGCTCTTCTGAGCCGGCTGGAACCACTTAATACCTCATCCATGTATTAAATTTGCCCCGTACCAGACAGAAAACTATTATTCTAATCTCATTACTAGCCTCCTTCCTCTTCAGAAAGTCCGAGAAGTGCGCGACGATATGCTCCAGCATAACCCTCGATCCTTTGGAGCGATAGTATCCTGGTAAGTAATTGGAGGTTGTTAAGAGGTCCCGCTTCTTCCCCGCCCCGATGTCCTGCCAGACCGAGTCACCAAAGTAGCCCTGTTTGCCGTCCAGGACCTCTTCGAGGTGCTTGTAACTCGACGATAAACGTGTATGGAGGGACGACCAGTCGATCTGGGGGTAGCCCTTTTCCTTCCACATCGTACGGGCCTCGTCCTTCTTATGCCTGGTATAGACTAGCAACATCCACTTAATTCTAGATGATTTCGTGGAGTTACTAAGGAGATCTGGGCGGACGGGTCGGCAGCAGACGGGGCACCGAGCATCGGAAATATCGGGGCCGCTAAGACCGGCGGTGCATTTCGTGAGGGACGAGTCGCAATCACTGAGGGTAGGTGGATTGCTGTCACTCTTCATCCTTTTTTGGTGTGAACGAAATGGGGGCGAGAGCCTCTTCCTTTTTACTGCGGGTCCGGTGTGGAGAACTGGAAGCGATGATCTTGTAATGGGAGTTTCTCGGGCAACTTTGTCGTCAGATGAAATCCATGTGGCATCATCATACGAAGACCCTCAGCTGTCAAGGGAGCCCAAGTGAAATCTCAGTGTCTAGGGGGTTTATTACGGAATGGAAATATCTTGATAGCAGCGTACGAACCTCAGCGCTAGAAATATGAACTACTGCAGCCATGGGAAGGGAGTATAGAAGAATTTGGAGATGGAGAGAAGAGGTTAGAGATTGAGAGGGAAAGCTATGTCTGGAAAAGAGAAGAGAAATAGGAACAAAGAAGCGATGATGAGAGGAAGCAGTGGGGGGATCAGATGATCAAAGCAGGAGGTCTAAGAGTTGGGGACACTGGACACCTTGGAGGGATCGAAGCCATGGTAGGGGTCTGCGAGCCAGCGGGCATCGCCCATCTTACCTCCTTAGCCAAATCCTCATCCGCCATCTCCAGCTGATAATTGATGCATTACCAACTCTAGGTGGCTACAAAAGTTCCCCCATCACGCCATTCAACTTTATAAGGCCCAGTCTGCCCGTTTCTTCTAAGATCCATCCAGCCAACCAGTTCTCAGAGCTAAGTTGCAGCTAAATTGAGGTCCTCCCGCCCGCTCTTCCACCCTCCTTTTGGTCCTGGACGCACAATCACTCATTTCCTTTCACAAAGTGATTGTAAGCTTAATTGGATACAGAAGGCGAATCATGGGTCATGGGGCATGATGTATAATTACTTCATGCATGGTGTGGCTGTCTTAACACTGAGAGAGCCATAGCAGGATCCTTGTTAGTGGCCTCTTCTCTCAATGATCCTGTCGGGGATGGGCGTTCCCGGATTAAGTAACCCCTTTGTCGATAGAGAAGGGTGGAAGATTTAAAGATAAGAGGGTAAGAAATTATGAACAGGAGTCTAGAAGCTACTATTAAGTATGAGGTTTGATAGTGTGGGAGAGAAAGGAAAGTGGGAAGGGGAGGGGTGTCCTTATTAAGGATGTGCTTGTATTAGTAAGTCCGTTTTCTGAAATAAGGCAGCATTATGTCAAAAAAAATAGGATATGGTAACGGAATTAAATTAACGGCCATGAGTTGTGAAGTGTCGGCTCCGGACGATGTTAATTGTGGAATCGCTCCGGAAGATGTCAATCCTGGGTTGCTCTGGAAGACGTCAATTTCGATATTAATCGATCTGCGAAGTGTTCCGATCCTCGCCCCGCGTTCCCCATCACACCAGGGGAAAGACAGCCCCGGCTGACTATGATCCCCTTCGTGGGGGTCGGGGATTGGATCCGGAGGATTTCGACTCTCGCCGTCGCCGGTTGAATCGACCAAGATTAGTGAACGCCAAGCCGGAGTTGCTGAGAGAAGAAGATCCTTGGTTCGGTGGTGTAGTTGGTTATCACGCTTGTCTAACATCTGCAAGGTGCTGGACACAAGAGGTCCCCGGATCGAGCCCGGGCCGAATCAAAAATTCCATCTTTTTTCTTATACACATACTTTTTACGCCCTTTTTTGCTCTACTTGCTCTTCTGGTCTAGGAACAACTCAATGTTTGCTTGGCAGAGGTTGACTGGGAAATAGGTACTTGTACAAGTCGGGCCCCATTTCTTACAACAGGGGTATGGCCCAGTCAATGGAACCCACATCTCTCACATCTCTCCATAAGAGCCCCTCGCCTCTCGTCCAATGTCCCACCTCACTCAGGCCCTTCGATCATCTTTCAAACACCTACACTTCCAATCATGGCTTACGATCGAGATGAATTCGTCCGTCTTTTGACGGACTACTACAACTTCTGTAACCGCGTCTTCTGGAATGCCACTATCGCGCAGGCTCCTGCTGGTGGCTGGCCTTCGATCAACCAGGAGACCTTAGCCAACCTCAAGAGGAGCGACACAGTTATTGAGCTACTACGCCACATTCCCTACCTCAACTATCCTGAGAACGATCTCATCCATGCGCCCCTCATCATGGCTAACACGCCTGTTACTGATTACCGCCGCGAGGACATACAAAAAAAGATCCGCGAGGGTTGCATCGAAGGCATCGCTGCGCCCATTACTGGCCAAGACCCTGCGATTCCACCCTCGTGTGCTGCTATTGCTGTCTGCAGGAGCAGGAATGGTTATCATGTCATCCTGGATACCAATGATGGCTATATCTACTGGGGCGAGCCGAGCGGACAGCACGATGAGCACGCGCCCGGGCTGAATAGTACTTTAGAACAGTTTAAGGGCGATGAGGCGAATAAGTGGCGGGATGGTTTCAATGTATACGAACCTGCCGACTTTTTTACGCTCTGTAAGGAGCGATACCGGGAGCTTAGCTGGATCGGCCTTGGCCAGTGGGACATGTCTGTGATGAGGAGAAACATGAGCTGGGAATATGAGTCTGGACCTGACTCTGATCCTGAGGATGATTTTAGCCATAATAAGCTGGCTAGGAAGATGAAGAAGGCGGGCTGGCCTGGTGACGGGGAGGGGAGGGGCTGGGACCGGGCCAAGTTTGAGAGACTAGTCAGTCAGGGCAATGATGAGGAAGAGTAACATGTACAAATCTAAATAGTCTGCCGACAGACACTAGGCCAAATTTGAGACTTCACTCGATGAGGATGTACGTGAGACAGGTTGAAGGTATTTGTCATTATTTTGGCTTTGAAGTCGAGGTAAAGTATTCCCCTCTGTCGTGCTTACGAGACAGTCTCCTGTCTCTAAGTGTGTTTCGCTCCCCGTCGCACCATCTATGTCTATACGTCACAAGTCGGATTGCGTTCCCCCCCACCCCCCTGCCAGTAGCAATTTAACATACTATTCAAACACCGACGCAGGCGTACGCGTTTGCCCAGAGCTTCATGCAGTCGCTACCAATAGACGGGTTTCAGGTAATCATCTGCCGGACCGTAATGCCGCAGCGTTTGGCGACAGTCTCGCACGTGTCACCCAAGCGGATGAGCTCAAACTTCTTGCAGTTAGCGACAATGCTGCCCTGCGTAGGCTGCGGGGTCTGGATGCCGTTGCCGGCCGTGGTGGTTGTGGTCTGCGGGACGGTGGGAGTGCCGCCAATGATGCCGATGCAGGCGTACGTGCTGAGCCAGAGGTTGGTGCAGCCGTTGTTCAGGCCGTTCCAGGAGATGATGTCGGTGGTGCGGACGTTGTTCTTCTGGGCAATGGAGGCACAGGAGTCACCATCCTGAACTATGTAGAACCTGTTGCAGTTGCTGACGATGCCGTTTTGGACGGGCTCAAGGGTCTGGACGCCATTACCAGCAGAAGTAGCGGTGGTAGTGGTGGTGGAAGCCCTGCTAATAGTAGGAGAAGCAGTGGTGACGGTCTTGCTGGTTGCGGTGGAGGTGCTAGTGGTAGTGCTCTCCTCCTCCTCGGGGGGGGTAGGCTCGTCGAAGCCTTCGACACTGTAGCTGTTGCTAGACTTGATACCAGAGCAGTCTGAGACAACGGAAGGGTTCTGTGAGGATTAGTGTAAGTGAGAATACTTTTTTCACTGACAGGGTATGCTTTTCCTCCTTGAGATGTCCAGTTGATACGTACCCAGCGACGGAATCTCTTCAAATCAATCTAGTTAAAGTCAAGAACCTCCTGACAAGTCTGCGATCCGTCATAGTCGGTCCACCACGTGCAGTACGGCGTGGTGTCAAAGGCGTGCGGCAGGCCGGGCTCCGCGTCATCTCTGGCTTGGAGGGGAAGGGCGGCAGCTGAGGCCAGACCGAGGAACTGTGCCACGATGGTGGCAGCGGCTAGTTGCTTGAGCATAGGAATGGCCATGTTGACAACAAACGAAGACAGAAGAGGAGGAGAGAAGGGGAAGAGGAGAGGAGGGGCGGATCTGCACTCGGTGATTTGCAATAATCAAAATTGTCACTCAGGATACCAAACCACATTTATCTATCAAGGGAGCAATGCTGTGCCATATGCTCTGGCAAACACATCCTCACACAGAAGAGGGCACATCGTATGAGGGACCGAGCCAGAGCCATGGCACGCTCACTTCGCAGGCCATGGCTCTTTGCCCGCCCGGATGCTCGTCTCCGGACAGGGAGACTAACATTGAAGGAAACGAGGCTCCGCCGCATAGCCCATTCTCCTTCGGCAGGGTCGGAATGCACTTGACCGAAGGTATCATTGGATGTCGAGATGGAGAAGAAAAAGCCCGGTCCACTTCACCCTCAAGCACGAGATTGAGCAGTTTAGACCTAACCTGCCTAGTCTGGTCAAGCTCCTTGCTGACCCCCATGCCCCACTCTTAATCCCTGACCGTTGGTTGCAGTTTACTTCGTATGGGGGGCGGGCCGTTTGCGGGTCGGTACCTCAAGGACTTGCCAATCTAACCGACTTGTAGGGCAAGGCTTGCCTTCTATTTCGTAGATTAATATTCCTTGTCTGTAATGAGTGCTACGCCGCCGAGGTTCGTTCGGCCGATGTAACTAGTCAGATTATTGGCCGGATGGATAGCCAGAAGGAAAACCTCGTAGAGATTCTCTGGACCTAGAATTTCTTTTTTTAAGTCAAACTTATAATGCTGTGTTCGAAATGGCCATCGATACCCACCCACGCACCGAACAGAATTCCGCGAGTTCAAGAAGCTGAGCGGCAAAGCTATAAAAGTATCTTACGGGTACTACCAATACCGATATGTTGTAGCGCCATGCATGTGTAGTTAACTACAAAGAGCCGCTCAAGGATACCGTAGGACTGGCATACCTGGTAGATCCATCTCTCAGGCGTTGATCATCGAGCCACCCCTAGAGAAAGCGCTTGGCATTAATACCCCGTGGGCTCCGGGGACCGACTCGCCAAGGCGCTCGGAGTTTAGGAGTTTAGCCACAAGAGGCACGGAGATAGACGTGAGACGTGATTAAGCTTAGAAATACTCCATTGATTAGAAATCGCCGCAACATCAACAGTGTGAGTTTCGTAAGACGTGCTTTCGGCAGAAGATTCTGGGGCCAGAGACGAAGTGCCCAAGGAATAGTACATAAATATGCACTGTCCCCTTCAAGAGGCATGGCTCTTCCGCTGGAGTTTCTACGGGAACACCATCATAAAGTAAACACCACACGGTTCTTGATCCACCATGTCCACCACTTATCTCGTCACCGGCGTTTCGGGCAGCCTCGGGGTATGTTGTAAACAATAGGTAGCGCCATAACCGCCTACAAGAAAGAGCGCTAACAGACAACGCTACTGACAACCCGTGTGCGTCGAAACAGTGGGCATTTCTGAAACATCTCTCCAACGATCCCAATAACACCGTCATCGGCCTTGTCCGCAACAAGCCCGGCACGGAGAAGCGCATTGCGGAAGAGCTTAGCGACCGCAAGAACATTCAAGTCGTAGAGGGTGATATCACAAGCTACGAATCGCTCAAGGTATTTCAATAACCCCGACGCCTGTTCCCTCGAGAGCCAATTTCCGACATGCGTCTCTAGAAATCGGTGGACGAAGTGAGCAAAATCACTGGGGGAAGCCTCGAGTACCTCATCGCCAATGCAGGCTTGGTTTCACGTTGGTCCGGCAACTTGCCGATAGACATTCTGTGAGCACCCTCTCTCTTTCTCTCTGTCTCTCTCTCTCTCTCTTGTTGGGTGGTCCGGAGGATTGACGAACGTATAAACTAATACTTAATCCTTCGCAGTTCCGAGACTCCAGAGAAACTCGAGGAAAACCTCCTCGACACTTTCCGCGTCAATGTCATCGGCCAGATTAACCTTTTCAATTCCTTCCTCCCCTTGATCCTTAAGGGCAAGACGAAGAAGGTCATCACTTTGGGCACTGGCTTGGCCGATACTAACTTGACAGCCAAGTACAACGTTGAAGTCGCAGCCCCCTACTCAATCAGCAAGGCGGGAACCAACATGGCCGTGGCCAAGTACCACGCCACCTACGGCCCTCGGGGTGTCCTATTCATGTCTATTAGCCCTGGCTTCGTTGAGAGTGGCCACCAAGACGGCCGTAAGTTGTAACCCAGCGATTGCCTGGCCTGGTGCGTGCCTGAGAACTAACAGTTACCGCATAAATAGTGACCGAGCAGGAGATACCGTATGTGCAAAGGATGGTTGCCAGTTTCGGGGAATACGCTCCACATGCTCGAAAGTTCACGCCGGAGGAATCCGTTGACTATATGTTGAAGGTTGTTCACGATGCGACCATCGAGAAGTATGGAGGTGCTGCTGTGTCACACAACGGAGACGACCAATGGCTCTAGGATGGTGCGGATTTTATTGGATCGGGGAGAAGTAATTAGCAAACCAGATATTTACATTTTTTCGTAATTCGTCTCCCGGCTACGCGGATTTCGCAGGCCGTTCCGGATCACTCTCCTCCGGCGTGTACCGCGATGTGCCCACCCTCCTAACTACAAGCCACGCAGGCACGATAGACAGCCCCCAAAGTCCAAAATTGAAAGCCGCGCTCCCCAGTGTTGCAAAGACCGGCAGCGCATTCAAGCCGTAGCTAAGAGCCTGCCATGCCGATTCCGTGGCCCGCAGAAGCGCCGCTAGCCGAACAGTCTCCTGCGACGACCTAGAGATCTGGCCAATGAGGAAGATGCCGAAATTGTAGTTGAGCTGAAAGCCAGCGACCAAAAACACGAACACACCAAACGCGCGACCGAACCCTGGGTCGCTCCAATCGTACACCGGCCCAACGCGGCGGAACTCAGCGAGGTTGACGACGATCCAGATCCACCACGCGCCCTGGATAGTCATGATCACGGCGAAGGCCCAGCGGGCTCGCGCGCGAAGTGTGACGGTGGAGCGATCGAGCCAGAAGCCTAAGATCAAGCTCGCGAGCACGGCGACAATTCCCGATATGAAGGACCCCAGGGCGCGTGCGCGCACGCTGAACCAGAGCGCGATGTAGGTGAAGAAGACAGCCTCGGAGTACACGCCTTGGCCGATCCAGAGGATGAGGAGGAGGTAATCGGCTCGCAGGAAGGAGCGCGTCGTGGCTTTGAACTCCTTCCATGGTTGGTCGAAGATGGCCAGGTCCACGGGCTTGCCGTCGGATCGACGCACTTGCGAGGGTCGGTTGAGCAGCAGTGCCGCTAGGGGGCCGAGGCATTGGAGCGCAATGAACACTAGGTACACTGTGTACGACACCTTGCCCGCCTGGTTTCTATCGGCGTTCAGGCCGAGATTAATAGCGCCGCCGAGAATCTGACCGGCCCGGGTCCAGGTTAACCAGTAAGCTACCAAGCGGCCCCGGTTCTTTGGCTCGGGGTACCCGATGGCGATAGCGGCCTCTGCAGCCCAAAAGATGCCCGCCGAAATGCCACAGAATGCCGCCCCCAGGATCACCAGCCACTCCACTCCGTATCGGTTGTTAAGGTACAACCCCGCGCTATAGGGCGCGAACCCCACTGTGCCGGCTACCAGCGCGCCCTTGATGCCGACGTACCTTACTAGGCCGCTGGTCAGCCAGCACGAGATGATCATGAGGCAGAAGGTGAGAGCGTTGGCCGTGTTGACCAGGTAGGGTTTTTGCGCGCCCCCCGCGCCGAGGGAGTTCATGGCGCCCCAGAGGCCTGGGGCGGCGAAGCTGCAGATGCCCAGGACGGTGGCATTGTAGAATGGGGTGCGGTTCCATGGGGCTGTTTCGGGGAGAGTGAGGCTAGGTTAGGAGATTTCATTTCCGGAGTGGCTAGGAAGAGGTGAACACTATTTTTCCCTTACCTCTTTCCGTCTCCGTGGTAGTGACGGTGACTGCGGCGCCGAGCTTCTCGGTCAGATCGGGAGGTTCCGGATGGACGTTATGTTCAGAGGATGTCATTGTAGGTGAACGCAGTGTGTGGGGAGGTACTTGGTAAGTGAGCGTCTTCAGAAAAGTTCGGCTTGATCGTTCGTTCCTCTCCGGTGAGTCTTTGCTGGTAGCGTTCGCCGCGGTGCCAAAAGATATAGGAAATATGCGGTCCGGGGCGCCGTGGGACCGATGAGGGCGGATGTAACCCAACCGGATCACACAATCCGCTCCGAGAATGAGGACATGGCCCTGGATACGACTCCTATGGAATATCAATTAGTCAACCAGTAAGACACGGAGTAATACAGACTAACACTAGTCTTCTTTGTGGCTTTCCCCCATTATGGATTCAAGGGACGTGGAACAATGGACACAGGAGGTGCCTTCGCTTTCCCCGATCTCACCCTTCTTACACCACCACTTATATGGCCCATGCTCTAGAATCTGGTAAAGCTCGTCTTCCGAAGAAATGACATCGAGCGGTGGATAAGGATTGTGCTTATCCTCGGGCCTCTGCTGGCGGAGCTTGTCGACCGCGTCAGCCCTTGCCGTGATGAGCGCCGGAAACAACACCAACCCGCCCTGGACGAGCAGCCGGTAGAGAAACCGGACCACCTCCGGCGTCACGCGCTTCAGGCTGACGGTATTGAGGTCCCCTCTCCAGGACTTGGGATCCTCAACCACGTGCACACTAAGCTCACCGCCATCCGCTGTCGTCAGCGTGCGCCATCCATCCTCGCTCTCAGAAGCCCTGGCGTCATCCAAGGCCAAGCTGAACAGCATATTGCACGAGTCCTGGTCCGTCGCAGCCGCCACCAGTCCGTAAATCGTCCAGAAGCATGCCCCAAGTTTCCCAAACACAACGAGGACCTGGCCATCGTCATCCTGGCTCTTGGTTTCCTTCAGGGGGCAAGCTTTGGACGACTCCGAGAAGTTCAGATCCTGCGTGTATGACTCGACAGGGGCGCCCTGCCACCACAGCGCCTGCCGCACCACCCGCTGACACCGGTCCAGCTCCCCGTGCATGTCCAACGCCAACGTAAACGACGTCTCGGTCATTGACCCGTCAGGCAGTCTCGTGCGGGTCGTCCCGTGGCGATGTGCAGAGCTGCAGAGCCGAGGTCGAGGTCGCGCAGCATCCGGCTGAGCGACATCTGCAGACACGTCGCCGCGTTCTGGAAGAGCCGGCGCGGGGAGGAGCCGATGGGCACCTGGAGCTCCAAAGCGTGCTGCGGTGGCAAGTCATACTTTGGCAGGTCCGTCGCGGCGGGGTACTCGTCGCCGGCAGGCGGGGCTAGGCGGTTGCGGATGGTCTCCTCGGCGGCGGCAAGGAACAGCATCCAGTCCTCGAAGGGGAAATCCTTGCTGTTCGTCTCGCGATGGGTGTGCAGCCGCTGGGCTTGTCGTGTACCAGCAGTACTGCTGGATGACCCAGCCTTGGATGATGGCATCATAACGCCATCTAAAGTCGGCGCTGCGCTGGTCGATGTTCATGAGGACCAGTCTGATTTCCTTGTGCGTGAAGCCCACGCGGGAGAGGAACGTGGAGACGACCGCAGCGACAGCGTCGACGTCGTCGCCTACGCAGATGGGGGTGAAGGGCGCCAGCAGGAGGACCACCAGGCCAGGATGCGAGAAGGACGTGGGGTCGCGGGCACGGCTAATGAGGAGAAGCTCGCTCCATCGGAGGAGGTAGGGAAAGCTGTGAGGGCCGGTCACGGCTACTTCGACAGGTTTTGCTGGTGATGATGGGGAGATGAAGTTGAGTTGGCGCTCAAAAAGGCACTTGAGATGGAAGCTGAGGGAGAGGTTATACCCACCGCCCACGGAAATGTCGCAGACGACGTTCTCCTCGGGATCCCATGGCTCCTCATTGTCTGGGCGTATGTCAAAGTACACAGTCCAGAACCGCTTGGTCCATATCACCTCCTCGAGGGCTGGGGGAAGTGGCATGGTGACGGCTCGCCAGAGAGTTGATTGGACAATTCGCAAGGGAGAAGGTCAATGATGGAACTGTTGAGTTCCAGTACATTCCAACAGGCAAGCAGGTCGCTGACGGGCTGACGAGGGCCTTGCCGAAGGATCTCTTCTTACTATTTCTGGACGCATTGGGTCTCAAAGAACGACGATTGTAAGAAGGTGCAAAGATGAGCTGAAGTGGGAGACCTACCATGGATAGACAGGAGATCCACGACCCAAGATTGCACTGAAATGTGAGGAAGGTGCAAAGATGAGCTAGAGTGGGAGATCTCGGATAGAAGAAGACCCACGACCTCAATATTGCACTGAGCGTGAGAAACGTGCAAAGATGGATTGAAGTTGGAGGTCTGCCATGGACAGGAGACCCATGGACTCAAGATTGCACCGGATTTGAGAAGAATGTGTAAAGATGGGTCTCCGTGGGAGATCCTCTATGGACGGAAGAAGATCCATGAGTTCAAGATTGCACTGGACCGAGAAGAAGGTGCAAAGATGAGCTTAGATGGGAGATCTTCTGCGGATAGAAGAAGACCTGCGGTCCCAGGATTACATGGAGCTGTCAAGATGAATATCTTGGAATGTGTCGTTCTGTAAGACGGCATGATGCCATACCGTCTTATGTCGTACGGGTTCTGCAGCACAGCTATGCTCTTGGGTGTATTTTGTAACCTTTCTCCACATCTCGGTCCTCCCGCAGGAACCCGTTTTCCTTCACGTAGAAAGGGGTCCTCCGGCGTGCCAGGGATGAGCGTCCCAAAACGGGTTCAGCTCCACCAATGACCCTTCGACCCTAAGGGGCGTGGAACCTCTCTGGCAAAGATGATCTTACCGTATTCAGCACCGGTAATCTCCATGTGGCGAACACCTGCCCATTGAGGTGGTCCCATGTAAGTCAATTTAGACTTGTTTCTCCAATGCTGGGGACCTTTCAACAAAGAAGTGGATCGCCACTTGTGGCTGCGGTCGCGACTGAGCAGGAATGAACCTAGCGATCGGAGCTTTAATTTCTCAGCTTACCACTCCTTCTGCTTTTTGATCCTTGGACCGGGTCGTGCTGAAGAGGCTCGGCATCTCGCTCTTGATATTCCTCCGTCCCTCGGTCCCATGTATTCGATACAATTTCCGTAGGTAAGCAACGCAGCAGTTATTGTCCGGCTGTTCGCCAGACCCGAAAGCGAGTATAGGCAGTGACTTCGCACTCCTTGAATGATGATCTCTGGCGCCATTCGAAGTCTTGATCTCCAGATTTCATCTTGCACCGCCATAATGAGTACCCGGAGCAATGTTTCCTCCGGTCAAAGGTGTTGCCAAGCAGCAGAACATGCCGGCTGCTTACTGATTACACCAAGACCGGTTCTCAGCTCTGGTAATGAAACAAATCCTGGAGTCGCGAGACCCTCCCATATAAATCGATGGCAGCGCAGACATTTGTGCATTCTCGTATGCGCACGCATCCTATGACTGACACAACCTGTCTCCTCTCAAAAATGAACCAAGCCATGCATCTTGGGAATTTTCTTGTGGCGCTTCTCTTTGCCCTCCTCACGGCAGGCACAGCTTTGGCTAACGTCCCTGACCCCGCCAAGGATGCAGCCCCTTACCAGAAGGGATTTGCCCTTTTCCGCAGTGCCAACATGGCTGGCGCGGACAAGCTCTCGAGCGGCATCGGGTTCCATTCTTTCAGAATTCCTGCCGTTGTCAGAACCACCACTGGTCGCATTCTCGCATTCGCTGAAGGCCGGCGGTGGGATAACCGCGACTATGGCGACATCAATCTAGTCTTCAAGCGGACCAAGACAGTCAGCGACCACGGAGCCAACCCAAGCGACTGGGAAGGCCTCCAGGAGGTCGTGGGCAAAGGCGACGGTACTTGGGGCAACCCGACACCAGTCGTGGACGGCAAGACCATCTACCTATTTCTCAGCTGGAATAGTGGCGCCTACAGCCAGAACGGCAACGATGTTCTTCCCAACGGCAAGAAGACCAAGAAGATCGACTCGACTTGGGAGGGCAGACGCCATCTCTACCTCACGCAAAGCATCGACGATGGGAAGACGTGGTCCGAGCCTGTGGACATGACGAAGCAGCTCACGCCCGATGGGCAGGCGTGGGATGCCGTCGGTCCTGGCAATGGCATCGTCTTGACCACGGGCGAGATTGTCGTCCCGGCCCAAGGGAGAAACATCATCGGCCGCGGCACGCCCGGCAAACGCACCTGGTCCTACCAGAAACTCAGCGGCGCCGGATCCGAAGGCACCATCGCCCAGACCCCGGACGGAAGGCTATACCGCAACGACCGCGCCGGCAAGGACGACGACTACCGTAAGGTGGCCCGGGGGACCCTCGACTCGTTCGGCGGCTTCGCCCTCGACAAGGGGCTCCCGGACCCAGCGTGCGAGGGCTCGACCCTCCTGTACAACCTGAAGGACGATAAGGGCCCGTCGCGCGTCATCTTCCTCAATTCGGCGGACAAGAACAGCCGGCGGCACATGCGGGCCCGGATCAGCTACGACGCTGATGCGAAGAAGTTCAACTACGGGCGGAAGCTCTCCGACGCCCCGATCTCTGGCGTCGGGCACGAGGGTGGCTACTCGAGCATGACCAAAACAGCCGACTTCAAGATTGGTGCTCTGGTGGAGACGGATTTCTACCAGACCGGGGGATCGAAGGATGACCACCGGGCTATTGTTTGGAGGAGGTTCAATTTGAGCTGGATCTTGAACGGTCCTAACAACTAGATGCAATATCCTCTGCTTAGAACCAGAACTTGCCAGCGATTGATCGCCTTCGCTATAATTTTTTCAATGATAAGTTCAAGAAATCCAGATATTTTACAAATGCTCCAGATCCTCCAGAAGTAAAAACTTGCCGTCAGAAAGGGGCTGTTTCCTGCCCACTCCGACACGAACTTTCGGGTCCGACCATCATGCCAGAGGAACTTCATCAGAGTCGACTTTCCACTGCCGGCTTTGCCCCGTACCCAGTAGATTCCCGACTTGGATCTTAACCAGGCCGAAAGGTCGCCCGAGTCCGAACCGTCTGGCTGCGGTTGAAGGGCCCACTCAAACGTGGACGGAGCAGTGGAGATACTTTGTTCTCGCGACTTCATCTCGGGGTACGACAGTAGGCTATGGATCCTTGATTGGCACTTTATTTGCGGACTTTGCGTGGCAGCCTTGACTATATATATCTGCTCTAGACCGTGAAGCGTCGCAAACTAACTTCAACTTGTTGGTCCGGAGGTCCTCGGAGAAATCTTCCTCCATCATGGTGCAAGTGAAGTTACTCGAGGTGTCCGGAACAAGCTTGTGCAACCTATCAACAAAGTACGAGATGTCTGTGATGAGGCCATTGAAGCTATCCTTGTCCTTGACAACCCAACGAGTGCAGTTGAGGGGCGAGATTTTAAGATTCTGGATCCTGGCACTAAGATCCTCGTACGGTTTATTGAAGTGAAGCAGTCGGCGCCCGCTGATGGTATCGGATGAAGTGAATTTGTCTCCCATGCGTGCCATCTCCTGGGTGAAAGGCCGAAGACCGTATCGATTCTCAAGCGCCGTAGCGTTACTTAGGAGTGATCGCAGCTGCTGGAGGATCTTGCTGACTGTTTGCTGGGTGGAATTCTCATCGAGTCGCGCGTCATGATCATTATGGATTCTTGGGGCATGGAACAATGGACCTACCGAAGGAATGGCGAGGTTGTTGATACGCCTATTACCACTAACATTCTTGGAGACGCATAATACAACGATGCCGGCTGCAGTGGTCACTACCACCAAGTCCAGTCGGGCCTTACCAACCCTCCATACGAAGTAAGAGGATTTTTTTTACGACTAATTCGGCACATCATACGCTACAACCCTCTCAGTCCAGCTCAATTATTGGGACAGTCTCTCAGGCGGTTCTTCATGGAAGGCCTGCGTCTCTTCCCCTCTCCCAGTTCATCCAAATTTGCCAACGCGAAGAACCTGTAGGGACTGAGAAATTTATGCTATCACCGCCCATGAGATCGACCGCGCTGAAAAGCCCTTATTCTGTCTATAATCTACAAATGAAAAGTATGCTATGATTCGACGACTAATCTCCGTTCAACCACATCTTCTGCGCAATACCGTGTCCTCAGAACCCCGCCTACACGCATGAGTTAATCCAAACATTCATTGCACCCACGGCGTCGTCGATCAGCCAATAGTCAAACTTGCCATCGGCATCTAGGTTCCCGAATCTGATATTCTGCCGCGTTGCGCCCGATACACCACTCGCAACCATGCCCTGATTCTTCCACACGATATTCTTCGGATCTGTGCCGGTGTTGAGCCAGCCATAAATAGCGCCCTTATCCGTGACCATGAGATAATCAGCCTTGCCGTCACCGTTGAGATCCTCTAGGAAGACGTTGTCACGCGCTGAACCGTCCACGCCGACTGCAATCTTGCCTTGGTTTTCCCAAGTCGGGCTGCGGGCATCGCCCTTGTTGAGCCACGCGCTGACGGAGCCGTCATTCCAGATCACACAATAATCCGCCCGTCCGTCGCCGTCGATGTCGGCAAACCGGACGTTGTTTAGCGTTGCGCCATCAACGCCAACCGCAATCACCCCCGCTGAGTTCCAAGCGGGATGGTCGGTGTACCCTTTATTGAACCACGCTGTGACTGCGCCGTTATCCGCTACGACTAAGTAGTCATCTCTGCCGTCACCGTCCATATCTGCCAATCTAATCCTCTCGCGAGACCCCCCCGGAACGCCCGGGGCAATGAGCCCAATTGACACCCAGTCCGGATGGTCCACAAAGCCACGATTAAGCCATGCCCTGATGCCCCCTACGGCGTCCATGTAGAGGTAGTCATCCCGCCCGTCGCCATCGATGTCCGCAAGGCGAACGTTGGGGCCGACTACCTCCAGGTCCGGCATGTTGAGCCATGCATCAAGAGCCCCGGTGGAGGGGTTCATGATGAGGTAGTCGGCTCGGCGGTCGTTGTTCACGTTCGCCAGTCGGACGTTCTCGCGTTGTCCACCATCAACCCCAACTGCGATGGTGCCGAGCTTCTTCCAGACGGGTTGTCCTACTGGGCCGGTATTTTGCCACGCTGAAATGTCGCCCTTTTCGCCCACGAGGAGGTAGTCTGCACGCCCGTCACCGTCAATATCTGCGAACCGGACGTTGTCCCTGTTTGCGTTGCCAACTCCAACCGCGATAATTCCTGAGTCGAGGAGTTAGCTCCCATGGTCTACACACGTTATTCTGGAGGATGGGGTGGCCCTTACCATGATTGACTCGTGTTGGATTCATGATATCTCCTTGAAGGGAAACCGCTCGGACAGCGCCAGCATCGGATACCAAGAGGTAATCAGCCCTTCCATCCCCGGTCGTATCAGCGAAGAGAACCGCATCTCGGCTTGCCCCGTCATAATGGGGGATAATCAGACCAGCACGAGTCCATTTTAGGTGCGCGGGGTTATTGATCGGACAGAAAACGCCACGACGAGCCAATCGCCCTCCAGGCAGCTCGCGACCCCTCCTCCGCGAGACCGGTGAGTTGCATGTGTTGATCCAAGCCTGAACTGCGCCATCCGCATCGACGCGGAGGTAGTCTACCCTCCCGTCTCCGTCAACGTCGGCGAGAATCACGTTCTGGGGGCTCGCGCCGTCAACACCGACGGCGATTTCGCCCACATTCCTCCATGGATGAGCCGGGTCTCTGTTGTTGATCCAGACGTTGAGGGCCCCATTTGCACCAACGAGAATGTAGTCATCCAGCCCGTCGCCATCAATATCGGCAAGAATGACATTGCCTGCATTCGCGCCGCCCACGCCGTCAGCGAAGCGGCCCTGGTTCTGCCACTTTATTGTCATGCCGTAATTTATTCCGGTGCCGACCTCGCCCATGTTGAGCCACGCGTAGCCATTGGGACAAGTTGGCGTAACGTCAGCAGGGGGGGCGTTTCCCGGTGCTACCGGGTCCTTCATCCAGCCAAGCTTGTTCGCCGCCTGGATAGTCTCATACCACACGGCAGCCATCTTGTCATAGCCGCCGTTGTTGGGGTGCAGGCCGTCAACAAAATCGCTACGCGCAAGCGTCTGGCTCATGTCGGCGATCATAACATTCTTGCCCGCACTTTGCCGACTGGCGACCACCTCAACCACTGCTTCATTGAAGGCGGCCCGGTCAGCCTCGACGCTGCTGTCCACGGCCATGATGATCTGCGCTACCAACACCGTTGCATCAGGGCATTCATCTGTCGCTAGATCAATTAGGCTACCCAACCTCGTCGGCGCACCAGCAACGTCGACGTTCTTATGCAGATCATTTGTACCGGCATGAATGAGGATGACATTTGGCCGCATATAAAGGACGTTTCTGGCATGTTGCGTGATCTGCGCAATAGTGGCACCAGGGTACCCCTCATGTTGGTTGTCGGTCATGGTACCGGACTCCTGCGAGCCAACAAAGTCAACCTCGTTGTCGCTGCCCGAGACGAGAAGCTGATGGAGCTGTCTCCGGTAGCCGTTCCCGTCCGTTGACAGAACGCCAAACGTCAAGGAGTCGCCCAAGGGGAGGACACGGATTTTCGGTAGTGGGGTTTGTGGCGGAGGAGGGATGTCCGGAGTTCCAGGCGATCCTTCGTCCAGGCCATAATCAAATAGAAAAGCATCCCCAAACTCCGTGTGACATGCCCCCCACTGCGAACAGTCCTGGCTGACAGGAATCTTGGGCATGGCCTTCTCAAGATTGCTCGCAAACGTCTCATCTTTGAACGCGATTGTCGCGGCACCGAAGTCATAAGCGAAGAGTTGGTCCCGAATGCCGTCTGGGAAGCCATTATAGGAGACTAGAGGAGATCTGACCCACACCCCCTTGTGGTTCTCGACGTTGTCATCGTCTGTGTTGCCGAAGCGGAACGCGTGGGTACTACCGCCATCCTTGTGGTAGACTATCTTGGGGTGTGTGCCATCCCAACGTACTTCGTCCGCCGGTCGGAGGCTGTAGGAGCCGTGGGCAGATGCACCGACGTATTCGGCTTTGTCGTCCTTGACCCAGACGACGATATGCTCCCAATCATGGCGATGACCAGGGTTGGCCACGTGTTCGATAGCAACATCCTTCTCAAAGTAGTAGCCGTAGAGATAGACACACCACCCACTGTTGCAGCGCTGGCGCGAGTATGCATTGCTATTATCCAGGTCCGACTCGTCACGACAGTCCGCCGGTCCAGTAGTGAAATTAGGGTCGAGGCCCTCGGAAATGTTGCCCTCCGCATCAATAGCAGGTACGTTATAGCAACCATCTCTATCGTAATCGAGAGCCGGTTGCCACTTCAAGTCATTCTCCGTGGCACGCTGTGGAAGGGCAGTTGGCGGGTCTGCAGACACGCAGGGGGTCAGGACCGTGAGCACTGTCAGCAGGATAGATATAGCTCTGTATAGCCAGTGACCCCCAAGCGGAATATTTGTGCTCCATCGAGGAGGCGAGGGCATGGCCATCTTGCGTAGATTCTTGCAGTCCTCGGCCAGTGGAACAACCTGGATCAGGGGGTGTCAAGTCTGCTGGGGAAAAGGAACTGCGAGCACCGTTAATACTGTACTAAAGACGTAGTCGATGAGGACATACAGAACCCACCACAATCACTGTCTAGCAACCCTTGGTAGCTGCTGTAATAACCTGGTCTCTTGGAAAGACGGACTCGTCCCTTCATGTTCTGAGTTCTGAGAGGAGGGTTCGCGTTTTTTATGTTAATGTCGACCCAAGGAGACTGGTATATCGAGTCTTTGGTTGGACGCCAAATCAATTGCCGGACAACTGCCCAAAACGGGCCATCGTCCGGCTTCATGACGGAACAAGCTCGAAGCAGGATAGATCCTCAAGACGTTGGTGACGGAATACTACCCTATCAAGTTCTTCCTGTATTGTACGAGATTCCCCTGCAGTCCGCCCGTAAGCTGAGGATCGTGAGTGACCCGAACTGCATGGCCTAGCGTTTTCTGAGGAGGTTCAAGGCTGGTCTTGAATTCCTCGTTTATACCTTAATCTCCGACGGTCGTGGCAGAGTTTCGCGCTACGCGACTATGGTTGTTGATTGGTCACAGCATTTTCCTAATTGAGACAGAATCTAAATACATTTGTTAACAAGTCCAAAGGCACACTGGCACTGGACTCGGTCAAGGGTCCAGAACCCCGGCTCCGAACGACGACCGAAGGGCTGACAGCCATGTGAGGTTCAACAAGGTTGGCCTGGACCAGACATTCGTGGGGGCCCCTCTTAGGGCTGTAGCTGCCCCTGTACTAGCCCGAAGGAGCAGACACTCCGCCAGAGGATGGTGAGAGTAAAGGGGCTGGCTGTAGGGCCTCGGAACCATGCAATGGCGGTCTCGGATGAAGACCCACGCGGATCAGCACTAGGGAAATCCAAAATCTTAGAATGTCTAGCGGGATAACTCCAAATCAACATAGCTACCATGCAGGGTCTGGGCCAAGACTGGTACCCAGCTGATATCCCTCTTCCATCAATGTCCAATCTGCCCAGGGCGATAAGCAGCTCCATAGACAGGCCCAACGGCAGCAACGTTTGGTCCCTCTAAGAAGCGAGTTAACCCATCCGAGGCCGCGGATTGCGCCCCTAATGCCATCCAGAGGGGGCGATGGCCGAAGTAAATATTCCGATAAAATATAATAGAGCTCTGATAGCTGAGTTGTATCCCGCATTGATGGCAGTTAAGAAAGGCGGCGAAATTGAAAATCGCTTCGCGTGAGCTCCGCCAGGTAGAAGGAAGCCGAAGCCGGCTCATCACGGAGAAGATGGGAATCCTCTCGGGCATACCCGGGTCATCTCACTCCTTCCTCGAAGTCATCAACCTAAACCCAACCCCCCCAATAAGCGACACGTCCAAACATGCAGGATCCTTAGTGCCAGGTCACCCTATCGCATAAAACCTTGCGTAATTGTCGTGTAGTTTGTCGTCGACGGGCGGTGAGGCCAAGAACGATTTTTTAGGGCTGAAGACATGAAAGGATCGAAGTGGATCCTTCCGGAGAGATTCAGGGCTCTGTAGCGGTGTTGTGATCCTCTCTGGCTTGTTAGTATTTGACCGACCGCGTCCGAGTAAACTCTTATCAAATTTCCGGGGAGAAGAAGTATACATGGAGCGGACCAGGGGGAAAGGCTATGCCGTTGTTTTTTTTTTTTTTTTTTTTTTTTTTTTTTTTTCAAAAATAAAAAATAAAAAGAACTGATTAATTTTGCAGACAGGAAGTGATGACCTTTTATTTTACTAACGCTCTAATCGGCTTATAAAGATATTATCCTTTTATTTATATATTTTCTTATCTATTTTTTATTTCTTTATTTATTTATTTATTTTAAATTCAAATTGGTTTAATAAATAAATATATAGTAAGTATCTTAAGAAGATCGTTATCGCTTTCCGATGTCAGGCTAGGTCAATCTTACGACTGGCGACAGTGTTGCGGAGGTGGAGGAAATTTCTCAGCACAGCTGGATTATATATGATAGTTAGCTACCGTCCTGTTTCATCAATAAACTGAGATTGAAAGGGAACTGACATACCTAGAAAAATCTCCATCTGGTAGCACCCGTAACTAAACGCGCAGCGTACAACCTCGGCGACGAAATACGATCTCATTCGCTCGCCCGTTGAGGCAGCGAAGCCGATAAGATTCCTGCCCAATGTCAGTCCAGCGCACCGGTTCAAACACGATTAAAGAAGGAAAAAAAATAAATAAATAAATAAAAAAATAAAAACAAAAAAAAAAAAAAAAAAAAAAAAAAAAAAAAGAAGAAGAAAAGAAAAGAAGAGGAAAGAGCAAAAAAAAGGAAAACATACACCCAAACATAGACGTACGGCAGCCCTTTCCACGCCTTCAGCCCAAGAAAACGAGCATTGTCATAAATCTCCAGAACATCAAACTTATTGGCAACGTCATCAAAACCATTCAAGCTCTCCGACAGCGTTCTGCGTGTGATTCTTGCAGCCAAAGCACACGTCTTCAAGAAGAGACCTGATGTATTAGTTGTGGCGGTCGGACTGTCCGCTATGGCATCCAGGTCTGTAGCTAGGTCGAGTCCCTGAAAGGGACTCTGCGTGCCCAAGCCAAAGAACCGATGGAATGAATCGCTGGCAGCCTGGAGGACGCGTACCAGCTGAACGACAATGGCTTGATCAACGTACCGCGTTGCGAGGGAAAAGTCCTCGTCGTCGCAAAGAAGAAGGGGGCAAGAATAGATATGGTTGCCAGCCAAAACGCCGACTGTGGTCTTGAGACGTATGGTCGGGCAGGGACCGAGGTTATTGAAGGCCAGGGGTGTGCCGAGGCAGACGCATTCAAGGACGTCTCCCCTATTCATGAAATTAGACTCGCGATGTATTTGACATGTCATCGAAGGGAAGGCTTGGGGCAGAACTCGACTCACATAATAACGAGATGCTGCATGACGTCCGGCATCTTCTTGAGCCCACCACGGGACTTTATGAAGTGCTCAACGGCGCCGAGATGGGTTGCGGCGTGGGGATTGAACCGGACCATCTATCTTGCCGGATCAGCATTGCCCTCTCCAAACATGTGGAAAGATGTACCTCAAACATCCCCAAGATAATAACTGGATAAACAAGCTCATGCAAATCCCTAGTGCCCGCCCCATCAATAAACTTCTGCAACTCCCTCACAGCTTGGTACTCGTAGTACGGATAGGATATCTCCTTTGACGCTCGAACAGCGTCCAGAACACCGGCCGTCAGCAACCACCCAATGTAGATACAAGCCGACTTGGACATGTCAGGGCGGAAATAACTCGGCTGCTGAAATCCAACGAGAATAAACGCCTCGTCGAGGTAAGATGAATACGACGCGCACCGAGATAGGTAATCCTGGAATGTACGTGCGTCGATGCCCGTCATGTGCGTTGATTTCGGGGGTGCGCCGCGTAGGTCGTACGGGTCGGGCCGGTAGCCTCGCGCTGCCAACCCTGGAACAATGATCCCATCGCGTTCGCATCGCCTATTGAGTGCCAGTCTGCTGGATCGGGTCGTGGGCGGTGAGACCAACGCATGCTGGGCCTGCTCGGCAGCTTCCTCGGAGACTTCTGTAGGGGTGTCTTGGTCTGGAGCCGGGGCCAATCTGCGAGAGAAACAAGACAAATGAGCCTGGATTTCCCAACTAGGACAATGCTGAGGGCCAACCGCAAGCCACGGCGTTACGTTGGTTGCGCCTCTTTGTTCTGAGGCGAGTACTTTGCTAGATGGGAACTTACCGACGGGGATTTAAGTTCCGGATAGTGACGTCGGTCGTTTCTGATAAGAGCTGGTCAGATGCCGTCCACCTTCACATAACCTCCTTCATCGGATGAGCTTTTCTCGATCGGGGGGAGTGGCTGGACTTGCTTTTGGCCTGTTTTTGCTGGTCACGGACGGAGACCATGACCTGCGACCTGACAAGCTGATTTTGCTTCTTGTCCAGCTTAGGGCCGGCATAGTTTACAAAAACAGACATGATGTTCTATATGAGCAGTTTCTGAGCGCGAATTCTGGAAAGAGGGTAGATCAAGATAGTGTCCTATGTCCACCGAATTATAGGGTGCTGATAGCTAACTCTGCGCTGAAAGAATTAGGGGCATGATGCTCAGCTGGGGGAGAAGACAAAAGCAGACCGCTAGGTGCACGTCAAAAGAGTCTAGATGCGAGAATGAGACGGCCGAGACCCTGTGACAGGTCGCCGTTCTACCAGAGCGGAGAATCCCACTTCGGTCTTAGCTCTGTTGCCAAGCTCCTGCAAGTCGAGATTGCGAAGATATGATTGGAGTTGAGCAATTGCCTTTTTGGGGATGGTGTCTTTTCCTTCCTAGGGCTGGGGGGTGGCTTTGGCGACAACACATCAAGCTAAGAAATGGGGCTCCGATCCTCCTGGCCGGGGCCCGTGGTCCTAGCTTCGCAGTCCCAACGCTTGACGCATTGGGATGAAGCAAAGGTAAGAAAGAAAAGACCATGTTCGCGCCTGTAATTGACAACATAAATACACGCCTTCCCACGGCCTTACCCCCAGGACCAAATGGCTTTCTTGATTCAAGTTGACTCGAACGAATACGCCGGCACGAAACTCAACCATGACCTCCCCCCGGCAGCCAACATCGGCCGAGGCCTCACGCCTCCTCCCAGCGGAGGGCAGGCCCAAAGTCGATCCCCTTCTGCCGAATCCGCTAGAAGCCCACACCGACTCAGACGCGGATCCTCACCTTGGCGAAAAACCCTATTCCCACCACCCTCGTAAGCCGACATTCCTGGAGCGACTTGCCGGAAGCTGGCTGTTCGAGTTGCTCGCCTTGATCGTTTCGGCTGCCAGTTTAGCTGCGATGGTGTACATCCTTCAGCGGTATGACGGGCAGAGGCTCCCCGACTGGGGTCCGTTGTCTTTCAACACGCTGATCTCGATCCTCGCTGTCGTGTCCAAGATGGCAGCTCTGTACGGGGCTACAAGCGCCATGGCCCAGATGAAATGGGTTTGGTTCACGGAGCATGGCAAAAGCCTTGTCGATTACAAGACGTTTGACACTGGAACCCGGGGCTTGGCTGGTGCTGCTCTGCTGGCTTGGTTCCTTAAGGGGCGGTACGTCCCTCTCTCTCCCAGCCGGTTTGAAGTCTCGAGAACTTATTCATGGACAATCAGGAACGCTGCGTTTATCGGAGCACTCGCTATCATCATCGGTGTCGCTGCCGGTCCTTTTGCTCAACAGATCGTCCATTTCTATGATGCCGAGTATGTCGACGTCGCCCGAACTGCGTGGTTGTCCAGAGCCGATACCGTCGCGGCCCTCGGCCCCAAGATGGACTCGTCGAGTAAGATACCCTCATCCCCTCACTTTGACACCATCACTGACTCTGGCTCAACCTACCAGCATGGACGCCCGACCTCGTTTTTAAATCGAACGCCGTCACCGCCCTATTCCTGCCGACTCAAGAAGTCCTCTCTCAACCACAATTCAACTGTCCCACTGGTAACTGCAGCTGGGCTCCCTTTACCACTCTCGGTTTCCGCCCAACTTGTGCCGACCTATCCTCCCAACTCAACCGCACCTGCAAACCGGTCAACAACCAAACCACGGTGCAATCCTGCACCGTTTCCTTTCCAGGTGGCGACGATGCCCTCAGCCTCTGGTACATCGCCGACCCCGACTATCCGGGTTCATCAACCTACATGGTCGTCAACTCCACGGATGCCATGAATGCCACCGCCCTCACAAACATCACTTGGCCAACAAAAATCTACCAATCCATCCGTGCGGTGGTCCCCCCGTTCCAACTGGGAGGTGGCCAAGACCCAAATGAATTCAACAACGGTAACCATCTTTTGCAAAACAATACCCGTTTTATTGGATCTGAATGTGCTCTGTCTCCATGCGTTCTTCGGTTAAAGGTTTCCGTTTCTCGTGGCGTGTATACTGAAGAAATACTGGATACCTGGACAGAGTTTGAGTACAACTACCCCGGCCCCATCGTCCTCTCCCCGCCCTGGGCCGAAGGCAAGAATTTCACCTTGATTGCAGAATGGCTTCAAGCGATCACATATGCTCCCGGGCCTGACCTGTTTGGAGGGCAAATGATGGGATCGGTTTTTACATACGACTCGAATCAAGCCATTCGCATTACTGATATTCCATCTGTGGGCTCCAGCTCCAGGGAAAATGACGCGTTGCAAGCTGTCTTCTACGCGGATTTTAACGGCACGACGTGTCCGACGCCCGATGACAATTTCGCTTGCGCATTCAGATCGCTTAGTGCGGCCATGACCAAATCTGTACGAGATGCGGGCTTGCTGAAGAACGGGACTCAGGAGCCGTATGTGGTCGAAGGAACAACGAATGCCATGGGGATATTTATACGGATTGAGTGGCCTTGGTTTGCGCTGCCGGTTATGATTTGGGTGTTGAGTTTGGTGACGCTTCTTACGGCGATGTTGAAGTCTAGGACTATACCACTTTGGAAGGATAGTGTGTTGCCTCTGGTGCTGCTTTCTGGGGAGCGCCGGACGGTTGGGGGTGTTACGGAAGCTGAGTTGAGTATCAGGGCTGAGGAGGTTAAAGTGCAGCTGGTTGAGGATGAGCAGAAGCGGTTGAAGATTTTGGTGGAGCACGAGTGACCGGGGTTTGCATCAAGTTGTTTACGCGTTGTATTTTGTAACTAGCTGAAGCTATCGTGCAACCTGGCAAGATCAGACTGCGTTCTTGCCTAGACAGGGCCCAGATCTAAGGACCTCGGAGTCATCATCAATGCCTTCTATCCATCGCTTTCTTATGCACGCGTTTGTGTCTCTGGTTCCCGGCGCCACGAGGCCTAGTGCTGGTTTTATCGTCCGCATCAATATCCGTAGCATCGTACACAATATCGAGTGTTTCGTCTGCATGATGGGCCAAATGGTTGCTCAAAATCGATGAGGTCTGGATAAAGAGCGTTCTGCAAAAGGAAGCATCGCGAAGGAACTGGAAACTGAGGATATGAATATGGATTGGAAAGAAAACAGCTACAAATGGCTGAAGCCTAAAGAGAAGACTCTTGCAAGTAGTGGAAGATCTCGGTAATGGAGCTTCAACAGCTCGCTCAGTCGGCTCCAGCCACGTTCCAGGTTACAGACAACAACCTTACCGAATGGGTCGAACAACTTCGATTTGACGCTGGGAATTCCTAAGTACACATTATCGAGTTCCCGGAACCTCATCCCGACCCAGAGCGGCGATCCAGGCATTTGTCTGTCGGCTCATGACTCGATAGGTCTTTGGTAGCTTGATTTGAACCTGTGAAGTTTCTAGCCCCATTTTAATCTCTATACGGGATTCCGAAGCGGTATTAAGGATCCGATTTATTTGCCTTTTCCCTATTTTTTTTCTTTAGCAACATCTTCTAGTTGCAGACCACCTTGCGGCTCACGGGAATGGCATCGCCGTGCAGGTAATGAATATTGTGTTTGCTAGTGTATTAGAGTCGACAGTGACCCTACGACAGTAGATCCTGAGGCGTTCAAACGATTCGAGTCGTGGACCGTTCTCACTACTAGACTAGTGATCGACCTCGTTGAAAGTGACAGCCACAAGGTTTTTTCAAGAAGAAGCTAGCTACAGCCTGCATAGGGAACAGGTAGAGGCAGTCCATGAGGGTGTTGGTCCGCTCCTCGAGCCTAATAAAGACGACCATGACCACGAAACTTACCACCAAGGCCTAGAGGCAATTCTCAAGGGAGCTGCATCGATAGATCGCGACATAGGCAGGCCGATGTGGTGTGGGATTTTGGTTATGATGAGATTCCCTCTTTTTCCGACAAGGGCACGATGACTTCGGAAGAAGAGGAAAGGGTGGGGAGGGGCCAGCCGCCTTTATATAGAAGGGGTTTACACTTCGGAAGAGTCAGGGTTAATTGAACTTCATGCTCGTATGATTTCGAAGACACAACTGGGCTACAGGGTAGAGTAGGCGTTCAGAGGCCTGTATGACATCCCGCTCCCAAGCCAATCCACGAAAGCTATTGCAGAGACTGAGGAACTCGTGTGTCCAACTGCGATGAGAAGCTGATAAAAAGGAGGATCTGAGATAGTTGGGGCTTACTCGACATTTCTCCCAATCCCATGGCTCTGCTGAAGTCTTCGAAGAGAGGGATAGCTTTGGGTTCCAGCTATCACTAGGTGCCCATTATCACCATTATGAAACTGCACCGAGCTTTTCTCTGCTTGGTGCCCCTGCTCAGAGACATCCTTGCTTCCAGCTTCGACGTGGTTGTCCACAGCGGCAACGGCGTGGAGTTCGTTGGGCTTGAAATGAAGGGACTGCAAAAGCGCTGGCCGTTCTGCACTTGTTGATCGTCGAGCCGAACGAGGACAGTGGAGCTTGGGAACAGGATCTTCACCTCCACCTGGAGGGAAAAGTGCGTACACCTATAAAAGCACATGCACATGCGTTCTTCACTCAAGAATTTCTCGCGAGTACTCTTTTCCAGTAACATTATCACCAGCTTTTGCTCAGGCACCATCGCCTGACAGGCTGATCCATATCAGCTACGGAAATAGCGCAGGAATCTCCTTATCCTCTATGGTCCACGCACTCCTGACCAGATCCACCAAAAAAGCGTGCTTCGGGCATGAAAAACCAAAGCCCTCACCTCTATCCACTATAAACCCATTGATGTAATCAATCTCCGTCTTTCTTCCGAGCCTAATATCCTGCAACATGGAGCTGGTATTCTTTCCCGTCTTCTCAGTCACCATCTGCACATACGCGAGCAGCTTTTCGTCCGAGAAATCACCGCTGGTCTCCGTCTGTTCCGGCGGCAACAAAGCTCGTATCACGGGCCCCATTTCAGTGACTAGGCGATTCACGAGGTCTTGTTTTATCCCGCCGTCAAGAAGTTCTCCGTTCTTGCAGTTGAGGAGAGCCGTGAGGGGGTTGATGATGGCGTTTGCGGCTAACTTGAGAAGCTGGACTTTCCTAACCTCTGCTGCGGACACGGCGGTTGCTTGGAGGTAAGTCGTGCTAACTAGCTTCTCGATCATGAAGTTGCCTTTAGGGTCGGGTGAGTCTTCCGTCGAGCTGCTTGGTACAGGTCCGAGCGTAAGGGGCCCTTTTCCAGCGTGTACAATGGAAAACGGATTCGTGTTGTAGACACCAGCGACACATATGCCAGCCCAATATTGCGGACGCGAGCTCTCCTCGGGGAAGAGCTTTGATGTCACTTCATCAGTCGTCCCTATTTTCTATAGTCAGCACACACAGTCCATCACCAATTCCGCGCTCCACATGTCGAACTCATACCCATGCCATTTTGAAGGAAGAGAATGGTAGAATCACGGCCAAGCCTCTCCTTAACTTGATCAAGTGCACTAGTCGTTACAAAGGTTTTACAAGCCACAATCAAGTTCTTAATCGGCGCTCCATCCCCAGTCCCCCCGAGAAGCTCGCTATCGATCCCTCCACTTCTTTGTGCCTCGCCGTCTGACACAAGCTCGATTTCACGGCCCGCCGCATCCCATTGTGAAACTAGAGTTGGCCGGTGGAAGAGGAGCGTCACCGGAGTCTGGGGGTCGTGTTTTACCAGATAGTGTGCGATCAACTTGCCGAGGTTTCCCACGCCAAGGATATGGATCCGCTCTGAAGCTAGGGCGCTTGTCGTGCCGAGTCCCCTGGGTGGAGAACTCATGGTGAGGTGTTTTAAGAGCCTAGGAAGCCTCCTTGGCAGTTTTATCCCCAGCATTGGCTTTGAATCTGGCGGATGAGGCCTCTTTGATGTGCGGACATTGTTGAAGGTGTCCTTTTGTTAACCCAACTGCAAGAGGAAGGTGAAGATGTTGCCCCGTTACGTAATATGTAAATAGCCAATGTCTCTTTAGCTTTAGCATAGCGATTTCAATTAAAAGGTTCAACATTAACCGAGATATGCAATTCTGAAATATTTATCAAGCGGTGTTAGTCTTCAGGTCCAAGGACCAAAGACGCACCACTTCTCCATCATCACTCAACCTCGCGGACACACCTTCCCCTTTATAGAGTGGATACAGACATCGCCAAAGTACATACGACCATAGCTCGCAGAATATTGAGGGTCCCGTCCGCTCCCCTGTACACAAGCTGTGAAGCGCCAGACTAGTAGTTGGGTCGGTGACGACCAGCGAATCCCTGGTGTTGTATGTTTTTTTTTTTTTTTTTTTTTTTTTTTTTTTTTTGTGCTTGTATTCTTTCTCTTCTCCTTCTCTGTCTTATTTTTCTTTCCTATTTTCTGGAGATTAAGAAGTGATTTGGATCTCCAAGACAACATGATTGTGGGTGGACGTAAGGCCAGTACATTAAGGATTAGTTCCTAAGTGGTGCCAGCAGCAGCTTCGTATTTTACCGTACTTTTGGCAGGTCAATTTAATAGTTGCTGCCCGAGTCGAATGCCGTCATGGCAACATGCATGTACATCCAGCTTAATGTCGACCTCGGTATCCATTATTAAGAAGATGGCAACGGATTTCTTGTGGCTGTACGAAGTATAGCTGGCTGTTCTAAAGCGTTGGAAGTTCGGGTGGGGTGTGTGCGGGGTCTTGATGGTTGCACAAGGACCTGTCCTTGGCTATCAACCGGCTAGAATAGGCAGCCGGATGAAACGAAAGCAGGAGATGAAGGTAGAACGGGCTGTGTTGTGGCGTGGGCATGGCCTGTTAGCAAAAGGAGGCAGCTCGTCCGAGGAGGCAGCAGACCCTCAAGTAGCCAGTCATCCATCCATTTCTTTCTCCTACACATTTTGCACTCTCTCCAAGAAGCTCGCAAAAGAACCGATCTACGCCATACTGTTCATGACCAAGAATGGGAAGCATCCCACCAACGACCAAATTTCAGGCAGATGCCGACATCGCGCGGCTTCGGTCTGAGCGGGGTGTCGAGAACAACGAGCTCCACAACTCGGATGTGATATTATCTAGTCTCGATGCGGCCCTCGATATGTGCGCGTGCTGTACCCTCGTCAATACCAAGTCCAACCAGTACTGAACGTATTATAGGCTTTCCGATCAACTCTATCAGACGCCAACACATTTCATTCTTGAGTTGATCCAGAACGCAGACGACAATACATATCCTAATAGTGTTACGCCCTCCCTCGAATTGACGCTGTACGAGAAGGACGGCAAAAACTTCTTCCGAGCAGATTGCAATGAAATCGGCTTCACATTCAACCAACTGGATGCTCTGATGCGGGTCGGACAGAGCACTAAACGAGCCGTAGCTACTGCCTCGGGACAAAGGGGATATATCGGGGAGAAGGGCATCGGATTCAAATCCGTCTTCAAGGTTGCCGATGTTGTCCAAATCGCCAGTGGCTTCTACGAATTCAAGTTGGACCGAAGCGGGCCTTTGGGCATGATACTTCCCATTCTTACACCTTTCCCTCCCGCAGATCGTATATCAGGCCACACCCAGATTCTCCTCCACTTAAAGGATGGGGTCTACAACCATATCCTCGATGATTTGAGGAGTATCGATTCCCAGCTTCTAATCTTCCTCTCAAAATTGAAACGGATTAGGGTTGTTACCCCAAGACCGCCCAAAGCCTACGTCCTGTACAGGAACTATAGGAACGATGCTGTAAAATGGGAAACGGCGGTAATCTCGTCGGAGGGTTCGCAAGTTGGAGATGGGTACATCGTGAAGAGGCACGACTTGCAAAATCTGCCGGCCGACTCTCGAAGGAAGGGAATCACATCTTCCGAGATTGTTCTTGCTTTTCCTACTTACGCGGGAGATATCCCGAGAATTGACCTTCAAAATGTGTACGCTTTCCTACCGATTGGTAATTTCGGGTTTCGGGTAAGTTCCCATGTCTTCTTCGTTCTATTGGGATGCCTGCCGGTTCATGGAGCTCAACTTCGGTCAACAGTTCCTAATCCATGCCGATTTTCTGCTTGTCGCAAGCAGGGAGAGCCTCGAATATCAGTCGCCATGGAATATCGCCCTTCGCGAAGGAGTTTGCGATGCTTTCGTTGACATGATTCTCCAATTCACGTCTATTCCGGCGGGCCAGTCCAGAAAGGACTTGTTCTACAAATGGCCCAAGTATATCCTCCACAACCCAGATCGCTTTTCATTCTGGAACGCCCTCAACCAAAGCATCTTGGACGTGCTACGCACTAAACAGGTTCTCGAATCACAGGAGAAGGTAGCTGGTTGCCAAATGCCAACCAGCTTATACTACGTCCCGCCCAAGTTTCGGTTTGAAAACAATACGCTCTTCGATATCTCCTCTATCAGGAAGCAGCACCTTTCGTTCGGATACGATGAGGTCAGAACCGAGCTTGCTTTAATCGGTGTCAAGACGCTGGACATACACATATTGTACAGCGAATTCCGCTATTGGGTGGGGCTCCAGGGAGCGGCGGCAATTAAAGCCCAGCCCGCCGCTTGGCATAGACAAGTTGCCGCCGTCTTCTGTGATGCTCCTCGGGCTCTAAGGGAAGGCCTTAGAACTATCCCCATGATTCCCTTGCGAGACGGATCCTGGACTAGCGCAAACGCAAGCAACCTTTACCTCCCCTCCGACTCTGCAGGGGAGCATATCCCGACTGGCGTTAGCATTCTAATCGTGGATTACGAGGCAGCTAAAGACGAGATGAGAAGGAAGTTCTTTAGCTTTCTAGGGATTGAGAAATATGCTCCACGTCAAGTGTGCGATCTCATTCTTCAACTTCATTCTCGCAGTTCTACCTCCTTGTTAACACGCGCCCACGAGGACATCATATCCGACGCAGCTTATCTGTTCAAGCATCGACGGCTCTTCAACGAGAACGGGGCACCCGACATTGCCTTTCTTGTAAAGAATGGCACGACATCTTTTGTGTGCAGGACTGCGATTTACATCATAACCCCAGCTCTCAAATCTGGTCTCGTATCCAAATACAGGAACTCGCCAAAAAACCCCTTCCCCGTTCTTGATGATCGGTACGAAACAACAATTTGCTGTGGAAACGAGGAGACGACACGTTCATTCTACCAATGGCTTCTGCTGTCCAAGAATGCGGCCTTCTTCGAACATCCACAGCTTTTTCGTTCAGGGCGGCGCACCGATGAGTGGAATTTCCTTCGCGACGCTGATATGACAGATTTGCTGATAGCCTTGAAACTCTACATGAAACAAAAAGCGGGCCAATTATTTACTAGGGATCACATTAATCTGGCCTTAAACGAGCTTCATGTGCGATGCATCGATGGGACCATCAGGCCGTTCTGTGGCTTGGCGGTCCCAACGAAGGAGCTCCAACAAGAGTGTCCGCATCTCGACTTCGCGGACCTGCGAGTGTCGAAGTTGGGGAATTTGAAATTCCTTTCCGAGTTCGGCATCCTGGTAGCTCCTTCAACAGCTGCTAGGCTACGGGAACTCGAAGCACTTCATAAATTGTCTACTGACGGAGTTGACAGGGAGGCGACGGTCCATAGGATCTACCGGTCGCTGAACACAGTTCGGTCTGCCGACGACTGGTCGACCATCCGGTGAGACACACATTTTTGATGATTCTGCACTGAATTTATCGACTCTAATTGAATTTACAGAACCGCTTTTTCCCGTACACCCCTTGTCTACGTATCCGGACCTATTCCGATGTGGACAAGCCACAGCGCATGTGTGTGGACTGCGCCGCGTGCTCTACAACAAGTTATCAGACTTGGCGACCTCTACCCAGACTTCAACCGGCTATTCTATCAGGTCCTACAGGTTGGCGCAGCCGGAATAGGGGACGTTGTGAGAGAACTATCCGCTCTGTCCAACGGCGGATACTATAACGGCGCTGTACCCCGTTGCACGGAACTTCTATTGTTACTGGAAGACTACCTTGCGAAAGGACATGTGCTAGTTCCGCTCGATGCCGTTAGTTTGAAGAGTGCAAGGGTCTTTCCGGTTTCCATGGGGTCCTTGGACGTCGTCGAGTTGCGTTCGTTACGGGACCATACACGCTGGTATATCCCAGACACAACGACGCTAGGCGCAGCCTTTCAGGACAAAGTCCACCTCCTCGACTTCCCGGTGAAGGTGGTACGACGTTTGAGCAATGTGTTCAAGACACTCAATTGCGAGGGCAGGTTTCTCTCCGCTGTCGTAAAAGAGTCTGTCGAATGTCGAGGCACGGTTATTCGCGATCTAGCAAAGGAGGACGATCTCAAAGCTCGAATCAGCTTTATCGCAAAGTAGGTGTTCCCGTAGTTCAGAAAAACGTGGTTCAATTATTTATGCCCATATTATTTTTAGTCTAGCCGCAGCCCGTGGTACAGGATCGGCCAGATCCACCTGGACCATGAATGCATGGTCTGTCCCCTCTATCACGCTCATCAGGAAGCTGTACGACGTCGTAGTTGAAGAAGACAACGAATTGGTTACGATACGGGAGAAAGATGATAAAATAGACGTTTACTTCCGGGAGGTACCGCGGCGGAAACAAAGCAGAGTTAACTTCAAACTACAGGGTTTTTTCTCTGCCTATTTTGCGATCAGGGCTGAGGACCGCCCGCTCGTCAGTCTCCTTCTGAGCGAGCCCATAGACGAGCTCTCAGAAATATTAGAGAGCCATGACATATTCGCTCAGGATGAACTTAACGATGGACTCTCCGACACCCAAACCCTAACCACCACGAATACCTCCGGTCCGATCGAGCGAAGCGAGAATCTCATCAGCAACGAAGATTCCACCGAGTCAAATGGGAGCAGTTCAGGGGAGGGCGAGGAACAGGACGCCACGGATTCTGACGGAGAAGGCAGAGTCGTGTTGGCCTCGATGTCGAGCCTCTCTCTTTATCCGCGTACTTTGAGAGAGTTGATTCCTTCACACCAGACGAGGGTAGAAAACGTCATTCGCAGAGCAGCTAATTACCAGCTATCGAACTCACTCGTGGCGGACGCCCACGACCAGTCTACACCCGAGGGAGGTGGAGAGACATCAAGGCATTCCGAGGACACCGCAACCGCGGCCTATTCCCAATCCTCTAGTAGGTATTCTAGTAGCCAAAGGCCATCACCATCATCTGCGCGATTTCATTCTGGGTCGGGGGGTACCTCGACTAGCAATGGACCGAGGGTTAGAGCCTATATATCGCCCCCATCATCGCCATTGCCGTCGCCGTCGCCGTCGCCTGGTCGATCTCAACTTAGAGGCACAATTCAGCCCAGACCGGTGCAAGATATCTGGTTCCGAGAGATTGGGTTCCTCGGCGAGTCGTTTGTATGCCCCTACTACCATCATACTAAATTCAACGTTCTTAACTAATCGCCAAAGGTCTACCATTTATTCGAGAAGCATATCGCCGACTGGCACTTTGAGAACTGGACCAGCAAGCTGCGTGTGGAAGAGGGCTTCCCTCGTTTTGTAGAGCGTGAAAAACATTTCTCGGACTTTACTTATAGAGACAACAACGGGCTTCTCAGAGACATGCTCCATAGAGGCAGAATCCCTCTCGATGCCAACTGGTCTAACAGCACCACTTACCATCTGGAGGTCAAGGCTACCCTAGGTAACTGCTCTGATGCCTTCTTTGTCAGTCAAAACCAAGTCGACAAGGTACGTCTCTCTTAAACTCGACGTTCACTTTGTTTTGTGTTCCTTGCTAATGAGAGTCAATAGATGCGAGAGTGTGATGGTGACCCGGATAATGGGTTTATTTTGATTCGAGTATTCCATGTGGATAGTGAAGATCCGGGTATAAAGTGGTTCCCTAACCCTTGGAAACTTTATCTTGCAAGGGCTCTAGATTTGAGGTCGGTTGAGGGTTACCAGGTCACCACGGCAGATGCACCCGAAGGTTAGGAGTGTTCTGAGTCAAGGTGAGAGAGTCTTTATAGAAACCCAATTGGAGGGCCTATTTTTCCGCAGCCAGTTTCAGACGAAATCAATCCTCGAGATTTCGAGAATACATCCACGTAGGGCAGGCCGCGTTTCCCTGTTCTTCACAAGCCTCCGCGTTGGACCCTTGCAAAGCATATATCCTCATAGATACAAACTCTTCTTTCGTGATTAGGATATGATGTAAAGACCAATGGCAGCGAATGGGGAATATCTTAGGAGGAAAATCACGAAGGGTTTTGATGAAGAGATCTGTTTCGGCGTTGATGCTGGTGTCTGCTGTTCGCAGTCGCACATCCTGCTCTGGGCATCCATATTGTGAATGGACTGACCCCACCATAGTCGAGGATCTTCGGCATGCAAAAGTAGAAAGCAACAGGGTCTCCCCCCGGTTCGTCGCGCCTAATGATTCACTATTTTTACAGGGATACTACGAAGTATGTCCGAATTTCTTAACATGTGGCAGTGATCGTCAACACATTCGCACAAATCTTTAGCAAAGCGCCGGCTTTCTCGGCAACCAGACAGGCGGTGGTGGCAGTCATGTCTGTTACGTCGACGTGTCGGAGTCTTCTCGATGGGCGCGGCCGTACACAAGCTCCACAGAACTGTGTTCGACGGTGGTTGGTCTTGCTTGGGCGTCGCAAACGAAAGGTCCAGGGAAAAGGGTATTATCTAAGGGAGGGAGTAGGAGAAACTAGGTTCAATGACAACTGAAGTTAGAAACAACAGATAGAGGTGATAGGACTCGAAAGAAACCAGAGGTTGGAGAACGGTGAGAGGTTCTAAGAGAGTAAGTTGGAATCCTCGGTCCGCCCTCCTCTTAGAGCCCCTTTCATATATAAAACAACCATGTTTGGGAGTCTATATTGCTGAATTGTTAACAAATTCCGACATGCTAGAGATAGAGTGTATGAATATTGATTAGACTGCTGTTGCGACGGCCCTGGGTTTGGGCAACACGCTGAATCCCCCATATATGTCTCTCATGTCAAGAGCGATTCGTGGAGAATGGCAGTGTCCTGGTATCCTGCAGTCATCGTGAGAGGCGCAAATTGTGGTGGTTTGAAACACCTCGATAGCACAGGTTTCCAGGAGGGTCGGCCATTTCCCCTGTTCGCCAACATGCATGTGGTGAAACCGCCAAGGATTCGTTAAGCGCCTTCTCCAACGGCCCAGGCCGCAGCGGTCTCCCGAGGCAGCCAAGACGAAATGTCACTGAAGAGATTCAAGAGGCGCAATAAATTTCGTCCAGTGGCAGAGCACCCATCTGAAACCCCAAAATAGCATAATGCGAAGTGATCCTCCTGGTGCATCACAACCTATCACAAGGCAAATCACAGTCCGTTCCTCGGTGTATTTGGGAGCCAAACTGAAGGATCGAGCAGGCGGTTCTGAAACACTCCTTTCCCTCTTTAATTATTAAAATCCTCCTCATCGTGTTTACTCATGTAAAAGCCGTTGAGTTCTTCCGCGTCATTCGCCTCGATGTCGCTCGCCATGGCAAAGGCAGATCCCATAGTGCAGTCAGATTCAGACGAAGCGCCCCTTATAGCCCATATAAACCCTACCAAAGTCATCCGGGGAAAATATCATGGGCTGCGGACTTCTGCAGTACATATTATCCCGCTAATTCTCACATTCTTTATTCTCTTAATCAACTTCCTCCAGGTCTACTGGTTCCCTCCTAGTGGGCTCGACAACGGGAAAACATCTCCGAATACCGTACAAAACTTGCTGCAGCTGGCTGCGAAACTCTACGAACTCTTCGTCGTTGCCTCTCTAGCGGGCATCACCCTCAAGGTCTTCAAAAGGCAACTCGTCGACAATGGGGTCCCTCTGGGCCTCGTCTCCGGTGCGTATCGGGTCGGAGACGTCAAGTATCTAACCGATCCGAGATATTGGAGCGGCTTTGTTACAAACAAGGGACCACTACTTTTATCCATCCTGCTCCTGGTCAATACGGTTCTCTCTGTTCTTGTCGGTCCTGCCTCTGCCATCCTCATTGTTCCTGCGTTAGGATGGTTCTTTCTCCCGTCTCCTTTCTCCAAGGTTCAGATGCCGATTTTCCTTGACACCCCAGAAGAGCTATGGCCGCAAGTTCTCAACGAAGGGCTGTGGAGCAACGAAACAATCTGCTTGGAAAACAAAGGCATCCTGTTCACCAAGTGCCCCGCCGCCGGCTACTCTGAAATCTTCACCTGGGCTGCTGGATGGCAACACTCCGGGCTCCCAGACAACATCACTTTCAAAGATCCCCCCGGCGTGAGCAGTCGTCGGCTATACTCTCATTCTGGTGGATCGTCAGGGACGTTTCTGTCCGTGGTAACGGCTTTGGCTGCTGGAACTGCGGGACAGCTTCAGAGCTATATTCGTTCGCACGACGTCGGAAGCATCTCTTCCACAGAGATATACAGACTGGCTTCGTCGTCTTCCTCAGTTTACTACGAGCCTCTAGTGAACGCGAAGTGCGACGTGTGGAACCTGCGTGATTACGCAAATGCTTCGGAAATTCCGCCGATGTGGTTTCCCTCCAGTTCACTCAACTGTTTCACGACAGATGATGATGATGACTGTCATCGCATGAGAAATCTGTTTGGGAAATGGAAGATTGGGAAGGGGATAGTCGGGAAACAGGACGGTGCCTGGCAGGGGTTCGATACGGTGACAAGTGAGGATGAGGCTGACTGGGAGGGCAACGCTATATCGTCCGTGATATACACCGCGCGATTGCCGTACATTCAAGACGGCGAGATTGGAGCTCGCTTTGCGGCTTGTAGCTACATTGCTCATTGGATTCCAACGACCTTGGCAGTCGACCCGAGCAACACCGATATCATCGAGAGCAACGTGACTGACCTGAGTGTCTTCGCATCCGAGGCCGACTGGAAGACGAATGCCAAGCATCCCGCGGTTGGACCCATGATCCAGATTGATAAATCTTGGTTGCGGTACGTGAATCTAGGGTATGACAAGAAAAATACCACCAGCGAGGGAGCCAGTGAAAAAGACGTTGAGCCAAAGGAGGAGATCATGAATGTCGGGACACTCATGATGGCTCTGTTACTGAACTACAAAAACGAGACGGGAGAATGGAAGATCTTCGGTCCAGGGAGCAGTCAGCCATCTGAGTCGGATGGTAACCGTGTAGTGCAGCTTACCTTAGAGAAGTTCACCGGCGCGATCCTCGCCAACGGAATCTCACGGGCCGGAGCCACGGTGGAACCCGCTCTATTCAGGCGAGATGCCAAGACGAACACGACTTTTCTGGCAAGTCTACAAGCTCAACAGGGCCCAGCTGCAAAAGACTATGAAATTTTCGAGAATGGTACTATTGTCGGAATAAATGGTTTTAGAATGGACCTTGGCCGCTCACCGAGTGAGCGTATCGCAGATGCGAGGGCGAGGTACGTGGCATGGGATTTTACCGCCGAGAGATACGGGTACGGATTCGGCCTGCTTGGGGGGCCGCGGAACTTTGCTCTGGTAGTCATCTTGGCTTATGTTCTCGTCTTGCTTGCGTATTGTTTGTTTGTCGCTTCCCGCCAGGTCGCTACTATCGTGACCTGGGATGATTTGCAGGACCTGTTGGTGCTGATGTGGACGTCGCGGAGTCCTGCTGAACTTGCCAACCAGGGGGTGCAGGTCTCGGACAAAAGCTTGTGGAGGAGACAGGTCTCAGTACGAGCGATGCCGTCTGGGAATGTGACGTTGGCATTTGAAGGCAAAGAAGAAGGGTTGTCGAAACTGAAGATGGGAGAGGACTATTGGTAGATAGAGAGAGAGCCGAACGTAGTCGCTACAGGAAATGTCGGCGAGGGCAGATTCTTGCCATTGTTGCGAATATAAACAGATTCTAAAAAGGATTCCCTTTCCACATGTGCCTATTAAACCAAATGCCAGCGAAGAAACCTGAGTCGAAGATGGAGACATGGAGATCAAGCCTAGGGTTCGGGACTCTAGACTGTTCAAGACTCTGGGCCTGGCTGGCTCTACTTCGATCTTTAACAACATCAAACAACATAGAATTCTTGATCGCACTTCCGTCCACCGATCCCGGAATACGCACTGCCGGGATGGGTCACGACTTCATCACCCTCATTCCCCTTCCCGTCTACACTGCCCAAGTCGTCCAAGACTGGCTTCCTTCGTATCGAATGCGACCCGATCGTAAGAACGTGCAACTGCTGCGCCTTCAAGTTGTGGGGAGCGGCGGAAGGGGGAGGTCTTCGGCCCCTTGTGTAGAAGGGCGAGCTGCCGCCAAGGGCTGAGACTCCGGAAATCTTGACCAGAAGGGGGTAGAGGGTTGGGATGCAGGCGCCAATGAGTACGCAGTTCGCTTCGATGCTGATTGGGAGCGCGGTGTTAGTTTGCACAAATTAGGAATAAGCCTGGTTTTCGTTGACGTTGGATATGACTGACTTTGTCCAGAGCATTATGTCGTTGAGGGCAACTAGATGTAGCTCCAACGTCAGTTCAGGCTCGATAGTTAGGGGGAGTCTACGCAACGTCGTACATGGAAACTCCTTCTGCCCTATGAGATGGGTCAAGGTTGTGCACTTATAAATTGCGACGGCACCGGCACTGCGTCTTTTTTAGCCCAATACGTCCCAGTTTGAGGAAGTCGCATCATTTCCATACCAATAGCCGAATCCCAGAGAAAATGATAGGGCTAGCTTCTTCTTCCAGTTCATCGTAAGCCTCGCCAATACGATGGTCGGGTAGAGAGCAAGATAAAAGTCAAAAAGCACAGAAAGAACTGGGAAATCAGTTAGTAGGAACACAAGTCCTCGCCGCCTGCTCGCGGATGAGAAAGACCAGCAACACTTACCTCCAATAACCAGCCCGTACGTGACGAGAATCCTTCCATCCCAACACTTTCCTTCCGCCGCCAACCACTGGGTCTGTACTGGCGAGCATTGTACAAAGTTGAGAATCAACATGACGATGACACCGAGGCCATAAACGACCGACAGAACCCACATGACGGTTCGGTGAAAGGAACCCGGTTGAAGAGCTTTGACGAGGAGTACGACGACGGCAAATTTTGGCACGGTAAAGGAGAGGACGCCGGGGACGAAGGCTATGATGGTGAAGTAGAGGACGCGGCCGTATTGTGCCTGAGTGAGAGAGTTTACGTGCTTGTCGCCGCCGAGAGTAAGGGCGACGGAAACGAAGGCGAGATAGAGTAAACTGATAGTCTAGGACTCTCCCTTTCTTAGACTTTCGTTCAATGGGTCTCATTTACGGCGCAATACACACAGGATCTAGATCTGACACGCAATCTAACGTACAATCGAGACCAAGCAGAGATAGTCGTCGACTCCATATCTTCTAATGGATATGGCCCTGCTGTAGATCCTGGCAGCAACGAAGACGAGGGCGAGTCCCGTGGAGGTGGCGGCAATAGTTAGAAAAGCGCCTGCCTCGTTTCTGATATCATCTTCGACCACGACCTCGGACTCCATGATGGCTACAGAATGAGACGTGTGTTCAATGCGCTATAATCGTGAGTTCCAGGCTCGAGAGAGTGATAGAGTCTCTGGTCCACATCGTTATCGACCCATGAGGCTAATGGGATGAGGTTTAAGCTCAACGAGCGACTGCCGTACAGGCCCAAGAACCTTTGGAGTTGCAGGAGAGAGGCGGGAAGCTGGGGAGGGAGGAGTTGACGAGTAAAGCTTTTGGCGCCTGGGCTGCCTGGAAGGGGGGGATGCATCATTGATTTATTCACGTCCATATCCTGCTTCAATGTCGCGGTCATATTGATCTCTCATTTATAGAATCATGTACAGGACTACAGGTGACAGGAGGAACTATCTTACCGTCCCCCTGGCACTCCTTCATTCTCGGTATGCATAAAGACCTGGGAATACCACCCACAGAATGCTCGGTCGAGCATGGGTTATGCAGGTATTCAGTAATACCACCCCCTACCCCAGGACCATGCCCTGACGTCTACGTAATGCTATGGAAGCGGAGATGGTGGAATTCGCCTCCTGCTCGCCTCGTCGACCCCTCACGACGTGCTCGCGCGCCGTTGTGGAATGACTTCCGATCATTTTGCACTCACTCTAGTTTGGCCCTTCACCTCTGCATTACCACGGTAAAAGAAGAGCCTTATTTCCTCCAGTTCTGGCACGCGAACCCGTTATCTCTGTATCGTTCTCTTCAATGCCTGCTGCATCACTTCGTGGGTCGGTAAGTTGGATCTTGTTGAGAAGATAACAATTCCGGCAAGGATGCAGGAGAGCCCATCCTGTTGGACTTGGTGATTGGTGTCGTTGAGGGTTCAATTCTATTTCGGGTGTGCCGACTGCCGCCTTGATACCGTTCCTTGGAAAGAGAGAGAGAGAGAGGTCGCAAAAAAGCGGGAAATCGTCGATAGCCAGCAACTCGGACTCGGAGACCTGCCGGGCTGCATGGGTTCTACGCCTTCTCCTGTACTGGCGCAGGGTAGTAAGCACCAAGTCATTACATCAAATGCTGCATCAGTCCTGCAAGGCGCTGAGTGATGGCCTCCTCACCGGTGATATTTGACTAGCACCATAGCAGCTCCCATGCCCTTGCCAATAAGGGCTCTTTTATTCCAAGGCAGTAACAGGCCAGGCTCTAGGGTTCGGATGCAATTACCGGCATCGTATTTTGACGTGTGCAGCCAGGCGATGACGATAGAGGCCGTCTTAGCCTACCTTCTCCCCCCTCTCCGGCCCGCCCTGAATAATATCCCCGGGCAGAGGAGACGTCACCGAGAGGGGAATCTCGACGTCTCTTTCGTATATTCTCTTCCCCTTCAGGTATCATTTGTCACGATGCATACCTCAGAGCAGGTACCCCATTACGTCCGACTAGGATAGCCTACGAGCTCTCGGTCTGATGCCTAGAGCTCCTCTCAACCCAGGCTGTCAGTTTCAATCAGCATGAACTACGCCGAGGCGGAACAATGAGAGCGACGAGGCCAGGTGGGCAAAGAAAAGAAAAAAAAAAAAAAAAAAAACAAGACGACCAACGATACGACGACCAACGATACAGGGAGATCCCCCGGCCGCCTGGACGCCCAAGTGGCAAGGGCTGCGTAGCTCGACTGATGAACCTGGGAGAAGCCGCGGGGAAAGCGTTCAGGGAGAACAACGTCATTCAGTAGCAAAAAAAGACCAAAAAGGGCTTGCGGACAGATGGGCGAATATTTTTTTTTTTTTCTATTTCATTTTTCTATTTCCCTTTCGGCTGCAGATCCGGAGCGTTTGGTCTGGTGAGGAATTTGGGATTTGGTGAAATTCGGGGAGGAGGGTCTGATGTAGAGGCAGCGAGGGCGGGAACCTCGTTTGTCTTTCTTCGTGATGTTTTGTTCGCTCACCATCTCTTACTGAGAATTAGGAGTGGTCCTCCTCACCTATTGATGCTACCCATGAAAACAAGCAGCCCATTTCGTCTCTCAAGATCCTTCTAATATGGCTCCTGTTGGTCGGCACCATCACCCCAATAGCCAGCGATTCATCAAGCAAGGCACAGGAGAGTAAGGCCGAGGGCTCACACAAGCGACCCCCGATACATCAAATAAAAACCCCAATCAAGCCTCATTCCCATCCATCTATTAATGTTTATACCTCAAACCCTGCCCAGAGAAGCAACAAGTATAATAGTAATACACTCCAAAATCAGAGAGAGAGGACAGACGCCCTCCTCAAGACCTCGCCACCAAAAACTCCAAACAATGCAAGCCGCCAACCAACACGATCAAGAATACCATTCATACAAGAACAAGAAAACAGCCATCTAGTAAAAAGCCAAAAGCCAAAAGCCGCAAGCCGCCAAACCCCTCCCTCTACTTCAACCTCGGATCCTCCTCCCCCATCCTCGCAAGCTCATACTCCCCTGCCCCATCCCTCCCTCGTCCCCTCCCTCTCCCCCTCGAATATCCCTCCCCGTCATTGCCGTCCTGCCCACCAGCCGCATCCCCAGCAGCACCAGCCGTATTCTCCACATCCCTCCTCGCGGCGCCTCCACCCCCGAATGAAATGGGCCGCAGCTCGCGGTACCGACAGCCCCAGACGCCCAGCCCGATGGCCACGGCGCTCGACGCGCCCATGGTGCCCCACCACATGGCGTTTCGCGGGAGGAGGCCCGTGTAGAAGGTGCATATGACGAGGTGGATGAAGTGTGTTGTGAGAGCGAAGTCGGGGACGAGTTTACTGCGCGCGACGAGGATAATGATGGCAGCGCCCCTAAAAGCTCAGGGGTCAGTACTCATCGAGAGAACGAGCGGCAAAAGGGCCAAGTAGAAGATGGAAAGGGGACGAAAAAAGGAGGGAAGAAGAGAAACATACAAGCATAGACCTCCCGTCAAAGTCCACACAAAAGCCATCAACCACCCCTGCGTCGTGTCCCCCCTCACAGCCTCCCACCCAAAGACGAGGTCCAGCCCAAACGGTAGACCCGCTACGAGCGAGGTAAAGAGCGTGAGGAGGATGGCCGCCGAGTAGTATACGGACTGCAGCGCGGCGATCTGCGTGACGATGCGAAGGGGAGGGAGTTCCGAGAGGGCGCCTGGCCTCCGGAGCCGCCGACGTCGTGGCGGCATTTCTGTTGGAAAGAAGCGGTCGTGAAGTGCGAAGAGGGGAGGGAGGAGTTGTGCTAGATATCGCGTTCGGTAATAGTTCGACTTGTATAAATTCGCGAGGTGTTTTGCTACGCCGTCATTCCGAGTCGCATGAGGAGGAAGAGAGGAGCTTGTGTCTCTCGGTGGCTGGGGTCGGCTCAGTTAAAGGTCGTCAGGTTCCGGTCACAGGTCTAGAATTTGCGCCGAGAAAACAATCAAAGAAGTCGCTGTTTATCAAAAAAAAGAACCGCGAAAGACTCCACACCGAGGGTCAAAGTGAATGACGTCCTGTTTCAAAATTTTCAAAATTTGTTGTTGTTGTGTCTTTGCATAGGGAGGAAGCGAAATATGGAAGCCTGGGCTGGCCTGAGGTGGTTGAATTGAAGATCCAGCAGCAAATGTCCCGTCATGGGTACAAGGGAACCCCTGGACAGGGTACGAAGTACTTCGCCAAGTACTTCGTATAACCAGCCTCCTGTGACCAGCTGCCAAGGCCATTTCCATCTCTCGGATCCTCACCGTCTTAATTCTGCCGGATTAAATTCTCATCTCCGCTGAGCTCATCTGATGACGATGTCGATCGAATCGGGATTCTGGGATATCATCTCTCGTCGAAACTAATTTTCCCAGCCAAAACTGCAACATCTGTGGATTTTGCTCACCCGACCGCTCACCCACCGGAGTTGATGCCTTAGGTGAGCTACACGTGAGTTGAGGTGAGTACAGATTTATATATGCACCTTGCCCTCTTAACAACCTACTAGATTTCAGAATCCTACAATATGAATCCAAGATCCGACATCATCACATACGCAGTATACTTTGAAGGATCTACTTGCTGAGCAGGCAACACATTCATTAATGTTCTTATTCTCCTTATGCCCACTTGTCAAAACGCTGTGGCGGAGCAGTGCAGCCTGCCCCGAAAAGAAAGAAAAGAAAACAAGAAATAAGAAAAGGGTGGTCTAATGGTCGTAAAAGAGAAGGAATTCTTGCAAGGACTGCTGCAAAGCCCTCACAGGGATTCCCAAGGACGTCGGATGGAAACGGTCTGTGGGAAATATAGCCCACAGAGTGGAAGGGGAAATATGGCCCCAGGAATGGAATGAAGTCCTCAGCAGGGAATATAGCCCACTGAGGAACTGAGGGAATATGGCCTCGAGAAATGAAGAAGAAGGAAAGGGGAAATATGGCCCCCAAAGAGGATCACGGTGGTGTCAAATAGGGGACACCACACCACATAAAATAATAGAGAAGCTGTCCGACTTCACCACACACGATGATCAGTGAGCCGGACCAAAAAGACTTAATTAAAGAAGGACTAATGGTCCTTGAAGAACTGTAACCATGAGGTATGGAAACCTCAAGAAAAACACTGGAAACTCTGTAAAAACATAGACTGATGTATGAACTCTGTATCGCTTGAAAAACCTTGAGAACCTTTTTTTTCTTTTCAAGAGCTTGGGAGCCATGAAGATATACCTGCTCCCCAGTACCCCCCAGACTGGAATAAAGCTTTTCCGTCCCCACCATGTTCCATTCCACTGGCATCACCATTTTCCCCGTCACACTAGTACAAGGTTCTACTAATACTCTTATACAAATGCCTAGATATACTTCAGAGAATCTCTGGATAATAGTAGATACCAGAACATTAAGTCGCTACATTTAGTGCAACCTTTTTTGTACTGCAGGTGGGCTCGGTTCCTGGATGCTATCAGTAATACTGTCGAGGTAGGTCCGAGGGATCAATAATGTACTGAAGGAGCGAATAACATAGGGTTTCACACACCAAATCGAGCAGACCCAACAGCGACTAGCTTATTCTCTCCTACCCAAGGCGGCTCCTCCTCCACATCCAACTATAACAAACTGTGAAAGGATGACTCCCAGCAAGGCAGCTCCCCACAGCACCAAGTACAAGCAGAAAGCATATTGCAGTTAGCCACCAGGTGACCCCACCTTACATCCCCCAGACTTCCAAGAGCAGGACTGATACTTAAACGTCCCGCACTGGTTCTTAGCCTCACCTCCATTCCACGTGCACTTGTCTCTAATAGCCTCGAACACTGGAATGCAGAGGGCATCAACCCGAACGCCCACCTCATCATCATTATCGGAACCGCCCTGATTAAAAAGATAGTTGCAATCTTCGGGCGCGTCGTCCGCCTTTTCGAACCAGGCTCGGTAGTGGTTGTTGTTAATGGGAAGCCTCTGCGACCCGCCCCCGCCGGGACAACGGACTGTGATACCCTGGTCACTGCTCGCGTCTGTTCGGCAGACAGCAGCAAACTCTGGCATGCCCGCTCCACAAAGCTTGATGAGCTCATCCAGGTCCGGATTGTCGTGAGGGGCCCCGTGGGTAGGATAGCAAGACGGTTCCTCGGTGGGCATGCCGGGGTTGATCCCGGTCATGGTGGCGGTCGCGTCAGGACAGACAATTGTTTCCTTGCCGAGGTATGTCGTTACAATCTCGCCATGCATCGCGTCATCGTTACATGTGCAATATGGATCCAAACCATAGCTATAGTAAGGGGTTTGCTAAGTTAATTCAAGGGGTGCATTTCCTGTCTTCAAACGGGGTGGCTGGGGTCCGATATAGATTTGCGCGCTGCTTACCTTGACTCCATTCTGCAGGAAGTGACTGCAGTCTCCGTCGGCCTCATAGTGATGCTGATCGTTTCGGTCGGCATCGTGGAGTATGTGCATGCGTTGTCGCCCTCTCCTGACATGGTGGGGAAGTTACCCTGAATCATCCCACCTTCACTCCCAGCACTCGAGCAATGGCAGAAGGCGGATGGCTCGGCCCTTGGCTGGCCGTCGAAGCCGTTGCCGTGGTCGTTGCGGAAACATTGGGGAGGGATAACGTCTGGCAGCCCGGCCTCGAGTTCCTGAAGGATCTTCTGTTGCTCGTCGGCCCAGGCTCTATCAAAGAGACCTTCGACCATCTTTTTGGTCCAGTTGGCGCAAGGGCAGTTCTTCTTCTCACCCTGCGTATGGAATGTCAGTTATAAGAAAGAGGGGTTGGAGTTGAATGAAAAAGATTGAACTTACCTCTGCCTGGCAGATTTTCTCTTCCCCCTTGCAGTCCGGGTCATCGCAGGCTGGCTTCAAGAGTATCAGCGAGGGGTCACGCTAGAGAAAGTCGCTACAGGGGAGAAGAATACATACCGAGTTCTCGTCAACGGTAGCTGACGGATCACACGACGAAGTTGACGATGAGGCTGTCGATTGCTCCGTGGGCGATGGATTATCGTCATCATTCCCGCCATCCGAATTTCCCGCCGGATACCCAAACAGGCCATCGTCAAAGACGAACTTGTGAGCGGCCTCGACAATGGGTTCAGTCGCCACCAGAGCCCCAGCTGTGGCCGCGGCAGCCATCATGACCGCGAATTTATTCTTCTGCGCCTGCGTCTTGAGGACCTGGAAGGCGGCGCCCAGGATCTCGGGTGCGTTTTGTGCGATCTCGAGGGCAAAGCCGTCCCATTCTGCCGGGTTGACGAGGCCGAGAGTTTCATCGTTTTGGGCAGCTCCTTGTATGGCATTGATCATGCAGCTCATGGCTGAGAGGGTGCAAAAAGAGCAGGGTCAGAACCTTTCTCTTTTCTTTTCTTCCTTTGGGGGTAAACGATGTGGGAAAGTCAAAACTCACCATCGCGCTTCCTTAGCTTGGCCCCAGCGCCGCAAGACGCAGCGGCATCTTTAATTAGGGCATCCAGTTCGTCTTGGACCGCGTCGGACATGAGGACCGTGACATCACCGACTTCGACTCCTTCCGAGGCCACTGTTGCAGTGACGACAGCCAGCTGTGGCTTGACGACAGTCGTAGTCTCAACGTTGTCAACGGTACTGGTACGGGTCTCTTCCGATAGGAACGCCGTGTCAACACCGATCCACTGTTAATCTTCTAGTTAGTCTTGTACAGCAAAGGCATCGCAGGGGTTCGAGATCATAGAACTTCCGGAATAGCATACCTTGGTGCTACTGCCGTCCATAGTGAGGTATTGCGTGTCCACGCCAATAGGGGCCCCATAGTTCCGATGAATCTCAATAGTCTTCTTTACGTTATCCTGACGCTTGGCAATCCTCCCGGGGACAGCTGTCGACTGTGGCCCGGGGCGCGCTGTAATGGGAGGGTATTGGGCATGTGCCAAGCCCAACAGGGCGGCGCTGAAAAGTAGAGCTACCTGCCTATACATGGCTGATGCTGGATTGGCTATGGTAGCAGCCTACTGGTCCTCGATGAAAGCAATCTGCAATTTTACAGGAGAACGAGTAAAGCTCAGGGACATCTTGATAGCTTATATGGCGGAGCACTGATACTTATCTTTGTCAGTATTCATGTCTGACTCTCAACCAGATTGCGCCGCTACAGCTGTTGGTCCCTAAGTGCCAAGAGCAGGATCAACCGAAACACGAGCTGCCTGTCCGATGATGCTGCTGTGGCTGTATTTGCTATACGGCGGTTGTGGCCCCCAAATAACAATCGTCTTTTTGGCCGCCTGTCATACGAGTTGGGACTAGCTGATGTAGGAGTGCGGTTATGGCCCCCGTTTCACCAATCCCGCATTTGGTCCGCCTATCGCATCAAAGACGCGCCTGCAGCTGTTGCCGCCCATGCTACCCTGTTGGCCGCCTTGCCGCGCCAAGACCACCGCGATCCGGATCCTGTTCCGCCCCCGAAGTGGGGCCGGCCTATGCGGCCCCGAATTGGCCCTGCTCGCACCAACGCCGCTCTGGCAGCCATGCCCAGCCGTCACAGCGCCCGTTGAGTGTTGGTTCCCCTATCGAGCTAATACCCCCCCCCCCCCCCCCAAAAAAAAAAAGCTATGACCGGCCCTTGCCGCGCCTGTTCACCCTGCTCGCGCCAACACCCAACCGCAGTGAGCGAACGGGGGGGCCGGAGGATTTTGAGGCTGGAGACGGGCCAGAACCAACAGAAGCAAGAGGGTGGCGACAGAGGGCCAAGTAGACAATAAGGGGATAACCTGAAACTTGGGGGCTGGCTTCCTACAGGAATAACAGTGATATTACTCATGAGGGTACCTTGTCCTCGGCATATCTGTCCTGGTTCATGAATTACATCTGAGTCTGGACAAGGCGAGGCCGATTACCAAGTTGGCCTCTCAGGGCCATAAAGTACTTAGCTACAAGCATGTCGCGTTTTCCTTAATACCGCTCACTCCCGCTGGCCTTTTTTCCCTTTCGCTGTTCAAGTTCGACCGGGTAACCAGACCTAGGATTCCCTCTACTATTATATCCCCAAGTGATGACTTCCTTCATTTTTCTCAAGTTGAAGCTTGCAGTTCTGCTGCTTGCTTCAACGCTTCTCTTTACGCAGCAATGTTATGCTGGATATGCTATTCAAGATGACTGGTAAGCTCGTTCAGATTTGGTCTATCTTAAGTGATAGATAAGTGACCCATATGGTCTAACTGAAGTATAGTGAGCTACCAAACGGTCTTTATATAGTCAACGTTCTTGGATGCTCACATCACCAGGCTCCGAAGCTCAACGCGCCTTTCTCGTTGAAGCGTTTGCGCATGCTCAGACCCTCGCAAATATGGGCCTGAGCAATATGGCCGAGGGCCAAAGCGCCGATGCGACCCAAGCATTCGAGTGGTTGTATGGCACCACAGATGTGCCTATGATGCGAGCGGCTGCGAGATGTACGTTTCTTGCACAGCAGAAATTTCCGTTTCTTCTAGTAGACCTTTTTTTCTTCTTCTGCTAACTAGGACTTGAATAGTGTCCCTCGAAGGCATATCCCAGAATGCGAGCCCCGTCCAGGGCGAACCGCAAGGAGGTGACTTCGAAACTGCTGATGTTGTAAGTCTCTATCTGTTGATAGGTGAATAGGTGACCCTTGCCAGTTGAAGTACTGACGGAGCCTGCCAGCGAGTCTATTGCACACATGATCGCCTGCGAGAGGGAACCGCCCGGGCCGGTGGCGAAACAAGATTCTTTGATACAGGTGAGAATTCTGGAGGGGTCGCTTAAAAAAGTTCTATTGCTGATTAGAATATCTTCAGTGACAAAGGAGTTTCTCAGGGCCAAGTTTGACTGCACTCGTGCCATGGCCTGGACAATCGTGCCCGCCGAGGATCAGTACCCAGATACCCTACAGTTCTGCCCTTGGTTCCTCGACTATGCCATGAAACAGACCGCCCAGTTCCAAGGCCAGTTTAAGCCTGGTAAAATTGGTAGCATGATTTCGAAGCTGAAGCTGGACAGGCTCACGACTTGGGCCTTGTATACTCCTATTGATTTGTTCCAGCTTTTCGACAAGGTCATAGTTCATGAGGTGAGGGCCTAACCTGGAGGCACGTCCGCAATGCATAACTGATATAGGATAAAAGCTAGCACATACGCGACGAGGCAGAGAAATGGATGATGTTGGAGGGTTTTCGGGCTATGGTATGTTTTTAGGCCGTATGCCATTCTGCCTCTGGGGAAGAAAGAGGGCTAATACCATTCCCAGGATGGAAGAACTGTCGCGCGCTATCTACCCAACGTGGGGAGACATCGCCGCACACAAACGCTGGTAAGTTATCTGTCGGACTTGTACTCACATCTTATAAAATTTTGACATCCCCTCTCAGATAGTCTCGCTCTCTATGCTTCCATCTCTGCACTGATAAGGGACGGTGGCATGGTTCGTGAGGATGGTACATTTGCCAAAGGCCCTGGGGGCGCCGGCGGTGCTGATGAAGGCAATGAAGGCGAAGCAGTGACGAAGAGTGGTGCTGAGATCCCGGACGAGAACAATGAGCCCGAGCCGTTCCTGGAGCCTCTCGCTGTGAGGAGACAGGTCTTGCAGTTCAATCCCTCGAGCCTGAAGGGACGACCGCTGTTTTGAAGTCATTTTTGAGAACTCAATCCAGTTCAGGAGGTTGATCGGTTAGTGGAGATAACCTTCTCAAGTATTGATGATCTTCAGTATCTATTCCCAGAATCCCGTTAGGAATCTCGATTATAGATGCTTTGGGAAAACTTGGTCATACGGAATGATATAGTAATAGGATCTTTAAGATTATGACCTTCAAAATGTGTCAATCCCTATTGTGTTCCTGTCTTCGACCCTCCTCTGTGGCTACGCTCTGTCCTGTCCTGCAAGCCTCCTTCCAACCCTAATCACCCTCCCAACAGACCCTAGCCCAGTCCTAGATGACTGACGTCTACTACTTGGCGGATAATAGTACATGGAAGCGTCTCCTCCCGAGTTGAGGCAGCGGCAGGGAAAGGAAGAATAAGCTCGAAATGCGAAGGACTCGTCACCTTCTTAATCCCCTCCCACAAGGTCCACTCTAGGTCTGTCCATATCGAGGCGTCCAACGGCTGAACAAGCCTCAACTCGACTCTCAGCCACTCGAGTCCTTCCATGGCTGCCAGCGCCTTCCAAACTCCCACCCAGAGGATCTCTCTCTTGCCAAGCTTTTTCTTCGTGAGCCATACGGGTTGATAGTGGTCCCACTTAAGGTTAACCTTGGAAATGAGGGAGACAGAGGTCGCCGGAAGGCGTTCCGGTATGATCATGAGGGCATGCTTATTATGCGAGAAGTCGAAAAAGGTCTCTCGATAGAGAGTGTACAGACATTCAAAGTAGCTAATAAGACAGTTAGTAGAGGGACGCGAATAGATAAGATAGGAGATATACATCTTCTTGCAGGTTAGTAGTAGAGATATATGGTCACATCGGACATTTTGCCGACCGCATATATCAAAATGAGGGCCTGGTGAGGCATCGTCTGCATCCCATTTCAAGCACTCTCTAGCGCAAAGCTTCCCGCCCTCAGTAGAGACGTGAACCGCATGCCCACAGAAGCATGTCTCCCAGATCATCTGACGTAGTTCGCGGGGAAGGCGAGAAAGAAGTAGCGCATCCTGCTCTTTGGCCGTATGAGGTGAGATGGGCTTCGGCGGGAGAAAGGGCACCAACTTGCGAGCGTTGGTGAGGAGCTTATGGAAGCTGAGAGATGACATGCCGGTGGTTGAAGAGAGAGAGTGAGGGTTCCAGGTGCCCGTAGGGAAACGGGTGGGGTTTGACATCTGTGAAAAAGTGTCAGAAACGCAGAGAGGACAGCTGCGTGCAGCTGTTCCCACTTGATAGAAGTCTCCGCATGAAGTGGGTCTGCAGGATAATACCTTTTCCAGGGATGGCCGGGAAAAGGGGGATAGACAGAAATCCAGAGAAAAACAGACAAAGAAGAACACGGAATTTAGACCCGGTTGCCCTTATGTTTTGCTCTAGATCTTTCAGTTGCCTGCGTCTGATTACAGCTGTCGCGTCGTAATATCGAGTCCGTATTTCTGATAAAAAGTGCCGACTTGGTTGCAGCTGATGACTCAGCAGCTAGAGGTCCGAGTACATTGTAGCAGCTCCGACTGTCGCGTCCCCTTCACCCACCTACCGTGCCTTCAGTCCCACGACGCCCTCTTCGGCCTCGTTCCAACCCCAGTACGCCGGCGCCAATGTCTCCCGCATCCATACGAGCGACTCGTCGGTGTCGCTCCAGTCCCAGTTCGACGCGCATGGACAGCCACTGAAGGGGAGGGAGTCCATGGTGTCCATGCAGTCCTACTACGACTCCCCAACCTCCCCCCAGCAGCCGGACCCTTACGTTGGAGCAAGCCACACCGCGTACACACCCCCGACCTCATGGATAGGCGGCCACCAGTCCCAGGGCTACGAGCCTGTCCCGACCGCGACCCCGCTCTCCCTTTCGAGGTCCGGGAGTTCGCGCACGAGACGTGGCTGCTACAGCCTGGCTTTCTCCGGCGAGCACGAGGCCACCCTCCCCACCGCGGCGCCCATGGGGCAGGACCAGAGCTACGAGGCCGTCCCGGCCCACGACGCCGCCGACGATGTGCCCTTCGACCCCACCTCCACGCTCGGGCCCCCGAGTCTGCAGGACGACTCCTTCGTTAAGAAGCTGCAGGAGGCGGAGGCCAAGGGTCACCTGACCGGGGGGCTGGGGGCCGGCTGGAAGCCCGAGGAGCGGTTCCTCGGATCGGAGCTGGCGAGGGCACTCTTGAGCCTGCAGAGGTCCATCACGCGCAGGTTCACCCGCCGCCAGCCGCAGCGGGACTTGTGGAGAGCAAGTGCTTCTGGCTGTCAATGCTTATATCGATTTCAAGATTTCAAAGCTACCGTCGCTGCATCGGAAAGTATTAAAGCAGTTTATTCGCATACTCCCCGAAAGGCCTATATCGTTCACCCATCAGAGCTTTATCATAACCCCCCCTTATTCATCCTGCCGGTTTCCCTATATCTTCTATGTCAAGCCATGACTCCGTCTGTGAAGAGCCAACCTAAACCCTCAGATGCCGGTTTTAGCCATCTTCGCTCCCACAGATCGAGCCACCTCTTGAACCTAATTGAGATGATCTGAGCAAATGGGGTTGGGGAATTGGTTTCTTTGCCTCAGCTGGCCATCTGCGGGGATCAATCGGCGGGGAAGAGCCCCGCCTTGGAGGGCATAACAGGAATACTATTTCCCTGACAAGAGGGTCTCTGCACTACATTTCCTACTGAAATCGTCCTCCGCCACGCGATTGCTTCCCAGACTATTACGGCTACAATTTGACCATATGTTTCTGGTACGCAAGAAGTTCAGAAAACACTTAGAGTGTTCCGAAAGACTATTCAGCATATGTCGGAACTTCCTTCGATCATTGGCGAGGTAGCGAGGTTAATGGGCATTCGAGGATACTCAAATTTCGCCCAACGATACGGCCTTTGCGTCAGATGCTCTCCACACAGAGATATATCCGGTCCCCAGGATGGCAGATAAACTAATCCCGCCGGTAGCATACTCTAGAGATTGCGTTCTTGAGGCCGGTCCCTGGCCGGCCTGGATGCCTGCATCAGAGCCTGGTGTGCACCGGCCAAGGCGCAGGTCGCATGTCACGTAGCACGGTGAGATGGCTTCCTTCCCGCCATCGACACCATCGAGGCGTTGACGGCAATGCTGTTAATGCTCGACTGTACAATTACAAAGGCTAATGCATTCTGTTTATACAAATTCCCTCTCCTTGCGAAGGCTGGATCGGGAAGGCTTTGATCAGCACCGGCGTTGAGGTGCCGTCTACATAGTCGGTGCAGCGCCTGAATCAGCTTTTCTGGGGGGCGAGAAGGATATGGCGATACGACACGGAGACACGGGTTGGGTGAAAACCGTGACGGCGTGTCTAATTTGTCGAGAAATTGGCCAGACATAGCAAGTACGGCAACCTACAACGTATTTAGAGCTGGGCGGCAAACCGCGTGGGTTTCAGACGACAGGCCTACCTTACGACCTGGCATGTTACGAAACCTATGCTTCCTCCTCTGCTTCCTGCGTTTGTGGAGTCGTTGAATTAAGCGTGAGAAAGCGATCAAATAGAGGCAATTTGAAGGCACCGCGAATGCAGGGCTTATGTAAGAAAATTTGCGTTCGGAATGTGGGCAACGTTGTTGGTGCTTATGAAGTCGACCAGAATCTTCAGATGCAAGAAACTGAGAACGGTCGTGTCAACATCAAAATTGATCCAGTTTGTTAGTTGCACCTAGTCATCAATCTCTAGGCAGGTTTGGTGCATTGCTGACAGGTCTAGCCAAGGAAATTTTATAAGCTTTCCCATCTTACAACTTAGATTGACTGTCGATTGCGAAGTTTCGAAATCACAGCTTCAAGGAAGATACCAAAGGAGGCCAAGGCAATGAACCCATGAATGCAGAGTTTAATTATGTAGGAACATTTTGCCCTGGGAATTGGGATGCTGGAGGAGCAGGGTACATATCCCAAGTATAATTTATATAAGAGCAGGTACCGAACCCAACTGAATACCTGGAAGAAGAAAGCACGTTGCAGGAAATCAGGAGAAATTCTGATCACATAAGCCTGTGTGAAATATGAATTTTTCGTACGGAGTACACTACATTTGCCCCATCTTATCGCTCCCCCTGTATGCATGGATCCTGAGCGGACAGCGCTGGTGAGCAAAATCCACAGATGTGAAAGTTTCCCCATCAAGCCCACCTCCCCAGTCCAGCAAAGCAGCAGCAACAAATCCACCCACCCCCCAATTCAATCCAATCCACAACCTTCTTTACTGAATCCCAACAACCGACAACCAATTCCTCCGAGCTCCCCCTCGAACGAGCCATCGAACCCTCTCTCTCAACACACAAATACCTCCCATCCCCTTCGTACACAATGGGCTTCTTCACCCCCGATCGCGCCTCCCAAGTCCGCTCCGGCGCCGTCGTCCCAACCCGCACCGAACGCCTACAATGCTGGGCCTCCCGCGACGCCTACTTCGCCTGCCTCGACGCCCACTCCATCGTCAACGCCAACGCCGACCCTTCCGCCACCAAGAAAGCCTGCCCCAAGGAGACGGCCGAGTTCGAGCGCGACTGCGCCGCCAAGTGGGTTAGCTACTTCAAGGAATGGAGGGTCATGGATGCGAAGAGACGGGCGAAGATTGAGCAGTTGGAACGGGAGGGGGCTATAAAGATGGAGTCGAAGCCCGAGTTTGGGGTGGAGAAGAGGTGAGGATGAATTGGAAAAGGATGGGAGGGCATGATGGGAGAGGCTTAATTGGGAAGGAAATACCGTTTGCCGGAGGTGCGGGATGGGGGATCTAGCTGGGGCAGGGCAGATATGTTCAATCGATATGACGGAGCTTCGAGTGGGAAGGATACTGTACATTACCATGTATAACAAAAGGGAGGAAAGGTATCGGACAAGACACCCCGATACAACCATTTGATAGACTTAGCCTCGCCGGTCCAGCACGTACGACGAAATACGACCAATCTTGACTCTACAAGCTCTCCAGTAACCAAGTCTCCGATTTCGTAGAACCCATTCTACGCTTTACATTCATCACGTACATACACATCCTCAAGTCACCTTCATGAAATAAATCCCTTTGCTGCTATCCGAATCTATTCCATCCCCTCTACAACTAACGAACGAGCTTGAGCCCATCTATAACACTGGCCTCGGCCACAATCCCCTCCACGAGATTCTTCATCTCACCCCCTTCCACCCACACTCTCGAAGAAAGAAAATAACAACCCCAGTTTCAAACTCGATCCTTGTGTATAAAATGTAGTAGATAAGGTATGAAAAAACTCTGTATAATCCTGCGATGCTCTACACAATGCCATGGTATCATCTATGTGCTGTCCCATCAAATTTCTTTTTCTTTTTTTTCTTTCGTTTTCTTTTTTTCGCAAAGGCAAACACCATGTCGTTTGGGAGAAAGAAGGCCAATGAGGGGTAGTAGTAAACATAGAAAAGATAAAGAGGACAGAAAGAAAGGGACAGGAAAAGGAATAAAAAGAAAGGCTAAGAGGAAAAGAAGTGAGACCCGTGAGGGCAATAATAGAGGAAACATGAGAAGTGGAAGCAAATAATAGTGTCAAGGAACAAGGGGAGAAGACACAGATAAAAGAAACGGGCATTCTGCCAGAGACAAAGGAGATGTAATAATGCAGTTATTGTGTTTTGGTGGGCAACCAACCCATGCCCATGGAAAATGCAAATGCGTTCATCATGTCCATTTTCTCCCTCCTACAAAGGAAAACATCTTGCATGGCCACCCTCCCTGACCTCGACATCGACTCGCCATCCATCTCTCATGAGATGCAACCCCCCCAATTACAGCCCGTCCACTCACCCAACAGACAGGCTAATCGCCTGCTCACTGCGAGGAAGGGGTGGAAGATCCTTGTCCAAAGACTCTCGGCTGACTTTCCTAGTAAGCTTCAAGGACCCTTCCCTGCTGTCATTGCCGACCCCGTTCACACCACCGTATCCGCTATCCGCAGTCTCGGGCTTCATATACTTGGGTGGCGTTGGTGGGCCCTCACGCTTTCGTGGGACGCTCTTGACCGGTGGAGTCGCCGGCCTTGAATCTTTCGCCGGGGTCGGCGGTCGTTCTTCGTCACCGTTGCGGCTTTGATTACTCCGGGCGCTGCGGAAACTGCGTGAACCCGTCACCGAACCTTCCGCGGCTTCGTCGACCACTGGTAGTGATTGACCGTGGGCTGACTCTCCTCCATCATGGATATGGGAAGAGGCGCCACCACTTCCGTGACCTTTCTCGTTCAGTTCTCCGTCCGCAGGAAACTTCTCATTCGTCATCTCCACGTTTGGAGGCAAGTGTGCGACCGGCGGCAGAGGTGGCGCGTACGTAGGCATGGGAGGAGCCGCGGCAGACGAGTTGCGGTGGTGAGACTTCCAAGGGGGACAGACTCGGCTGCAGTCCGAGACTTCTTCAGCTGGCTCCTCGACGGCGGTGGCGAGACGCGTGGCTTCGGCCTCGGCTTCGACGAGTGCTTTCCGTTGCGCCTGCTCGGAGGACATTGTGACGCCCTCAACGAACCGGTAAAACCTATCGCCGTATTGGTCCGGAGGCAAGGCCGAAATCTGCGTTCGATCGCTGGACAGACCCTTCCAGAAATGCTCAATCTTCTTGATCACCCCGTACTAAAATATTGGCACACTAGGTTAGCTATTTTCGAACAACCCCCTTGAAACAGACTTGCACCACTTCTTCATCACCACTTACATGAGTCAAACAATCAATGACGCCAAGATAATACACCTCATCGGCTGGTGTATTATCTTCGTGAGTGGCTCTGAACCCTCCGTCGTCCTGATTAAACACGAAACCACTTCGTGTGTTGGCCTCGTCTAGCTCGTCGGGCATGCGGCTCTCCGTCTGGTCCATGGGGACGGGGCGTTCCTGTCGCAACATCTGGCGGAGTTCCCTGGCCTTCTTGGCATTCTCCAGCTTGCTGGGCGTTCGGAGAAGAACAGAAATGTCGGGTTCGTCCGAGTGTCGCTCGCCGCCGGGGTTGAAAACCCGCAAAGTCTTGTCCCTCAGGTTCTCTTCATTTCCCTTCTGCAGGTCGTGGATGCCGATCAGCAGCGAGTAGTCCATGATCTGGAGGCGCTTCAACAGGGCCACGTCCCGCTGCAGCTGACTCAGGAACAGGCGTTTCTTTTCTATTCCCAATTCCAGGTTCCGTTTCCTCCTCATCCAGTTGAGATCCTTGAGTGTGGCGCGGGGGTTCTCCTCGAGCTTGCTCTCGGGGTAGTCTCGGCCGACGGTTGATCCCTTGAGGTCGAACGTCTGGTGGATGTCGCGGTGTGGGGGAAAGAGATTGTTCATGACAACAAAGTGAATCTTCTTTCCGTAAGGCATCTTCACGCGATGCAGACCATAAAACTGCGAGAGAAGCGTGTTCGGGTTGTCGGTGACATGCTGATAGTAGTCTTTAAGTATCTTCCGGAGAAACTTGTGTTCGGAGTGGTGAATGGTCTTGATGATGTACTTGTAGTCGCGGGAGAAGTAGAAGAAGCTCCCACTCTTACCCGGGGAGCCAAGCTCAGAGAGAATATACTTTCCTGTCAGAGACATGAGATAGTCTGCTGGGTCGAGCCTAAAGAGGGCACGGAGTCGTCGGAAAACCCAAGGGGCGTAGTCCTTGAACTTGAAGTCGTATTTCGCAGACGGCACAAGCTCATTTCCGGCACTAGAGGAAGTCACAAGGTTAGGGACAGAACATCGCGCAAAGGAGGATGCTTCAGGCATTAAAACAGTCCCCTCATCTTTTTCTTTTCGACATCAAACTTACATATCGAAAGTGGATTTTTGTTTCGCCTCGAAATCAGCATCTGTTAGATCCCGGTCGAGCTTTGCGTTCGTTCGCGAGACGGACACGCGGATTCCAGTGAGCATGTTGTAGGCAGTAACCCAGTTCACGTGGTGTTCGTCAACCTTGGTTCCGACCAAGACCCTGTCGTCGTCTTCTTCCTCCCTTCTCCGCTTCTTGGTAGCACGCTTTTGCCTGTAGGCTTCGGCCCAACGTAGGGCATCTTCGTCGGGGGCCACCTCGTCTCTGGGAAGATCGGACTGGATGGATCGGGTGGCTCGTCGAGCTAGGCTCAGAGAAGCCCTACGGACAGATGCGGCAGGGCCAGGCCCACCAGGAGCGGTAGGCGAGAACCGCCCACTGGCAAAGGCAGCATCAGCTCCATCCCTGGAGACTCGGGACTGTTTTCTTGGGACCTCGAGAGTGTGGCGCTGTCTGAGCTGGCCCGGGCCAGGGACTTGGGAAGTAGAAAGCGTCGGCGACGAAGATGAAGCGTTGTGATGAGGAGGATATGAGAGTCGATGGGCAGTATCACTCGTTCGAGGAGTAGGAAGATCGAGAGAAGCCGTGGGAACCGGGGGAGGCGGGGAGGTAGGAGAGGCGGGCGTGACAACGTTCGTTGGGGGGTATAAGGAGGGGGACCTTCGGGCAGCCGAAACCGTCGAAAAGGCGGTAGAATTAGGGACAGGGCGATACGGCGCTTGTTGGTGGGAGTAGGTCGATGATGCATCGGTGGGGAAAGGAGCTGCCGCGAGAGTCGGTGTAGTCGTCTCAGGGCCAGCCTCGTCCGGGTAGTATTCAGTTGAGTGGTCTCGGGGTTCGGGGTAAACAGCGGTCGCTAAGGGTTGCTGGTGTTTGGCCGACGTCACCGTCCTATCAACCAAGGTTGTCGTGCCGTTTACCATCGATATGGTAGGCTTCTGTTCGACCCCGAGGCCAGGCAGGACGGGCTGCCCATTGGATACGGAGGACATGCTCGTCTGGCGTGTCCTAGTTCTATGACCGTTCATGGGAATGGACTGGCTGGCGTCGGAGAGATCGGAGTGGGATGAGGATGACGCCGTTGACGAAGACGTATCGTCAAAGCTGGCATTGGTTGTGTCGGGCCGAGCGGCAGGTTGTATGGTCGACCCATCAAGGGGAAAATGCTTATCGGAAGGGATACCAAAGCTGGCGGGATCGAAATCAATAACGTGGTGAGAAGGGTTGTAAATAGCGGCGTTTCCGTCGGAGAGATAGGCAGGCATGTCGAGGAGGGCGAGTTCGTTGAGCGGAATTGTCGTCGTCGTCGATGATGATGTGGGAAGGGGGTTGGTAAGGCAGGTTAAGAGAAAGCAGGACTGATCGGACCGGTTCGCCAAGGAGAGGAGAGGACAGGTCAGGTACACAGACACAGGGGGCAGGGTGCGGGGGGAAGGAAATAATTTCTTTCCCCCGACACGACGACTGGCAAAATCAAAAAAATGATCGAGGGTCGATGGAAATAATAGAGTCGAGCAAGGCGTCAGAAACGGAAGGTCTCGAAGGGATCGATCATGATTTCAGAGATGGGAGGTCGATAGGGCTGTTATGCAGGGAGCAGATAACAGAGAATAGAGCAGAGAGCGAAACTAAATTTGGAGACCCCTAATATCAGGAGAACGGAATTAGGATTTCGGGCTGGTGTTGATTGGCAACGACGAAAAACGAAGATTTGAGGGAGGCATTTTGGGTTAGGTGATAACAACAAACCCTTGTGCTGCTCTTCTGAGCACTGAGATGGATAGGACAGGATAGGCCTCAAGTGCTGGTTTTGGGAGGCGGGCGGAGGCACGGCAACAGAAGAAAACGAGGTGCTGGACCGGACTTCTGATGCAATCGTTCGAACGAATTTGACTGGGCTTGGGTACGAACAAACGGACGTGACACCGCCAAAAAGTCCTAGTCTCCTTCGTACTTTCCAGTTGTTGGGCGGGGGACGTCAATAGTGTACGAGGTACATTGTACTGCAGTTTTGGGAAGGCGAGACACCAAAACCTAAGCCAAGAGGCATGTGGGGAAGGAACGAGGAGAGCTGAAGCACTTTTCGAATTCTGCACTGTATTTTCTCGGTGTCAGGGGCTTCCAGGACCTTAAAGTGCAGAATAAATAGTGCTGAAGAACAATATACTACCCCCAAAATACAGTGCTAGCATCTACTTCAGTACACATATCCATTAAAATTGCAACAGTGGGTTCTATAGCTCAGCCCCCGTTCCAATTCCCTTCTTGCCCTGCGCCTCCACGCGATGCACCGCGTCGGGACCAGCCCAGCCCATCCCTGCTCGGTAAGCCCAGCCGCCCAGCCAAGATCGTGTCTTCGTCAGCTCCCTAACTGTTTCCAGTCAGCGCTGCCGAGGATGGCACCGAATTTCTTTGCCGGTTCAGACCCAACAAGGCAGATCGACATCACCAGAAAGATCAGAAATGAGAGACGATTTCCCAGTCACCGTCTCTGTTTTATAGAACTAGTGTACCTTCGCGAAGTCCTCCGTGCCTGCTTGGCCAGAGATGATGAGGCTTGTCTTTTTCCTTCAAGAGGAACGCTTCTCCTTGGCCGCTTCTTGGCATGTTAGAGAGAGCGGGTACAAAGTACGAAGGAATGCCAGCTGTTGCTGTGGTCATTGACTGTTCTTATGGATAGAACAAGACACCGACGGACCATTCCCGGGTCCCGACGACGTCTGTGGGGCCCTCTGGCCTGGTCTGGGCAAACTTCACCAAAGCGGTTGATACGAAGTACGAGATTCCAGGAGCTGAATCAATATCGGGTCAGTCTCTCTGTCACTGAGGAATCCTCCATCTGATGCTGAGGAAGCATGTTGCACACACCAGCGACACGATTCTTCCATCTCAACGACGCACTCCTTCATGGACTGACGGCTAATAATAGCAGCCTTTTAAGCATCCAGATTCCCGGGTCTTGAATAATATCAATCGAGGACGTCACAAGTATAAAGGAAGTACGAAGGTACACAATGTTGATACCCCTACGATTGAGACCATCCTCACCCCTGAGGAGCAGGGATAATACCAAGACCCATCAATATCACTCAAAATTCCACGAATCTTCTCTCCCGCAAAGGTCAAGTTTAAATTGACCAAGCCCAGCAGTAAACCACAGCATGCCAAGTACGAGGCCGACCTCTGTATACTCAGAGGCATATCCAGGAGTCGAGGACTTTCAAACTGGGTAATACTTCGTATATGAATCCCAGTCGGATTGACCAAGGTTTTGAAGTTTGATGATTCACTCATCGACCAGTCACTGGCGATCACAGTTACTCATAACACTGATCGTAATACACACTCTCTTTCCTTAGCTTAAAATATCCTGGCGAGAATCAGATATCATCTCATATAAAACACCTCCAGGCATAGCTGCCACTCACGGCTTGATATGATTTGAGGGTCCCGTCGCCAATTCTCAATCAGGCGTTGCGCAACTTTGTCCTGCCGGAGACTAATGAACTCGTGCACGCGTCCGCGACATGATTCATTGGCGCCCCCACGATTGGGAGAACAGCGTTCCCAAACGGGCTATATGCGGCGCCACCACCCAAAATACCAACCTTCCGCACTTGGAAGCCTGGCGGCATTTTGCCTGAAAAACGGAAGACAAGTGAAATTGGGTCTCTCAACCCATGCCTATATTCCCCCTCCACTACTTTCATCTTCCGTGATATGCTTCTCCAAAACCCCTAGTGATCGCATCCACAGTTCATCCTAAATCACACCCTTCTCCACAAGGCGGCCCAGACCTGCCCAAGACTCTCTTGGGCTCTACTGGCTCCCTCCCGGGAAAGAGAAAAAAAGGAAAGAAAAAGGGAAACGTTACGCCATGCAGAATGACTGCCAAGATCGCCAAGACAGCCTGTTCCATCTTCTTGACCCCATAACCCACGCTTCCCAAGCCATCCAAGCCGCTTATTCGGCAACCTCACGCGGCGGAAGCCCTCCCAGCAGCCCAGCCTTCCAAATATAACTTGATAGGACCGCCGCCGAGACCCCTTAATTCTACCCAATTGATCGCCAACGGCAGAGTCTTGAAGAATTTCAATGTCGAACCAGGAAAACCACTCTCGGAAACACCTTTCCTTGATCAAAATATACGTGCCAGTCATCATGAAATTTGCCAGGGAAGGAAGAACGAAAAATAACGAGGGTCAAGAAACAAAAATGAAGAACAGAAATAAATAAACGAAAAAGAAGCTAAAAGAAGCAGCCTCACGCGCATATTGCCCGAAAGGGTAGACACTCTGTGAACTCACCTCAATTGACATCTTGGTTGGGCAGCATCTTCATCAGGAAGGTAAAATGTCAACCCCAACCCAACCCGAAGCCACATTCTTCTTTGATAATACTTGTCGAACAATGTTTCAACTTTCTGCCTCGTGATATCTCTCTTACCACCTTCTCTCATCTACCACTCTGCTACAACTCTGAGGTCGTCTCACTTGGCAGATTAAGGGTGGTGTTAATACTTGATGTGGTCTCGTAGTCGGGTGGTTGAGCTCCCCCAATACTCATCGCGCCGTTGACGCACAGCCTTCAGGGTGCCTTGGGCGGGCAGACAGCTTCGACAAACGCCCAGGAAGCACTCCGGAAATGCAAGGTGGTGTTCTGGTGTCGTCGATGTTAAGCCGGGGAGCCATAGACTGGGGCTGGAAACATCGACAGAGACTATCAAGGCCCAGAGTCAGGCCAAAGGACTATTTTCTCTTGAGGACTGATGGTTAAGAGAAGCAAACAGGAGTGATGTCAAAGAACTTTAATTTCGCTGGTTGCTAACAAATGCCTCCCACTCGCATCTCCAGCCGGCTCTCTTCATTAGGTGAAAGTAACGCAAGATTGTGTGTCCCGGCAACAGGCAATGTGCCGCAGGGTTTGGTTGCGGAGACAATATCGCCCCGTCCCTCGTTCCCTCAAGGCCGAGGGCATTCGCGCCTTTTCCGGTATGGATGGGTTCGGAGAGATCGAGGGGTGCCCTTACAAATGACGTTTTCAAGGTTCCCTCCGATCCGCCTCGATGCCACTGTCATCAGCTCCTAAGTCTTCCAGCTCTCAACAGCGATCGCTAGTATATCAGAATGCTCGTGAGGTGCTAGTTAGTAATATCTCAAAAAGACAAAGAAGGGATGCTCAAGGTTTGTTGCAACAGACTCAGGGCCAGAAAACCCAAAGGATCGGCCGCCGCCTCGCGCAAATCGGTGCAAATCGGTGCAGCTCGTTGGGCTGAACAGTATTGATAACCTTCTGTTCGACGCCAACATGGAACGGCTCCGGCTCCTCTGCAGCTCTTCTCTTCCTGGCATAATATGAAGCTCGCCGCCAGCAAGTAGCGGCCCCCAAGCATCCCAAGGGCCGTCCGAGAGGTGACGGAGCCTTGCGAGCCGTCTTAAACTGAAATAAATCTCGCCAGAAATCCGTTCTATGGCCCGGCGACCGACAACCGTACTCTTATAACAAACGACACTCTCCAGTCCAGGCTTGCAATTACTTGCTCCACTAAGCCACGGATTCTTCTGGGCCGTCGTTGCTGCTGTCTGCCAACTGGGCTTGGTCGTCTCCGCCCTCAGCCTCTGAGATGTTTAGTCCTTCAATTATTACTCCCAGGCTCCCAAATGAAGAATGTGTTTCCAGCCGTGGGGGAAGTGAAGATCGCCGCGGCCTTGGTGAAGACAACGCCTCCATAAGCCGACCTCTCTCCTCTCGAGCACCATGATGCAGCGAAGGGTCCGACAACGTAAGCCTCATATCCCCTGGCCGTGGTCGACGAGGCCGTCTAAAGAGATGAATCTCCCCGTCCGGTTCCACGAAAGCAAGATCGAATAATGCTGCGATAGCCCGAGTGTCGGGCTCGCGTTCGAGATCACCAAGACCCGAGGTCCAGCAAAAGATGGCCCTGGAGTTCCTCGAGGTTCGTGAATAAACGGGACCATCACCAAGGGAGCCGGAGCAGTAGAGGTCGCCGTCATGCCGCCAGACGGGCTAGTCCGAGGCGATGAGCGGTGGTCGGGAGACAAGGGGCGTAGCATTGCGTCCAAAGGGAGGTTAAAAATTGGTGCACGAGATCTTGGTTAAAATTGATAGGAAAAGCTGTCAGCTAGATATATGGGGCACGCATGCAGGTTTTCGACGCTATGGATCCAGAGACTATGACAAAATAGGGCACAACTACGCAGGAGGATGAAACCCTGGCCACGGGTCGAGGCCGAGACTGCATTTGAGAACATCTTCAGCCGGGATAAAAGTGGAAGGTGCTGATCTCGGGGGCTCGATGTCAGTTGGGCCGGACAACTGTAGCCGGGTGCTCCTGCTCCTCCCGATCCGGGCCAGATAACAGTGAAGCCCAACTGGCAAGAGCGCTGCTGTAGCCGGTTGAACAGCCGGCGTTGAGTCATTCGTACACTATTACTGGGTCCTTTACTTAGCACTATGAATTAGGGAATGATCGAGCCAACACGGTATGTTTTGAAGATTGGGAAGAGCTGTCTGGTGCTCTGATTCCAAGCTTGAGTGCTCAACGTCAAAGCCTAGATCTGAGCTTCATCGTTCGAAGACAGCCGTAATCGTCATTCCGGCGTCCCTGACCTCCCCAGGCCGCAGCCTCCTTCCGGGGAAGACGGGAGCGGCGCTGCATCGAGACCAGTGTCCTTGTCGCACTGTTAGGAAATGGACTTCTCCAGGCGCCTCCTCCCGCCGAAAAACGCCGGGATTAGTCAACAAGTTCGTTCAAACTGTTAGTCAATTGTTAGTCTCTTTCCTCGGCTACGCACGGCGAAATCGGCATCAGGCTACGGCTCCTTCGAAGCTTGGACGCTCCAATTGCTTTTCCCCATTAATACCCCATAGAGCTACCGAACCACGATTGGATCGTTCAAAAGAGGAGGTTCTCTCGCAGCTTCGTGAGCTCCCCAGATCCTTCTTCCTTCTCTTGTATCCTTTAGAAGTCCAATTGTCCGTGACAGAACTCTGCGCTGTAGCTCCAAACCTCACAAACATCATGACGATTCCAGTGTCCCGCTTCCTCGCTCGGCGAGCTATTCCCAGGGCATGCGCCCTCCGCTCCAGAGTCGCTTTTGGTGTCTCGAGGCCTATGAGCACCGCTGCGGACCAGGCTGTCTTCAATTGGGAGGACCCCTTGGCTGCAAAGGCGTTTCTCACAGAAGAGGAGATCGCTGTCGCGGAGACGGCAGAGAAGTATTGCCAGGAGCTGCTTCTTCCCAGGGTTCTTCGTATGTGCTTTCTTTCCCTTTTTCCTCTAGCTGCCCTCCCCCGTTTTCCTCGCTCCCAAACGGCAGGAGTATTTTGAACTACGAAGCTAACACAAGTCTTCCGCACTTAACCAGAGGCGTACCGCGATGAGAACTACGACCCCAAGATCCTAGAGGAGATGGGAGATTTGGGCCTCCTCGGAGCCACGATACAAGGATACGGATGCGCGGGCGTGTCTACAGTAGCCAGCGGCCTCATCACCAAGGCCGTCGAGCGCGTGGACAGTGGTTACCGATCAGGAATGTCTGTGCAGTCCTCCCTCGTAATGGGCGGAATCTACGAAATGGGCACAGAGGAGCAAAAGGAGAAATATCTCCCCGAGATGGCCAAGGGTAAGCTGATCGGCGCCTTCGGCCTCACGGAACCCAACCACGGCAGCGATCCCGGCTCGATGGAGACGGTAGCCAAGCCTCACCCCACGAAGACGGGATACTACTCCCTCTCTGGTTCCAAGACGTGGATCACCAACTCGCCCATCGCCGACGTGCTTCTTGTGTGGGCCAAGCTCCAGGAGACGGGCAAGATCCGCGGTTTCCTGATCGATCGCAAGGACTGCCCTCCCGGAACCCTCGAGACCCCGGCGATCAAGAACAAGAACGGCCTCAGGGCTTCGATCACGGGTATGATCCACATGGACGGATGTCCCGTCCCAGCGGCCAACATGTTCCCCAACATCGAGGGTCTCCGTGGTCCTTTCAGCTGCCTCAACAGCGCGAGGTATGGTATTGCGCTTGGCGTGACGGGTGCGCTTGAGGACTGCATCGCGAGAGCGAGACAGTACGCTCTCGAGAGGAAGCAGTTCAAGGGCAACCCGCTCGCCAAGTATCAGCTCATCCAGAAGAAGCTGGCGGATGCGGCGACGGATGCGGCGTACGGCACCGTTGCGGCCATCCAGGTCGGTCGCCTAAAGGACCAGGGTCTCGCTACTCCCGAGATGATTAGCATGGTTAAGAGGCAGAACTGCGATCGGGCGCTTCACAATGCTCGCGTGCTTCAGGAGATCTTTGGTGGAAACGCTGTCAGCGATGAGTACATGATTGGAAGGCACGTCGCAAACTTGTACGTGACGCAGACCTACGAGGGACAGAGTGATATTCACGGTAAGTGCAACCCTCGTATCTATCTTTGATTTCTTGGATTTTTGGTAAGCTAATTCTCTCGGACAACAGCTTTGATTTTGGGCAGGGCCATCACCGGCGTCCAGGCCTTCGTTTAAGACCGACCGACCATCCTCCGAACCCGGGCAACTTCCAAGATCTCGCCCGATAGACATATCTCTATAAACATATACCGAAAAACTCTATTTATTTACATTCGCATCGAATACATGTATAAGGACAGCGTAGCATAGGGTAGATAATGACATACTAAGAAATCAAGCAACTCTGTAACAAGCTTTGATCGTGACCATAACCGGCCCTTTCAGTGGTCCCCAAAATCCAAAATCGAAACCAGGGCTTTTCGGCGACGTCATCTCGTTGGCTCGCTCGGACAACCCTGTCCCACCACATCTCGCGCTCATTGGGTGAAAGGCAATTTGCGGTCCTGTCGATTCTCCACAAATGACCTGGCTGGCCTTACCTGGATGGGCATCTGGAACATTAAAAGGCGCTCTTTCGGGTGGTTGTCGCAAGGGGGTTACTTTCAGTAGTCGACCGTTGTCTTTCGACCGATGGGCTCAGGGAAACCCAATCTGGGACTTGATCCTTGGTGGCGAATTTCGCTTTCGAGTTGTAAGGCTGAGAGGCATTGGATTCGAATCATTGCTAAAATTCGGGTGCATCTGATTCAGCGCTTAGAAGCAGGTGTGAAAATGGGCTGCATGATGTTTAAGCGCCGGAAGTGGAAATGTCGGATCCAGGTTCTGTGGCCATGAGCCGTGGGCGATCGTTGATCCATAGCCTGTCGGAAATGGAAGAAGTGCATCAGATTAGACTGGAACACTGGATCGAAAACACCGGAAGCGAGCCTGGTTTGATTCATTCAATGTTGTGATGAGGGATCGCTAAGTCACTGGCACATGCCACTTCAAGCAGTTTAACAGCAAAACGAGGGGGAAACTTTGGGCTGTGTTAGCGCCAATGTACACGCGAAGGCGAGTGACGTCGTTGACACCTGTTCAGATTGAGATTGAATACTTCAGTGGAGCTTCAGCGCTGGGAACCACTGGCATGAAGACCGTCTAGGCTGCGCCTCCACTGCAGCGAAAACGGCCAGGCGTTGTGTCAGAGACCACCGAGACGCATGATGGTTGGCAGGAATGACGCATCCACATTGGTTGCAAGTATTTCGTACATGTACTAGGTATCTAGTTTGTAGGTGTGTTCTAAAGCCCGACTGGCTGGCCAGCCTAGGCGCGAGATAAACCACTATAACTGCATAGTGGCGGGCATAATGGTGGGCATTTTAGTGGATAGCGGGCGGCGATGCCCTGAGCAGTGCTACGCAGCGACAGTAGTGTACTTGGTAGAATTGTAGTGTACAATGGTGCCCCTCAGTGCCCAGTGTCCACCCCGCCTATGCAGTTTGTCAGCCCCTCACTGCTCCCTCTCATTGTTGTTCAAGCCAGCGTCGTCAAGTCGCTATGCCCCTCAATTTCTGTGAATCGCCCCAGCGCTACCTTTGTTGTTGTTGCTCTATTGGGTCTGGCCAAAAGTGTGTTGTCCATTCCCATTTGAATGCTTCCATCATTCCATTGTCCATCGCCAGGCGCTTCTACTCCTTTCCCGCTATTTCTCTCCCTCCATCAAATCTCCATTTCTCTTCCATCCCTTTTTCGTGACATCAGCCACTTGACTTAACTCATACAAACCCTCCCGCTTCCCACTCCCACTTCACACTCCCACCTCGTGTGCCTCGCAACCTCAGGTAATTATATCGCCTCCCTCAATCTGTCTCCCCTCTATCATCCATCTACCATCTCTCTTCCCCCCCTTTTACAGCACAGCCCTGTATCCATTTCCAAGCCATTATCGATTGCTGACCAGTTCGTGCCCGAACTTTCCGCCTTACAGTGCTCGGATTTTCTATTTTCCTCGACGACCCCTACGAAAGTACAAAATTTTCCTCCCGCTCCTGCAACACCCCACCTTCTTCTCCCTTAACTTTTGACCGATCCCACCTGGAACAACAACCACAATTCTCGACTCGAATCCTCTTTCTCTCCGACATTTTTCCTTGTGTACGTAAAAAACAAAAAGAACCATAAAACGCTGTCGACGACTTTTCTTTTTTGACTTGTTCGATACCCCAAATATTTATCGTTCTCTTTCTCTCTCTCGGCGTTTCATTCCTACTTGCGTCTTCTTTCGGCTGACCCCGCCCTGAGAAAAAGGCAACAAGCCCAAAAACCCGCTAACGAATCTGCGAAATCCCGTTCGACAGCAGGCATCTTCTCCCGCTCTTTCAGATACCCCTCATCCATCAAACAACAATGGCTCTTAAGAGAATTAACAAGGAGCTCACCGACCTGGGCCGGTAAGTTTCTTCTCGTCTCTCCTTTCCTCTCTCTCCTCTGGAATGTGGGATATATCATTGCCGCATTCGCTGTCCATCTCGGCCCAAAACCATTGGGTGGGGCGGTGAAGCGGGGTTAAACCACATCCCTCGTCGAAGCCCATCTCATATTCGGCAGCATCGTGGACGAGAGAGATTATGAGAATTATTGGAAATGGGTTTTTGGCTGACTTGTTTTATCTTGTAGTGACCCGCCCTCGTCTTGTTCTGCAGGTCCCGTTGGCGAAGATCTTGTACGCGACTCCCTTTCCCTTACCCGACGTCGACCCCGCCATGGTCCTTGATGGAAACCCCCAGATTGGACATTAGGCACAAGACCGCAAATATTTTCATCTTGAAGGAGGTGATTGATATGACTGATGACTGACCGTTGTTTGTTGAATAGTTCCACTGGCAAGCGACTATTATGGGACCTGTAAGTTCACCTTCTTTCTCCGCCCTTTTGCATGACGTGTCGGTTTTGCGAGAATATTCCGCCGCATCCCTTCCCACATGTCACGCATGTGAGCGGCCGCTCTACGGAATCGTGCTCCGCCCCGGCTGCTGATCATCTCGGGATATTGCTCATCGGGCCTCAAAAGCATGTATGCTAACATGGAGAACTTTCGCAGGGTGACTCTCCCTACTCTGGTGGTGTCTTCTTCCTAGCCATTCACTTCCCTACCGACTATCCCTTCAAGCCCCCCAAGGTCAACTTCACCACCCGCATCTACCACCCCAATATCAACTCCAACGGCAGCATCTGCCTCGACATTCTGCGAGACCAGTGGAGTCCAGCGTTGACCATCTCGAAGGGTATGCTTCCCATCATCTCGTTCTCCCCTAGGTTACTCTCCCTCACTAACACAACTCGTTTTTTTCGCAGTGCTCCTTTCGATTTGTTCTATGCTCACCGACCCCAACCCCGACGACCCGCTGGTTCCCGAGATCGCCCACGTGTACAAGACGGATCGAGCCCGGTATGAGGCTACAGCTAGGGAATGGACTCGCAAGTACGCAGTTTAATTAAGGCTGTTGTTGGGGGACGGCGGTGATGGTGGTGGCACAAGTGATGAATTACGATGATGGTGGTGCAGATAGTTGGTGGTGGGCAATACGCGCAAATTCTAATTATCCTGGCCGTGGTTCTTTTTCTCTGGCCTCATCATAAATTCATGATTTGGTGGTTCCCTTGCTGTTTTCTTCTACTTTTGTTGGTTTGGTTTTTTTATTTCCCTTGCTCGGTTTCCGTGTTTGTCAAGGTTCTTTCTCGTGTCTCTTTTCCTTTTCTCTCCGCATGGGAAACTTGTAGTCTCTGCCACTCACCAGCCAATATGTCCTCGAGCGAGCAGGGAATACCCGACTGAAAGGATATGGAATGAGGACCTAAAACTGGAAAGGAAAAAAAAAAATCAAGGGAAAAATAGAGCGAAGCGCGAAAGGAGGAATGAAAGGAAGGACGACATCGCGATCGGGGGAGCTAACCTACGGCTATTCCTTTGATCTCTTCTTTCCTCATCTTTCTCCTTTTTTTTTCTTTTGTGTGTTTTGGCAGATTGCACCGCATTACAGCGCATTCTTTGTTGGCTTTTCTTTTGTCTTCATGCTCTTCTAGCCGGATGGGTATGGATCGCGGAGCCAAGTCGTCGTTTTGCTCTACTCCTACAATCGGAACATATCTTTTTTTTACAGAATGACATATTTTACGTGGTTACTTTTTACTTACTCGAGATATGTGTCTCGTGATACTTGGTTCCTTGAGTAGGAAGAAAATTTTCCTTGTAGATTCTAAACTACATGGAGATGTTCGTGATGTCGTCATCAAGATCGATGGCCCCAGTCTTGCACGGAGGATGGTGTTTCGTCTCTCAGCGGTATGGTGTATTCTCTCTCTCCCTCGGATTTCCCCCGGAATCTGTGAGAGACTCCACCATTCTCCTTGGCCGCCTACTCCGTACTTTGCAATATCGGCCCCTGTGACTGAGTGGGAAGGCGATGGAGGCAATATTCGATCCGCCACCGGGCTGGTCGCGAGGGTACCTTTGTGACTTGGGAGCAAAGGGACAAGGCTGACTGTGTACTACAATTACAGCCTTTACATCGAAATATACTCTAAACTCACCTCGAAAATAAAGAGTATACATTGATTGCCAATATAGTATTTTCCATCCTGAAGATACCAAGTTGTAACATTAGAAAGGGCCGCACATGGCAAGCGATCTGAATTGCTCAATGTGGTGATGGGTGGTGATGGGTGGTGATGATGTCATCACGTGCTGAGATTATCCCGCAAATTCAATAATGCGCACGGATCTCAATTATCGGAAGGGGCAACGGGGGATCCTTTTAGCGAAATCCGGCCTCCGTCGATGAATAAGCAATCGGGGGATGTTCACTGACAATGAGGCAGGAATACCTTGCGACCAGCAGAAACGGGTCCGAACCAGGGAGAGGCCTACTATGTAATCTTTCCTGTTACGGCTTCAGGAAGGCATTGATCGGGCTGACTAGTTAGATGAGCCAAAGGAACTTCTCCGCGGTGAAGGGAAAGGCAAGACGCAATCCTCGCGTAAACATGCCGCATAGGACGGGGAGAACGCAAGGGGCGGCGCCAAAGGCAACGACGACGGCAGTGCTTGCCTTCTTTTTTTTTTTTTTTTTTCCCGTTACGGAGAGGTGGATCTATTTTAAGGAGAGAATGCACTGACTTTGCTTCTCTGCACACTCTGATCGCCACAGGGAGAAGAGAAAAGGGGTGGGGGGTGCTTCTGGTACGTATAAGTCCTATGTGTGTGCGAGCACGTTGGGGACGGACATGGGAAGGTTGGGAGGGTTGAAGGCGGGCTGCGAGGGCGATCGGTTTCCGGTGGTGGAGGCCGAATGCCTCAGATGGATTGGATCGGTTTTGAGTTGGTCTAGGCCCTACATAGGAAGATGGCTATATTCACGAAGGCCGTTTTTTTTTTTTTTTTTTTTTTTTTTTTTTTTTTTCCCTAGATCATGGAAACTCGGAGTCGTCGGATGCCCTCTCTCGGGGGAGGGAGGATAATTCTCGGGAAGCAGGCAAGTGGCAAGATGTTTGCAGGACAGGAAAGGTTGTGCTTGCGAACGATGGGGCGGGCATGGAGAGCCAAAGCGCTCGAAGCAAGGAGGTGGACGGAAGTGGATCGTGGTTGCAGTTTAGTTCGATGGGACCAAACCAAGCAAAGTCGCGATGCGACTGAACAATCACCGCGACGGGCGCATCAGCAAAGGTGTGCGCGTCCTGCCTTCGTATTTCAAAGATTATCACATCTCCCCCATATCAAGATGGTCGAGAGCAACTGATTTAGTAATCGAAAGAACAGCTCTGAGCTCTCTGTTCGTCATGCACCCGCCAACCGAACGTTGCCCGACTCGACTTGAGTTGATGAATTGAGGATGGAGTGGATCTGTCCCTCAGACCTGTATCAGAACCCCTGACGAAACAGTCTGTGACGCACATGGGCTGGTTCCGACAGTGTCCTCCCGGCGTAACCAGCCAATCAGCGCCTTGAAAGCGACCCCGGCGCCAAGGCCAGATTTGGAGATCTGCAGGCGGAAATTCTCCATTGAATTTACCCAGCGATCAATACATTCGCTGTCTGGATTGGAACTCGTCTGTCCTTCCAGATCCCTTGCAGACCGAGGGAGAAAATCGTGCTCTGACGGACGAAAAAGCATCGCGTAATCCAGCCATCCGTACCCAGTATTGCACTAGAAGTCCCTACTCTTTCCACCATCAATTGGCGTGGATGGAAGGTGAGACTCTGAAGCAACCGCCATCTGGAAGCATTTTGGCTTGTGACTGTGGAGCCTCGACCCACTGGGAGTGAGCGGCACTTGCTCTTTAGCACTGCTTAGCCCCTGAAAATAGTGCCTGTGGGTCGCGACTTCGTCTTCAACGTAGGCGTGATGCCCATGAAGAATCAAGAACAGGAAGGAACTGTTCATTCCCTGGATTTTGCAAGAGATTTGAACTTTAGCGCTGGGGACGAAATATCCCAATCGAGCGAGGGAGTGTTACGAGTTTAAGAATCGTCAATGGCTGTCCAGTAGCTTCGCCAAATCCATGACGCCTCCATTCTCCTCGGCGTCAACTGTTTCGACGTGGGCCCATTCGAGGTGGGCTCGCAGGCCAATAGCTGCGATCATGGACTGATCTTGAGAGAAGAGACGGCAAATCGGGCTCCCACACCTCTCAGTCTCCTCCCTCGTAGCTTCGTCCGTGTAACGCCAGCAGAATGACCTCGTCGCAGTCCCCTTCCACGCAACTCGACAATCAGCGAAACATCGAGAGTCTAGACCTCAAGTGTTCAATTGTTTGGACTGAGAATTGGAGGCGAAGATCCCAGTCGCCCATTGTCAAGCTCCACCCTGCTCTGACGATACAACTTCTGCAAGGGGTTGCAAGTCACTCTTGGCTGAGCATGCCGTATCATTGGTACATCGCCAGACCGTCCTTTGATCTCCCAGAACCCCCCGACACTGACTGTGCGCTGTTACGCCCCCTAGCCAGAAAGACTGAATAGACGCCCCCTAGCCCACTCTACAAGTGCCTCTGGACGGAATCTGAGACTTGTAGAGTCTGTTAGGGCATCCAAGTACCCGCCGCTCGTCTCAGGACCCCGGATCCCCATACATTTACCGCTGTTCTATTCGCCTTACCCCTTGCTCATTCCCCGATCGAGGTACGCCGCTTCACTGGCCCGGCATTATCTCTTGGCCCCGATCCTGGTACACTTGATCCACCCCTCTCCCACATCTCGACCTCCGAATACAGTGGGCATTTTGAGCAAAGGTATGATCTTCCCAGGATTCACACTCATACATCTTGGCAGGTCCGGCTCTTTGCCAGTTTGTACCAAAATCTCCTTCCCTTCCCACCACACTCTCCCTTTCTCCTTTCTCCCCTCTCTCCCAACCCACGGTCTGCGTACCTACACCAATTCTCTTCTTTTCCAACCTCTTTTCTTTTCTTTTCTTGTTTCTTGTTCTTCTTCGTCCTCCATTGTTTGCTGCGTCCCTTTCTGTCTCTGTCGCTGTCCGAAGGCGAGACGGTGCAGGCTAACAAGCGGGTGTTTTCTCCCACTTTACAGTTAATTCGACGTCGAGAACGGGAATCCGATCTTGCCCGGCGAAACGAGGAGCGGAGGAGAGAGAACAAAAGATTCGAGGGAGGCGGAAACACTTGCTCCATTTCGACCCTTCGCCTCTTCTCGATGAATTCTTCGCTTTGCCCCTTCAGCAGGCTCTGAATAACGCGTTCCGTTCTTTATTTTTCTTTGTTTCGACTTTCAGCACTGGCTTGCGGACTTTTAATATACAATTGGCTGGATACCCGATAGACATTCGGTTGAGAGACGTTGGGGATCCGAGCGAGAAATAAAGGACAGGATCCAAGGGGGGAAAGAATATTCGACGGATTCGATATCAACTGGCGACAGCAAATTTGGTCGACATTTAAACCACCTGGTAGCCTAAGATGGACTACTACAATCAGGACTACAAGGGCCAGTCAGAACGGTCACGATGGACGCCCTTAACGCGGATGCTGTTGTCGGGTGAGATGACCCAGGAGAGGCAGAAGGAATTGTCGGCGAAAGAAAAGTTTGATAGGTGGATGGTGAACGAAGGTTACAGGAGAGTGTAGGTTTTATTCCCTCCCCTTGCGTGCTGGATTGCTCCGAGGATCCTTTTTTAAGGGAGCAATGGAGGAGATGGAGTGCTCTCGTGGGGAGCATTTACACTGACAACCCTGGCACAGATTCGTCTTCGTTTTCGCGCTCCTCCACATGTTGGTCTTCGCCTTTGCCTTCGTCAACTACGGCGTCAAGGACAACTTGCAAATAGCGCGAGACACATTCGGCCCGACATTCATGATTGCTCGATCCGCCGCCCTCGTGCTGCATCTGGATGTTGCTCTCGTCCTCTTCCCCGTGTGCAGGACGCTCATCTCTCTTGCACGTCAGACCCCGCTCAACGGCATCATCCAGTTCGACAAGAACATCACCTTCCACAAGGTCACCGCCTGGTCCATCGTTTTCTGGTCGTGGGTGCACACCATCGCCCATTGGAACAACTTGGGCCAAGCTGCCGCCAAGAACAACCTCGGCGTCTACGGTTTCTTGGTTGCTAACCTCGTCTCCGGTCCCGGCTGGACTGGATACGTCATGCTGGTGGCCTTGATGGGCATGGTCTTCACCTCGGTGGAGAAGCCCCGCCGCGCCAACTACGAGCGATTCTGGTACACCCACCACATGTTTATCATTTTCTTCTTCTTCTGGTCCATCCACGGTGCCTTCTGCATGATTCAGCCCGATTTCGCTCCTTTCTGTACCGCCACTGGAGCCTCGGCCGTCGGTGTCTTCTGGCAGTACTGGATGTACGGAGGCTTCGCCTATCTTGCCGAGCGAATTGCCCGCGAGGTCAGGGGCAAACACAAGACGTATATTTCCAAGGTCATCCAGCACCCCAGCAATGTCTGTGAGATCCAGATCAAGAAGGAGCACACAAAGACCCGTGCTGGCCAGTACATCTTCCTGTGCTGCCCCGCCGTATCTCTGTGGCAGTACCATCCCTTCACGCTCACCAGCGCTCCCGAGGAGGACTACATTTCGATCCACATGCGTATTGTCGGTGACTTCACCAGGACTCTCGCCCAGACCCTAGGTTGTGAGTTTGAAAAGAGGGGTGGCGGCGGCGACAAAAAGGACACAAGCCAAGTTGTTGGCGTCGACGGCGAGAACCCCGACGTCGACCCCGCGCTCCGACGAGTTCTTCCCCGAGTCTACGTTGATGGGCCTTTCGGGTCGGCCTCCGAGGACGTGTTCAAGTACGAGATTTCGGTCCTTGTCGGTGCGGGTATCGGTGTCACTCCCTTCGCGTCCATTCTCAAGTCGATCTGGTACCGCATGAACTACCCCAAGAAGCGAACCCGGCTCAGCAAGGTCTACTTCTTCTGGATCTGCCGAGACTTCGGATCGTTCGAGTGGTTCAGGTCTCTCTTGCTCGCCATCGAGGCACAGGACGTCGACAACAGGATCGAGATCCACACGTACCTCACGGCTAAGATCAAGGCGGACGACGCCACGAATATCATGATTAACGACGCCAATGCTGACAAGGACACGATTACCGGTCTCCGATCGCCCACCAACTTTGGAAGGCCTAACTGGGACATGATCTTCAGGGGTATCCGCAAGCTGCACTCGCCTGCTGAGGCTGGTGTTTTCTTCTGCGGCCCCAAGGGCTTGGGCAGCGCGCTGCATATTTTCTGCAACAAGTACAGCGAGCCTGGGTAAGTACTCCGAGCTTGAAACATTTCCTCGCCCTCATGGTACATGACAACTAACTGTGGCTCTAGATTCTCTTTTGTTTGGGGCAAGGAAAACTTTTAGACGCCAGAAACGGCAAACCCGACCCGGCGTCGCCTACCGGTCTCCAGCTTCGTGTGTCTCGTTATCATCCGTCCTATCGTGTCTCCGTGGCACGTCTCTTGAACCTCTCATTTTGTCCTTGGATTCCCACCCACCACGAGAATTACGAAGCAGTACCGGAGAAGCTGGGATTCCCATCCATGTTACTCTTCTCTTCTTGGTGCGATATTATATAGTCATTTATCTTTTTTCTCCTCCGGCTCGTTTCTCTTTTTTACGTTTTGATTTTATCGTCTTGCATTAAGATGGACCTCGTCTCGAGGTTCGCTATACAAATCCCCCCCTTGTGCGCATACCAGTATATATCCGACAGCAAGCAATGGTTACTTTTTTCTTTTCCTATTTTCTTTTTCGAAGGTCTAGGGACAGCGCAAGACTGTTAGGCTCTTGAGGAGCCTAGTAGCCTTTTCTATTATTCCACTGGGGACAGTGTTGACGGGGTGGAAATGGAGTCTCGGGGCCCAGCACTTGGGTTTCCTACAGGGATTTCCTAGTCACGGAGGGAGTGCGGCAGGTAGTTGCCTCGGAGAGAGGAAGAATGAAAGAAGTAAAAACAAAACTTGTCATATAAAGAAGAGCACCGGGAGACGCCTTTGGAAGAATGGGGTAGATATTTTGGAAGGGGCTGAGAGGAGGCGGGATCTGTTCCAGGGCGTTCTTTGCGGGGCTTGAGTATATCCATGTATCTAGCGAAGACTTCTTATGAAATATCTATTAGACGAGTTCAAACGAGTGCTGTTCTGTGTGCCTGGGACGTGATTCGGTGGAGGTTCTACCGATTGATGCGATGATGGGAGGTGTGAGTCGGTGCCTTCAATGTAAGAATATCCGCAAAGACAGCCAGATTCAGCAAGCCTTCGTCGACACCAAAAAAACAGACACGGACACCGACTGACAAGGGGAAAGTCTACACCGAAACCAGAGCTCTTACAAACCACCTCAGCATCCCACACTCTCTCCGAAACGAGACGCTGCAATCGAGGCAGCGGGTCTAGCTAGACCACGGGGAGAATCCGCCAAGAGAGCGAACGAGGAAAACGGGAGAATCTACCGATCCCCCATTTCGGCACTTTTTCAGAAAAAAATAGGCCAAGACGAGGGTTCCCTTCCTCAACTTTTCTCCGAACTGGTGAGATGGGAGGATATCGTTTTAGTGTAGGAGGTCCGAAACGTGGGATCGTCGGGGGGAGGAAGGAGGTGCGTGGGGCCGGCGTGGAGCCGGTGGGAGTTGGAATATTTGAGGGTGTCACCAAGGTTATGGGTCAAACAAGTGCAGAAACGAGAGGGTCTGAGAGTGTCACTCTCGAGGGTGTGGATGTTTCGTTGGCTTTATCTTTACGAAGTGGGAGTTTGTTACTTTATTATTCTGCTTCGACACTTTAGCTTGGTCGTGTTGATAGGTATGCCCTAAGAGAAGACGAGTTATCTCAAAAGAAATCAAAAGATCGACATCTAAAACAAGGCGGCACATCACAAAATTCAAACCGTCCATTCAACTCCCGAGGAGAGGCGGGAAGCATGGAAAAATAGAGAACATTCGATAGATGCGAGCAGGGGAATCCGGCGGGCTAAAAACACCCTTGATGGGATTTGATATGTTCTCCCCGATTTTTTTTGCATCGGAGAATAACGAGAATAGAATGGTGCTTCGGCCGAGAAGTTGTGGTTGAGGACGTATTATTCTCTTTCGTTATTTCCTCTTTTTCCTTTCCACTAAGATGGAGACCTATGGAATCTTCCGATTGTAAAAATCCCCGAAACATGCGGTTCAGAGTATTACACGATGTTGCCAATTTGCGGCGTGCCATGCCCGGACATTGCGCTCCGGTGAGGCGGATGCCCATCACCAGAATTAGTTAGATGACCTATTAGGTGTGCCAAGAGCAAAGATCTGATCATCAATAAAATGACCGCTGCTAAACTTGCCTAAGATTATCGTGACCATCACCATCTTATTTTGTAGACCTGTAGTTTACAAGTAGCACGAAGTAGTTTAGGAACTCCCCATCATACAGAGTTCGCAGACGGACCCTCGAGAAAGAGAAGATACACTGGATCCCACATCGATTGGGCTGCGGGATTAAATAGAGTTAAGCTTAATAGTTCAGCTACCGTCCCAAAATCCTGCGAGCGTTCTTGGCTTGCATTTTGAGCCAGCCTCGTTGGGGCGGGGGAGGCGAGGGAGATGGGAAGAATCAATGGTGGCTGCTGTCTAAGCCTAGATGGGATGGGCTTGGACACCATGGGTCGAGTTGGGATCAATAGGGTGTACTCACCTTCATTTGGAGTGCAACTGTTTCCTGCTCTCTTTTCTCTGGGCCATTTTCCGTGCCTTTTATTTCTTTATTTATTTCCTTATTTTCTCCCTTCTTCTTTCGTATCGTGGTGCCTACGTAATGCGTCGCTTCAAGGCTTCGAGCTCGAGATGGGCTGCACTCGGGAAGGGATAAGATCGCAGAGGTTCAGTTTGGGAAACTTCAGATGATGAACAGGAGCTTTTCTCCCCTCCATGACGGAACGGACGCGCCTTGGCTCGAATTCGGGGGACGGACTATTCCGCCTTGGGGAGGGTGAGCCAAGAAACGTATGCGCAGGACTCGAGTGCACACACTAGACGCTGTATCAATCTGTACTTCGTAGGATGTTGAGCTTCCTCATTCGCCATCTCGATGGGAGCCAGCACGTTGGGGTCCAGGGTCCTTCGTTGGCACCGAAGAGCACTCGATGAATTTTGCGCGTGTGGATTGGGCGGGGATTCAGAATCCATGTTTCACTCGTAGGACAAGGGGACAGACGACCCCGAAGATACGAGAAGGACTGAGATGCCGTTTTTCTTGTTGCGGCTGAACTTCGAAATCGGGAAGGAAGCTGCAGCTGCAGGTATGAGAGCATGTGATGTCTTGCGCTGACGGTCCAGATAGGGTTGCGCCTGCAGTCAATATAATCTTCTTCCGTGATGGACCGAAAGTGTGGTACAAAGTTGAAGATGTATGTACATTGCACCTCGATTGACCGAAAAGGTACTCCAGGGTTTGGCTCAGTGTCCCCGACTCTGGCACTAACAGCAACCTCAAGACATCAGGAGTCTCGTGGCATCTCCAGTCTCAACCAACGCTCTTTTCTCCGTGTCCGTTGGACCATTATGACAATTTCTCTGTTGTGTCTGAACGGTTCAAGTCCTTGATCCATTGCATTGACCAGACCAATGTCTCTCCTGAGACACCATTCGTTCTAACGGGGGCATCGGGGGCTGTGTAGCGTTCCCTCGGACCACTAGTGGCGCCGACGTCTGCAGCGCGGTGCGGTGTGCAAATCGAGGATATCAAGCCAGACTGGATGACTACATTGTCCCTGTGTAGTAGTACTTGGAAATCTATAAGACCTTTGCGGAACAAAAGGTCAATCTACCTGCACCATCTCTCGGGAGCCACGGACACCATTGAGATCCATCGATGGGATCACCAAAAGCAACAAACCGCCATTTTATTGCTCGTACTTCGTATGTAGTGGAGGTGCTCCATAATGCGCTCCATCTCCAGGGGGACCCTATTAAAGAACCCTCAGCAACGAGCAACAAATGTCTTCTTCTCCTCGCATACCGATGTACTCTCGCGCATTCTGCAGGTATTCAGGTACACTTGATGCATCACAAGTCATACCTTCCCGTGCCTGCTGCTGCTGCTTCTGCTCTCGTCGGTGGTGCCGTACACTACTTCGTACTTTGACCCAAGAAAAAGGGCAGGAGCAGTCAGCAGCAGCCAGCAGCAGCAGGAGGAAACGTACGAAGGAGGAAGTCGCTCAGGGCCACGTACGTCAGGCCGTATTAATCTACAAAAGTACAAGCCCGAAGTCCCCTTCCCAAGAAATGGAAAAGCACAGCATCATCAGGGGGCTAGCGCCTTCTCTCTCTGCCGGTATCCACCACACGCATGACACCGAAGGCACAGCTAAACTCACACTAGGAAGTAGGTCGCTTGCTGAGTACTTCGTAAGTGCCTCTCTCAGGCGTGGTTGGCCTCCGATGCCATCCGCAAGATGGGGTCCAGCATGAGAAGTGCTCGTGGGCTTTTCTCGTGTTTCTTGGGCCTCGGTCGCCAACTTGAGAAAAAAAAGAAAAGGAAAAAGGAAAAAAAGGAAGGAAAAATATTGCGAGAAAAAAGCAACCAGAGAAATTCCCTTGAAAGTCTTGCATTTTCTTTTTCTTTTTCCATCAATCAATAATATCTTTTCGACACCTTCTCACTTGCCCTAGAAGACCGAACGCTGAGAGCTCCCAAAATTATATCGACAGCCAGGCATTCGGGCGTCAAGACAATCCCTGTCAAGCCCATGCCCCATTGCGCATTTGTGGAGCTGTCCTAGTCTGCATTCGTAGAAATATTCGGGGGTTTTTCTTTTCCACCTTCACGGCGCTCTCCCTTCTCACCCCCTCCTTCTTCTCGTCTTCTCTCTTCCCCATTTCTTCTTCTTTCACAACCGAATTTCGTGCATTTGCGAAAAGCTCGGGTCGACAAATGAACAAGCGCCCACCGCACCTCGGGTGAGAGCGCCGAACCGAAAACCCAGTACATTTGGGACGACACAGGGGTTGCACCCAAGGAACACAAACAAACCCCTCAGGGAGAGAACCTGGAAACGATGCGCCTCTCAGTGCCCGCCGCCCTGACGGCCTTGCTCGCCGCAGCCTCGGCCCTCAACCTCCCCCGCCAAGAACAATCCTCCTCGCCCAAACCCTCCGACAATAGCCAACCCGACGTGACCTCCACCATCACCGTCACCGACCGGAGCGACAGCACCGTCACATCCGAGACCACCGTCTTCCGCACCGTCTTCAGCACCATCGTCGTCACCGTCACCGACATCTCCACAGAGGTGGTCACCAAGTCCGACGTCGAAACCGCCACGAGCACCGTCTACGTTACTTCGACCTTGGCCGCGAAGCGCCACATTAACCTCGCCGCCGCTCCTGCTGAGGCTACGCCGGCGCTTCATGTGCCCGTGAAGACGGGTGATGCGGCCGAGGCGCAGGTTACGCCGCCCGCTGGGGGATTCAGGGGCGGCGATGGGTTGGAGTTGTTGAGGAGGGCGGGGTTGATACATTTGGTTAAGAGGGAGACGATTTATGTGACCGTCACCATCGCTGCTGATGGCGTCACCACTGTCTTCAATACCGTTACTAGTACCGTTCTTTCCACCACCACGTCGGAGTCGCACTCGACCTCAGTCATCACCTCGACGAGTTACGCGAACGCCAAGACTACCGTCACCATCACATCCACCATCGTCATCAAAGCCACCACGGTAACCACCGGCCCGGCCCAAACTGTCGGCACCGTCCCCGACGGCTCTAACATCGGCAATGGCGACAACAACGGCGGATCTTCCGGCGGCAGCGGCAGCGGAAGCGGCGACACCAACACCTCCGACTCTGGCGGTCTATCCACCGGCGCAAAGGCCGGCATTGGCGTAGGCGTCGGCGTAGGCGGTCTTCTCATCATCGGCGGCATCGCCACCTACTTGTACAAGCAGCACAAGCTTAAGCCCCACGTGGTCGACGACGGTCTCGGCGCCGGCATGAGCGAGATTCCCGTCGGACCTAGCCCTGGTCTTGGCGGCGCTGGAGCTGCGGCTGCCCTCGCGAGCAGAGATACCCGTACGCCCGATCATCCGCGCAAATCGCCCGTCGGAAGCGGCGGCGGTTACGTGTCCCCGCCTTCGGTTACTCCGGAGCCTGCGTACGGCGCTGCGGAGTTGGGTGTCGAGGGCAGGAGGCCGTATGGTGCGGAGTTGAGCGGGGAGGATGCGTTGCCGAGGTTTCCGACGGCGGCGGAGGCGGACGGCAGGCCGGTTATGGGGTATACGAGCGGGCCCGTGTCGAATGTGTATGAGATGCCCGCTGAGCAGTACAGGTAGTTGATGTGTGCTCTTATTTTCCTTTTGTTATCTTGGGTGAAGGGGGAAGATTGTGTATATATATATATGTTTGGAGGAGATACCGTTTGCATTCCATGGTCTGTGTAAGTCGCTGTCACAAGACTTGATGGAGACTTTGAGGCTGTTATACTTTGGCATATCCTCTTTTCTTTTCTGCGAGTTTGCATGATCTGGGAGTTGTGCGTCCTCTCATTTCAGAGATTTTCGATGGCAATGGGGATATACCCGACTAGTTGGGTAGAGGGTAGGGTATGGATAGGTTCGTACCTCCCTTTATTAATATAGTTTTTAAGTGATGAGGTCGTTGGAAGATTTTTGATCGAAGTGAGGAGTATCATGAAGTGGTATGAAGTGGTGAAGTGGCATGCCGTTGAAGGCTAAGGGATCGCCCGATACGAAACACGGAGCAACTGGATGGCAGCTGCGTTCTATTGGGTGGAATCCGTTTGTCAAGCGGGAGTGATCGTCTACGAGTTGAGGCGTGATATGCGGTCGAGAGAGTGAATATCTTGAGGTTCGAAATTGTTGAAGATAGTGGTAGTTTCAAGGAGCTACAGGACAAAGAAGCTGCTTCTCCTCATTATATGATAAGGTTTCGTTGACCCTTCACCGAGACTGTTGGCGAGCACTAGCTCGAACGATCACCGCCAGACCGTTTTTTACTCGCCCACTCTCGGTGGCTCTTTCTTGTCTAGAGTCGGGAATTTGAGGGCAATCGGCAGATAGTATGAGAGGGAAGGCGCGGGGGAGATGCTGGAGAAATGTAACCGAGAAGGAAGGAACTGTCGCCGATCGTGCCTGACGCCTGTCTTGAAGACTTAGGATAGAGAGAGAATCAACAAGACCAAGAAGTTCTAGCCCTCAATTCCACCCTCACCATCCATCTTCCCAACGCTCCAAACACCTAAGGTCTATCTTATTGTATCGACTTATACTTCTATCTTCCTTACTCACCTTCAGATCCTTCTATTTCTACGTGATCCTATACCACCTCAACGAGGCCAACGCGGTTCTTGATCCCGGCCATCGCAGTTCCGACTAGCTTTAGTACCTGGCGGTGTCTTTACAGGTCCCGCTGCTTTAAACTCGGGCACAGCCAACATGACCGTTCGACGTTCTCCCTTGGATGCCCATTCGACCCCCTTTGGCACCTTCACGCCTAACACGACTCGTCGCGCCTATACACGCGAATGCCTCGAGTCGAATCTAGATCCTATTCCCCTTGAAGTACAGCAGCCGCCGACGTGGCAGCCTCTGGCTTGCCCCTACTTCATGGGCGGGCATGACAGCGAGAACGGTGATAAGAGCGATGATGACGATGACTTTGAAGAGTCACCTTTTACAAGGGGAAGACGCTACTGCCACAACCTAAACCGACCTCAAGAAGTACAGGCACCTTCAATTCACACGCGTCTGTACCCTTTAGCGGCCGACGACTTGCTTTTACCACTCCCGGAACCCGATTTCACGAAGCCAATATATGTATATCCTCACTTGACTGAGGACTTTGCCATTCCTATTCGCTCCGATGGCCTCTACGCCGCCGAACAAGACGACGGCCTCCGCTAGATAATAAGGCGAGTCTTTAGGTCCTTTCGGCCCAGAATCCACACAAAACCTTCCGTGCCCGGCCTATTACCCTCGGACTGGAGTAGCGGCGAGGCAGGCGTTGAGGCAACAGAGCTCCCCGAGAACCCTCCACCTGGGCTACTTCCAAACGCAGAACCCCCTGATGTTGGTATCGTGGTTAAAGACACCGACAAGCCAGAGGGAGAACAGAGAGCCGTGCCACGAGATGCCGTTTTCTGCCAAAGCCAATTCGATTCCCTATCGCCTCCCTCCCTCCGGTCGCGCATTTCCATCATCCGCGCTGCAGTCCCGGGCTAGACCCCCAATCCAATCGCCAATCTCTCCAGCTCCCACCCTCGTCACAGCTCCCACCCTCGTCACCCCCTCCCCGACAGTCCCCGCCATCCACTGCCCTCCGACCGTCCTTCCACCCCACACATCCCCACGCCCGTCCGCCTCATCATCCACCCGTCCCCCTCCATAACCCCTTTCCCCCGCCACGACCCAGGCCGGTCCCCGAGCCCAAGACGCTTCCGCCGCGTCGTGCGCCCCTCCCCGCCCCAAGTCACGGGCCACATTGTCCCCTACCACGTCCCCGTGCCGAACACCTCGCATGCCATCCCCTTCGAGGACTTCATACGCATCGTGTACCGCCCCGGCGATGGCCATCGCTTCGCGGCGTGGAGTTCGTTCTACGGGCGTGGTTCGTCGGTGTGGTTGACCGACCGGAACCTGAGGACGCTTTGGATGAGGCTCGTGGGGAGGGCGGCGAGGGAGGAGAGGGAGAGGTTGGGGCTTCCGGCGGAGCCTGGCGAGGAGACGTTGGAGAGGGTGAGGGAGTGGGCTGAGGAGACGGAGTGGGAGGCGAGAACGGAGGTTGGTACTTATGGCGGGGGAGATAGAGAGGGTGAGGAGGGTTATGCTGCTGGTGATGATAATGATGATGAGGACTGGGATGTGGACGATGAAGAATTGGAGATTTATCAGGAGGAGTTGAGGGGTCATCAGAGGAGGCTGCAGGGCGAGTTGGATGGCATTAGGGAGGAGTTGAGGAATAACAGGAGGCAGGCGAGGAGGATAGAGGCGGAGAGGAGGGTGTTGGAGAGGATTATTGAGCAGGCGACGGAGAGTGAGGCTCAGACGACGAGGGAGGCGGGTGTTCAGACGGGGGAGGTGGACGATTTTGAAGTGGGAGAGACGGAGGAGGTCGAGTTGGAGCATGTGGAGGATGTTGAGGTAGAACAGGGGGAGGATGCCGACGCAGCACTAGCGGAAGAAGATGACGATGGTGTTGATTAAGAGGGCGAGCACGTATTACTGGGTGGAGGAACTGTTTGATTTGCAGCGAAGTCGGAAAACACACACAGCGAGTTAACAAGAAGGAATCGGGGGATAGAAGGGAGGAGAAAACAGCGTGTTAGATCAGGTATCGTCAATTGAAGCGTCATTAACCCATCTTCCCTTTTTCACCAGCTTTCTCGTTTCCCACTCCTTATGGTACACATCGCATTTCCCTCGTCTCGCTGTTTTTATATACGCGGAAAATATACATAACACGACTACAAACTGAAAAGAACCAAAGACCTCCTGTAGTACACACTCGGGATATCATACCATCTCCATCCTCGGAAACTGTCTCCTTTCTTCTTCTTCTTCTTCTTCTCTATTCACGCCCCCACGACCGCCAAATTCCTATAAATCACCCTCCTAACCTCATAAAGCGTGCCCCTCTGCCTAGCGGCAGCGACCCCATCCCCCGCCGTGCCAACGACCTCAATCTTGCCCGCCGCCGTCTTCCGCACCGCCACGACGCCGTCAACGAGCAAAGTGCCCTCGCCGCGGAACTCGGCGCTGTAGCCCGCCGCCTGCATCTCGCGGCGCAGGTCGGCGAGGCGGAGGTCGCCGACGTGGAGGGGTTGGGTGAAGGAGCGGGCTTTGGAGAGGGAGGCGTTGGAGAGGAGGTCGAGGGTGGGTATGATGTGGGCTGGTGGCGGGGAGGGTTTCTTCTCTTCTTCTTCTTCTTCCTCTTCTTGTTCCTTTTCTACTTCTTTCGGTTTGGTGGTGGTCGTTTCCGTGTCCGTCTTCTGGCGCTTCTTGGCGCCGCCGTCTTCTATTAACGCCGCGGCGGGTTGTTTGTTATTAGTGTCCGCTGTGGAGAGGAGGCCGAGGAGCTGGCCCGTGATGGTGACGACGCTAAGGCCGCGCACGCTCTGCCACTTGAGCTTCTTGACGAGGGAATCAGCAAGCTTGAGCGTCCAGGCATTCGTATCAACGCTAGCATCCACAGTCTCTCCGACCTCGGGGGTAAAGACGCCCGTCTCGCCCTCCTTCTGTGAAGGCGCCAGCAGTTTTCTGCAGTCATCAGCAAGCGCCATCGTTTCCTCGCGCGAGCCGCCGACGAGGATGAGCTTGCGCGGTTGGATGAGGGGAATCAGCATGTTGAGACTCCGCTTGTCGTGCAGGCCGCTAAAGTCGACAAAGGCAAGGCGGAGGTTGACGACGACTTTTTCCGTCGTCACGACGAGCCGCGCGGGGCCCGAGACTTCGACCTCCTCGACATCTTCCACTTCGTCGAGCGCGTCAATTTCTTCCGACTTGACGTTGTCGCCTCCGTCGTCTGACAACTTGCTGCGGATGCCGAGCAGGTTGGCCCGCTTGTTCGCGCCGCCGCCGCCGCCGCCTTGCTTGAGTAATAAGGCGTTGGAGGAGGATTCGTCCCATCTGCGCTTCTTGCCGACTGCGGGGCCGCCAGCGTCGCTTTCTTCCCCTCCCGCCGCAGCGGCGTGCAGAGTGGCAATGCCATCATGGCGGCCGTTGTCGTCGACTTTTTCCTCTGCGCGGAGGTAGTCCTCAGGCCGGATAACCTCGCCGAATTCATCGACGCGCTTCCGCCGCACGGCGAGGGGAAACATCCTGTCGCGACCTCGCCTGCCGTCCACGTCGAAATCGTAGGTTCCCTTCTTCTTCATAAGAATGTTAATGCCGAGATCCTCGTCGCGCACAGCCTTCCGGGCTTGGCCCATGGTGGCCGAGATGTTGAGCACGCGACCTTGCTGCTCACCATCGGAATCTTCGGATTCCAACGAAGACTCCGACGATGCGTCGTCGACGGCGTCGGCCGACGTCTCCATGCCGCCTACCCCTCCGCCCTGCACATTCTCTTGAAGCTGGCGTTGTGCTAGCCACTGTTGGTAAAGCGCGAGCTCCTCGCCTTCGAGCGCTTGCCTTGTTTCCTCCTGGATCTCGAGCTCGCGGCCGCCTCCATAGACGAACTCGAGGTCATCGCCGCTGTCTGTCTTGTCCGTCGAGACGCCGCTCTTTCTTTCCTGCCAGAATTCCCAGAGAGTGCTCGCTAGTGTAGGAGTATTTGATACGACGCCGGGTTTGTCGGTAAGAATCAGCACGTTGCGCGAATCCTTGGCCAGCCCCTTCAGGAAGTCCTTGGAGTAACCCCATTCGAGAGACGTATCGCTGGCGAGAATGACCCTGCCGGACGATTGGACGTTGTCTGGGCTGTCTGAGATTAGTTTAAGCACCTGGGCCTTTCGTTCGAGAATCTTGACGTATTTGAAATCGAACGGTCCTCCACCCTTGGCCTGCCTGTCGTCCCCATTTGGCCTCCTCTGGTTATCATGACCGGCCTCGAACTCCCTGTTGATGTTGTCGTCCATCCACTCTAACATGGTTCTAGCGTATCTAATGGTACTGGCCATACTTCGACCGGCCAAGTACAGCTTCGCAGTTTCGAACGGTCCATGCTCCAGCGCGTCCTTCCTCCAGGCGTGCTCTAGAATGTAGGCGAGCTCGAGCACACGCGCACTCGAGTCGACAGGGATGAGAGCCGTTCCTCCGCGGGTAACGCATGATTTGATGAGCCCGATGAGTTGTTCGTCTCGTTTCGCCCGACCTCCGGTCTGGGGTGGTCTCTCGACCCCTCGGCTGCTGCAGATAAGCGCCGTTGGTTTACGAAGCTGCTCGATGACTTCGGCGCCACCGCCGCCAGCACCGCCGAGCCACGCAGCGCCAGAAAATACATTCTCTCGTGCCAAGTTCCAATCAACGGCGTAGACAATGGACTCGAGACCGTGCTGGATGTGCCATATCGTGCCACCAAGTGTCCGACCAGAGTTGTAGGCGGTAATCGTGAGTCCATTAAGCGGCGGTGTTCCCGGAGTGGGCAGCGGCTGATGGGGCTGCGAGTATTTCAGGGGTTGGATGAGGGAGAAGTAGCGCGCGAGCTCCTGCTGGGTAGGAGCTTGTAAGAGGAGCTGCTGATGGGCAGCGCTGGGCTTCTGGGTGTAGGCGATCGCTGCCTCGGCGAGGGAAGCCTCGGGTATCGTCGTAGCGGCTTTGGGGGTGGATTCGTAAAGATCTTGAAGGAGGGATCGACCGAGGTCGGCGACGGGTCGGGTCGCGTAGACGGGGATGTGGGTGAAGCGAGGGAAGTTCTTGCAGCAGTAGGCGAATGCGGCAAGGTGGCCGACGGTGGCGTGGGTCAGGAGGATAAGAGAAATAGTCTGGCTCTGGACTTGTCTGCGCGCGTGTGGTCAGTAGGAAGTAGAGAAGGCAGATGGGGTGTGGTTGTCAGGATAATCTGAATACTTTTCGAGCTCCTTAAGTTTGCCCACGTCGAATGACTCGTCCCAGCCGAGGCCGACGAGAAGCTTGACGCCGCCATCAAGCTCAAGAAGGGATTGCGTAGCCGGCGATTGGGATAATGCACCCTGAAGAGGGCAGAAATTGAACATGGTGGGCGATCAGGAATGCGATGGACGTCCACACTCTGTCTGGGCTTGGTCCAGGCTTTATCATCGCACTTCTGGTGAGAAGGTGAAGGTCGTAGTTATCAAGCAACCATCATGGGGGTTGAAAAGAAAGGAAATTATAATACACAAGCAGGAGGGTATCGGTTTATAATCGGGGCGACGCAGACACTGGGTTTAAGATGGCTATTTGAGGTCGGGGACAGTTCGAGTCGCGACGAGGTGCCAGTTTCCGTCCTTCGTGACTTGGTGACTTCTTCGACCAAACTGGCAAATGTCGAGATTCCGCGTTTGGCAAGCACAGGGTTCAGTTATTGGGCGGCGGTTAATCGCCGGCAATACTACGAAGGTACTGCTGGCGATTGTCACGTCCAGGAACGATGTGGCTAGTGAGCCCCGCCAGGTGACAAGTGCAGCTGGAAGCCACTCAAGCCACATTCTGAGTTCTGTCCTTGGTACCTCAGTCCCCCAGTAAAGTCCACATGTCAACTGACAGCACAAAATAGACCCGCCCAAGTTCGGCAGGAGAAACCACCTGGTCAATTTGGCTGCACACCATCTTGAGATTCGAGTTCACATTGGACGACGTGGAAGTTCCCGACACAGAGTACCGCAGACAACGACGTCTTGCCTCCAACCGACTTGCCAGCTCAAGTGTCTTTGTTTTCCATGACCATGATGCCTCTTGTTATGACTTTATGAACATCTCGACACCATCCTCTCCCCAGGTAAGCTGTCCTCAATGGCCTGCTCCACCCGGTTGGCTCCCTGTTAAGCACACCCAGACCCCTTTTGTGTTTATCCGCTAGCTTGAGCTGCAATATGCTGTCGCTAATGCTGCTGCTGCTACCACTACTGTCCTTGTTAACACCTATACTAAAATCTCGCCAGGCCACATTTCATCAATCACCGCCTCGTGATCCGCGACTCGATCAATTTCCTTGGGCCTTTCCCCCCCGATTGCTATCCTCGAACCCCCTCTTAATCCTCGAACCAACAACCCTAGCGTAGTCGGCCGGTCCCTGGCGAAAGAAGGTCCGGTCCCCTCCTCCCCCCTTTCACCGCCATGGCCGACTATTCGATGTACCACGCCCTCGGCCAGGGAGAGCAGATCGACCCCAATGACCCTAATCGAACGAGCCAACCTGCCCCTCCCCAATTCAACCCTCCGATCGCGCCCCAGCCATACCAGCAAGGTGCGCCCTATGGCAGTCCTGCCGCGCCTCAACAACCCTTCTACGGCGGACAGCCGCCTCCGGCCGGTCATCACCCGCAACAACAGCCTCTAGGATATGGCGCTCCACCACAGCCTGGTGCCGTGGCCCCTGGTGCCGACGATGGCCTCGCCGCTCAGATGGGAGGGATGTCGCTTGGTGCTGGCGAGGGACACCACACTATGCGGAGGAAGAAGAAGGACCGCCATGCATTTCACAACGTTGAGGCCCCCGCGGCCCCCCTCGGTGTCGGTGCTCCTGCCTTTGGTGCTATTCCCAGCGCTGCTGCGCCCTCTCCTGGAGCTCCCGCAGGATTCTTCTCTCCCGATGCCGGCGCGGGGCCCCAGCTTTTGAGCCCTGCCCAAGGTTTCGCTCCCGCCATGAGCCCCGGTCTTAGTCCCAGCCTGGGGGGCAGCCAATTCCCTCCTTCGGCGAACCCCGCCTTCTCTCCGGTACCCACCTCCCCCGCCGGCTTGGGGCTGTCCGCGCCTGGAACAAGTGTCCCTGTAGGAGGAGGAGGTTCCGGCTTCGGTGCTGCTCCTGGTGGCCCCGCGACAGTCACGCCGGACGATCTGCCTAGTGTGCCAATGATGCGCGATTCAACCCAGCAGTATTTCCTCCGAAATACTTACCCCACGTTCGAGCGACACGTTCCCCCGCCAGCCTCCATATCCTTCCGCGCATTCGACCAGGGCAATGCGTCACCCAAGTTTGCCCGTCTGACCATGAACAGCGTCCCTGCAACGGGCGATGGACTTAATACGTCATCCCTACCTCTCGGTCTCATTCTCCAACCCCTCGCCGCTCTTGCGCCCGGTGAGCTACCCATCCCCGTGCTCGACTTCGGCGAAGCGGGACCGCCGCGATGCAGGCGCTGCCGAACCTACATCAACCCCTTCATGATGTTCCGCAACGGCGGCAACAAGTTTGTCTGCAATCTCTGCTCTTATCCCAACGAGACGCCCTCCGAGTACTTCTGCGCGACTACGCCCGCGGGCGTCAGGGTCGATCGCGATCAGCGCCCCGAGCTTACCCGCGGAACCGTCGAGTTTGTCGTGCCCAAGGAGTACTGGACTCGCGAGCCTGTGGGTATGCGCTGGCTGTTCCTGATTGATGTTACGCAGGAGTCCTTCAACAAGGGGTTCCTGGAGGCTTTCTGCGAGGGTATACTAGCGGCTCTCTATGGTGGCGAGGACGGCGAGGAGGATGAGAACGGTGAACCGAAGCGCCAGATTCCCAAGGGTGCCAAAGTTGGCTTCGTCACCTTTGACAAGGATATTCACTTTTACAATGTCAAGGTGCGTATTTTATTTCCGCCTCGAAATCCTACAGTTTCTAACTAACCCGTCCTACAGCCAAGCCTTGAACAAGCTCAGATGATGATCATGCCCGATGTTGAGGATCCTTTCGTTCCCCTGAGCGAAGGCCTCTTCGTAGATCCCTATGAATCAAAGTATGATCGAATTCACCCTACTAGGGTTTAATGCGACGCGACGTGGATGCTAACATTAATAACAGGGCCGTCATCACCTCTCTCCTTACGAGGCTTCCCACCATCTTCTCTACCATTAAGAACCCCGAGCCCGCGCTCCTTCCTGCTCTCAACGCCGCCTTCGCTGGCCTCGAAGCTACGGGAGGCAAGATCATTTGCTCAGCGGCGGCGCTTCCTACTTGGGGGCCCGGGCGGCTGTTTATGCGAGACGACGGGAAGCATATCGGAGGAGAGATTGATAAGAAGCTGCTTACGACCGAGCATCCTCTTTGGACAAAGCTTGGCGAGCGCATGGCCGCTGCGGGTGTCGGTGCCGACTTTTTCCTAGCCTCGCCTTCTGGCGGCTACTTGGACGTTGCTACGATAGGTTCGGAACCCACTCATCCTTTTGACATTCCACGAGTTGACTAACAGAGGAGGCGCAGGCCACGTTTCCTCATCCACTGGCGGTGAGACTTTCTACTACCCCAACTTCATCGGCGGACGCGACAACGCGAAGCTTTCTTCCGAAATCAAGCACGCCGTCACACGCGAGTCAGGTTACCAAGCGCTCATGAAAGTGCGATGCTCGACCGGTCTCCAAGTCGCCGAATACTTCGGCAACTTTATCCAGCACTCGTTCGGCGCAGACCTCGAGATCGGCGTAATCGACGCCGACAAGGCCATCGGCGTCAAGTTCTCGTACGACGGCAAGCTCGACCCCAAGCTCGACGCGCACTTCCAGTCGGCGCTCCTCTACACGACGGCGAGCGGCGAGCGGCGCGTGCGGTGCACCAACGTGATCGCCAGCGTCAGCGAAAACACCCGCGACTGTATGAAGTTCGTCGACCAGGACGCCGTGTACAGCATGATCGCCAAGGAAGCCGTGACGAAGCTGGCCGCGACGTCGAGCAACTTCCGCGATGTGCGCAATTGGCTCACGGAGCGGACGATCGAAATACTTGCTAGCCACCGCAAGCACTTCACCTCGCAGAGCGCGCCACCGGGTCAGCTGATCCTCCCCGAGCGCCTCAAGGAGTTCGCCATGTTCATGCTCTGCCTCGTCAAGTGCCGCGCCTTCAAGGGTGGTAACGAGACGTCGGACCGCCGCGTGCACGAGCTGCGCATGATCCAGTCCATCGGCGCGCAGGAACTCAGCCTGTACCTGTACCCGCGCATCATCCCCATCCACAACCTCGAGGCCACGGATGGCTTCGTCGACTCCGAGACGGGCGAGCTCAAGTTACCCCCCGCCATCCGCGCGTCCTTCTCCAAGGTCGAGCCAGGCGGCGTCTACCTCGCCGACAACGGCCAGCAGTGCCTCGTCTGGTTCCACGCGCAGACGTCGCCCGACCTCATCGCCGACCTGTTCGGCTCCGAGTACCGCTCGCTGCAAAGCCTCGATGCGTACACTTCGACGCTGCCCGTGCTCGAGACGCACCTTAACGCCCAGGTGCGCAATATCCTCGAGTTCCTGAAGACGCAGAGGGGATCGAAGGCGGCGACGGTTCAACTCGCGAGGCAGGGGATAGATGGCGCGGAGTATGAGTTTGCGAGGATGTTGGTGGAGGATCGGAATAATGAGGCGCAGAGTTATGTGGATTGGCTTGTGCATGTGCATAAGGCTATTCAACTCGAGGTAAGCCCCCCCTCCTCCTTTTCCTCTTCCCTTCCCTTCCTTGACAAAGGAAGTGAGAAACGAAGGAAAGTACTGACTTTTGTCGCGTAGCTTAATGGGTCTAGGAAGAGGGAAGATAAGAGCGAAGGAGGAATCTCGTCTTTCGCCGGCTTCAGACCGAACTATTGGTAGACGAGTAGACTGGGGAAGAATGAAGAGGGAAGAAATCGAAAATAAGGACCGAAAAAGGGCAATTTTTAGGCTCGTATTATCTTATATCGTTGTTCCCAGGGAGCTCTTTGGGAGAAACAGTGAGTAGAAGGAGTAGGAGGATAACATATATGGTCAAAAAGTTGGGGGTGTTGTTCGAGTTGAGGGTTGCTTTTTAAAAACAACTGCGTTGCATTGAGATGAAGTTTCCAAGATTCTTCAAAATCCGATTCATTTTGACATCTCCCGTGTTTTCCATTTCCCCCATTGCTATAATACTCTCCCAAGGTCCTCTCTAGAATTCTATCCACCTTTGTCAACGAAGACTAGGCTTGCACCTCGGAAGGGCTCAAGAATGTGATGGCGGAGAGCCAACAGAACAGTAGATCGTTTCAGATACGTTAGTACCTGCTCCTCCTCTAAACCCCCAAGTAATGACAGAACGGTCATCAGAAGTAACGTAGGTATATTAGGGTTTCGAACCAGACGAGTAACGCTGCGAATGTCCAAGGCAAGCAAGCCTTTAGCTTCAGATCCAATCACAGCATCACCACATATCAAGAACAGCAAAGACAAACAAGAAATCTTCCAAACAACTCTATTCAACTCAACTCGTACACAAACGGGGCAAAAAAAGCCAACTCATACACTCTCACCTCGGCCAAAAATCATACAATCATTTCATAAACGTAGCACCTTCGACCCCCTCGACCATAAACCGAGAAAACAAGGAAGAATTCCTCAAACTAGGAAGAAGGAGAAAAGAAAAAGAAAAAGCTGCCTGCCCTGATTTGCCCTTCTCCAGCCCAATCTCTATAATGCGCCCAAAATGAAAAAGCAAGAAAAACAGTAACACGACATACCCCATATAACCCATGTCCCGGGCCCATGAAATGCATATCCGGATGTGTGCGCGTTTCCCTCCTCTGATTTCCTCTTCATCCCTCGTAGATATACCTGATATATCCCCCCTTTTTGGCCTTTTATACCGGTAAACGCCAGTAACGAACCCGCTTGTGCTAAAAGAGCGACATGAATGAATGAAAGAGGCCAAAAAATACGAAAAACGAAGAAGTGGAAAGAAAAAGTCATGGACAAGAAGGTGAAACAACCCCGTTTTTCCGACCCCACGGGCCAGATTAGTCTTACATAGACACACCAAACATCGCGAATTGAGCTCGACCTCGCCAATCTGTGTTATCGGTCACCCTAGATGCAAAACTTCCTATCCAACACCCTCAATGCCCTCGCATCCTCAGTCATACCCTTGCTATCCAAACAGCCGCCCATCCTCGGCGAGTTACCCGATGAGCTCTCAGGCGCCGGAGGCAAAGGATGGAGCAGAAGGGCCGATAAGCTCGCCTTGTTGTGATTATGGTTAGATGATGAGTTAGGCGTCTGCGACATTGTCGACGGCGCGTACGACGTATTCCTCGAAGAAGTTTGCACAGACGTGGTATCCGAATGGGCGCTTCGCGGGGGCGAGACGCTAAGAGATCTCGCCGGTGGCGTAGTGGTGCTGCTGTGCGTCGGTGCCGAAAAGTTGCTCGTATTCATGACGGCCTGCGCGGCGGCGGCCTGCAGGTGCTGGGACCTAGGCGAGTCCATTGCTCGTGAGGTGGGATACTGAGGAGGCATCTGAGGAGTTGGCGGGTAGTGCGGCGTGTGAGGTGACGGCTGAGAGTGGTGAGGAGTCATCGGCGAAGGGTAGTGAGGCTGCTGCGGGAGGTGCGACTGGTGTTGCTGTTGCTGCTGGTGAAGAAGCATTGCGGGAGGTGGCAACCTGCTCGAAGACGGGGGAGGAGGAGCCGGGTAACTCGTCTGGGGAGGCGGGATCTGATGAGGCTGGTCGTATGGAGTAGGAGCTGACGAATAATGCGTGCTAACATGGCCGTTGGAATACGGCGGCGTGGTAACAGGAGACAAGGGCCACGAGTAGGGTTGGGGCTTCACCGAATGCGGTGGCGGAGGCGGATACTGGGCGTGGTGGGGAGCCACTCCTTGGGACTGGTGCGGTTGAGGTTGTGGCATGATGTATTGTCCCGTTGTCATGGCGGCTCTCGCCAGAGCCGGGGCCGCGCTCGAATCGCTCCAGCTGGACTCGGGATACAGACCCTTGGCGGGCATAATGTGCCGCAGTTGAGGATCTGTCGAGGGCTGCAGGAGCTCGGAGGACTGGCTGTGCGACTTGGTGAAATACGAGATGAGGTGGAGGTGTTGACCGGTGGACGTGGTGATGCTGAACGACTGCTTCATGAGCCCGTCGGCCTTGTACCTGTAGCCCTCAGGCTCGCCATCGTCGTGGTCGTCGTCGCTGCCCCGGCCAGATTCCGGCGTCTTTCCCGATGTTTTCCTCTGGCTGCTGAATCCGCCACCCCTCTTGCCCTCCATTTCGCGGTATGTTAAAAAGCTTCCAGAAACTCGGCTGGCGCTCCATGATTTGCCGTCCGTCCACCTGCGCATGCCCGCTTCCCTCTCGTCCCAGACAAAAACGGATCCTGACCGGATGGACTGCCTTTCCTTCTCGGATAATCTGCGCTGTACCCTGGGGAATATGCCTAACCTGCAAGCCTCGAATAGCTTGATCGCGTCGGCTGGCGTCCGTACTAGGCCGTAATACGTCTCCATTGTGAAACTCGCCAAGACAAGACAACGTGAATAGAGTTGACGGTGTTGGAATGCCCAGTTCTAAAAGAAACAAGAGATAAAAGGCAGTAGGTGTTCCACCAAGAAGCAAGTTCGTTTGCAGGAAAAGGTATTCGATCCTTTCCAGCAATCGTCTCTCTTAAAATCTTCACCTGATGTGAAGAGAAGAAAAAAGCGTAGATCCTTTTTCTCTGATAATAAAGAAATATGAGGTGAAAGATGACGGAGCGGCTCGGGATCTGTGATTCCTCCGATGTCCTCCTTATAGGACTGACAAGTCGTTCCCTGCTCTCCTAGAGTTGCCCAAAGTTACGATGCGATGGGGAAACGGGGGCATGGGCCGCGAGACCGAGTACGCTGCGAATATTACCCGTCCACACACAAAGGTCTGGGAATGTCGATTGTCGACCGCTGATGTTGTCGGTTCTAGTTTGTCGGCGCGGGGCGATGATTGTCTTCTTCCGCGGGGCAAGTCGAGTCGAGTGCCAAGCGATCTGGAAGACCTGTCGAAGGTGAGACGTCTCGAGAGTGATGCGAGGAGGGGGAGGTAGATCAGTTTTGGAAGTTTGAGAGAGAGAGAGAGAAAGGTTGGGGAAGAGACGAGGTGTATAAAAGAACAAAAGAGCCGTGCGTGCGTGCGCGTGGAGGAGGTGGTAGATCCCTGGTTACTCGAATAGGGATATTTGAAGGAATTAGTCCTCTTAAAGGTCCTTTTTTAGAGCGACTGCATGAATGATGGCAGCGTTTGAAGAACGGAACGGCAGGAGGGGAGGTGGGGTGTAGAAGAGTGGAAGAGTGGAAGGTGGAAAGGGTGTGTGATGGACCAAGAGTGTATATGTATCTGCCGTGGCGTCCGTTTAAGGGATTTGGGGGTTGAGAGCTTTAAGTGCTGAGTAGTGGTGGTAGTTGTAGGATACGTCAGTTGTATATCGAGAGTTAAGTAGTGGAGGGCAGTGTACTGTGGTGGAGTAGTTGTAGTGTACGAAGAAGTATACGTAGGTACTTGCAGTGGAAATGAGTCGAGTAATGGGCTAAGTACCAAGTCGAGGATGGCAGGAAAGTATGCAAAGGACAAGTATTGAATGTAGTGGACGAGTAGAGTGGAGCTGATGTTGTATTAAGGTCAAAAAAAAAGCCAAAGACGCCAAGGGACAGGGCGGATGCCAATGTCACTCGCCGTCTTTTGGGGGGTGTGTAGTTGTACGAAAGTGCTTCGTACACTCCACTACGTCGTACGTCGGATCCGCAGCCCACTAGTGGAGAGAGTTCTTTAGACCATGTGGGGGAACCGCAAATCTGCCATCCTGCGCCAAGGGAAGTGATGCCAGGAGCCAGGCAAGAACAATTGATTGTGCAGCGCTGCGCAGTGCTGAGCTGTTGATACAATAACGTTCGTCAGCAGGAAATGTACTTGTAACGCAACAATAAACGCATCAAATCAAATCAGTTCCCGCCTCCCAATCCTCGTGCGCACTTACGCACTGCTGCCAAGGAAGTCGAAGACGGGGGGGTGTAAAGAAGCTCATGCTGCGGGAGAAGGAAGGAAGTAAGGTTTTTGGGCTGGGCTAGGCTAGCTGACGAGCCTACTTCGTATTGCCAGATGATACTTTCCACTATTGTGGAGCCTCTCTGCACGCGGTGTATTTCCCACACAGCACTCTGATACAAGGGACCCACCCGAAAAGAAGAACAGCATAAGAGGAAGTCAGAGTGTGGTGTAGTGTACCAGGAGTACCAGTAGTGTACTTGGCATCTCAAAAGGGCCGCCCCAAAACTTCAATTGTGGGTGAAGTGGGTCTCCGGCTATGGTGGCGGCAGGGGGGTTATGTACACTATAGCACTGGAGACTGGGCTCTGGGAAGGTGGAGGAGGGGGGCCGTTGGCGATGACAATAGGAAAGGGAAAGACCGCGCCATGTGTACATGTAGTAATAGGAAGAGACCTAAGTAGTCCCTTCCCAGGGCCGGGGGGGGGGGGGGGGGGGGGGGGTGGCCGAAGAACAGAGGAAGGCATGTTAGGTGGTGGAATAAGGTACAACATCAGAGTAAGTATCTTTCGCACACACACCTACTGTCGTAACCCCGGGCTCAAATGCCCAAGGCCACGAGTGCACTTTCATGCTATTCTCGATCTTTCCAGGGATTTGTATTGGATCAAGATCTGATCTGATTGACAGCACGTCAAGGGGACCCGATAACATCATGAACTTTCGTGGTCCGCGACCCCCCCATATCGATCTTTCCCAGACATGCAGACAGTTTCAACTGAAGCCGTCCTTGTTCGGGAATCGGGGTGTTGTGTTGAAGTACGAAGGTACGGTCGGTACGAACAGTGCC